GATGTTTCTGACGAAAAGAAATCATGGAATTTATTTTGGACCACACTGTTCGGAGTACTCACCTGGACTGTTCTGTTCAGAGGGGAATTACTTCTAACCGCCCACTTTGTTATCTGGGGACTCTTTTTTTTTTTCAAATCGGTAGACTCGTGATTTCCTTTGTCCCACACAAGTTCCGTTGGAATGTCGCCGCCCGGAACGCGAGGGATGCCGGCTTGTAAATCATTCCCGGAATTTGTCACCATGTACCGTGTTAAGGTATCGGGTTACCGTACACAGTATTCCATTGTACACGATACGTATTTGTCTCTGATGATACGGAGTAGGGACCTAATAATGGGATAATGGTGGACATGTAGGTACTTCGTACATACTAATCAAATATCAACGAGCACAAATCAAGAGTTCTATATATATATACCCGGAAGTTTATATCGGCGTCAATGTCATACTGAATGGTAGGGCAGTACGATCCAAGTATCAAGGGTGCTCCCGTCACTTACCATACGTTGACCTACCATGGACAGCCCGGCAGTTGATCCTGAATTCTACCTGGCTCCGGCTTGGTACAGATGAATCTGGAACCAGGGAACAGCTGGCGGCTGTGGAGTTTGATGTATGTCACTTTCTACGTGTATAATCTGTATGTATGTAAATAGATAACAGGGATATCTGAATAGATGATCTCACCTTCCCCCCCTCTTTCATGCCTTAACTAGTGGGGAGGGTTTAACCTGAGGCTTATCCTTTTTGAAGAGACTATTACCAAATGATCTACTCTAGTATTGAGGCGAGAGTAAACTTAACCTTGAGAAAGAGAGGGAGTTCCATCGATTCAAGCAGCGGTGGGGAATATACTATTTGATTTCTGAGGATTTTGATAGTTAACGTTTGGTATCCCGTTTACCTACATATCTCCGCCTTTTTGAGGATGCGCTTGCCCCCCCCCTTCCCACCCCCAACAGCTTTCTATGCTGTATGCAGAAAGCTATGTCGGCGGGCTGTGATTTGCTGCAGAGCACATATTCATCGGGTATGTACGGCGTAGGTCTGTTTAGCCTGGGGGGGTGGGAAAGCCATGACCCATGGTCCAAAACCAAGGGAAAGACCTCGGGATTCTCACCGTCTTCTTTGTTTCGCGCCAATCTCCGTCGCGATTTCCAGGATCTTGATATTTTAGTATGACCTACTTTCGAGCTAGGCAGCTGGCTACTGATCCGTATCTATCCTGAAGATTTGCTCTCTGATGTAGGCTGATTCGTCGATCTTTGATCGGGCTCTTTGAATCGGAACTGATTCATCCCCGTGGTGGCATCTGGTTGTACTCCGTAGTTGGATCCTTCTAGCACTGGACAATATGCCTGACGACAGTCAACTACCGGTTAAGAGGAGAGCGAAGAGATACAAGGTCAACCGCCCCTGTCCATAACATGCCAGGTTAAACTGGGCCGCTATGCAAATGGGCGCCCAACCTGCCTAAGCACTGGCGCTGAGAGGCTGAATCTGTAGACAGCAAGCATGGCCTGAGCATGTCAGAATCTGTCGGTTTCCGCGCATTCGTCCAGTCAGGTGTTTTGTTTGCCGTGATTGCCTGGGGATGAATCATGGTTGTATATTTTCTTTATCCATATCCATAAATTCTGTTCGGCTTGAGAGTCCTTGTATTTGATTGTGTATATGGTCTGTATATATATATCTATTTCACCCACCGGTTTGTTTAATTATGTATGTAACCCGCCTCTCGGCAGTTGATACTGCTGTATTTTCCAATAGGAGGGAGGGATGTAGATATGTTTCATGTCCTCCCTAATGGTGCACCTCATCTCCACGGTGTTTGACATCAGAGACTCGGCAGCGTCTCTCTATCTATGGTCCGACGTCCTGACCGTCGACCGACCAGATTACCCCTCCTGATTTTGGGCACCGACCACTCCCTGATCAATAAATCTCACTTATCCCATCCGAGAACACCATCGGTCAGGATCCAACAGCAACCACCTGCTATCTGCCAACGGTGCATCCTCCGTCAATGAAATTGGGGTAGTGGAAATTTGTGTGACACCGTTATCCCACTTATCTGCCTACACCGAGTCCGGAGGCACTCGCCCCCCCCCCCCCCCCCTCCCTCTCTCCACGATAAACCAAACCATTAACCAACCCATGTGGCACTTGGAAAATCCAAAGGATGGAGCGAATTGCGGGACCCCGTTGACAGAATTGGAAACTGGAGTCGGTAATAAAAAGCTTCCCAGGATCGCTCGTTTTTCGATTTTCTTCCATTTCTTCCACCGCCCTTCTGGCTTTTTTTTTTTGAGATCGCTCCGAATTATTACCCTCGTCGTTAATATCGCCATCTTTTTTCTGCTTCTCAAATCCTTTTCAGCCCGTCCCGGCACGGCTGCCATCTTGGCTCCACTGCTGGGTTTCTTTGGTTTTCGGTTTATTGATCATTGATTCTTATTCAGTTATTTTTTGTTTAATTTTAATTTCTATCATTTTTTTCCAGATATCTTTTGACACTATTCCGTAAGGTCACCTTACCGACAGTGTACGGTACAGCATAGACCAGTGTATTGAAAAGCGGAACCCACACCGAAATCTAAGGTCAGAAGAAGGAACGAAGCCCAAACAAAAGAGCCGGGTAAAATAAAACGATCTGTCAATTCGTGGCTTGTGTTAACTCCTGCAAACCAGGATCCCGGTTCAGGGTGGCAGGTCTCTCTCTCTCTCTCTCTGTCCATCAATCAATCTGTCAGAAGGAGGCGCGCGTCAAACCAAGACAGAGCGAAGACGTCGAAGAACGACCAGAAACCGGGAAAGAGATCCCAACGCATTTCTTTCCCATCATCATAACTCTAACTTATACGGATGCCTCTTAGAAAAAAATAACTAGAGAGACAAACAGAGCGAGAAGGAAAAGGAAGTATCGGAAAAGCAACTATCCATTCATACTAGTATTAGATCGGGTACGACCAAATTCCCTCTCCTTCCCACGGCCGAATCCCTCCACCAGCAGGGGGTAAAAAAATCGAAGGAAAAAAAAAAAAAAAGAAAAAAAAGAAAAAGACAGAAGAGAAAGAAAAGAGGACAGAGCAAGTAAGTGTGAGAAAAAAGAGGGGCAAACCCGGCATTTCATCGTCCACGATCAAATCAATAATCATCACAATCACACGCTTTTTTGTTTGTTGTCTGTGTGTTGCTTTCTTTTCTTCCTGCCTCCTTCCCCCTTTCCTTCTTTCCTTGTTTTCATTTCTTGAATTTTTCGATCGATGTTCACGGTGGTTGTCCATCCTTCATCCTTCCTGCGAGCATTTCATCATCCGACCAACCTCCCCGCCCTTTCACTTTCAGTACTCCGATAGTAACGAGACGGAATTTTACCACTACTCACGGCCTAGATATACGTGCTCTGATTATTGGATTTGATTTATTACTCTTGTTCTATTTCTTTTCTTTTTTTCTTCTTCCACGCGATCCCAACTCGGGAAAGCACTGCTAGTATTTACCTTTTCCTTTCTATTATTCCACTGTCTATCTGTCCCTCTTGACCTGGGAGCCCGTCTCCATTTCCCCGGCGCGAGCTCATGACCTGCTTTGATTTCTCCCCCCATTTCTCTCTCTAATAAACCGAGAAGGCCCTTTCTAGGCTTTCTTTGACTTTCCCACCGTTCGATCTACCTTTGGCACCAGGCGACCCGACAGCTTGGCTTAGCTATCTCCCCCCAATTGATCGGAAAACAAAAAACAAGTGCCAATCGCGCGTCTTGTTTTATTTGACAGCATCGTTACCAACGTATCCAACCGGTGTTTGGTGCCGATACAGCGTACGTACTACCTTGACCTACTACCTCTTTCTTTTTCCTTCAACACGATGCACCATTATTATGACTGATGGGTTATGATCATTATTATACATTCTGTATCATTTACTACCTGACTCCTTACCCCCAATTGCGCGCCTCGTTCCCCTGATTTGATTTCCAACGAACCATGTTTAATCTGTGATTTATTGCCTCTTTGCCTCCCCCTGGTTTGACTTGCTTCCCTGTGCGCTTTTTTTTTTTTTTTTTTTTTCCCTCTCCCTTCTTTTGGGTTTCGGTGTTTCAAGAAGAAGAGCAGGCAGGAACCAAACAACAAAATTTCAGCAGGCCAGAACGACTGGAACCCAGGATTACCGCTACTCGCTAGGTTCAAAGTCGGGCGTGTCCACTTCAGCGATTTTAGTAGCTGTGCGGATCTCCTGCTCTGTTTTTCTCGCCTCCCTCTCTCTGCCAGAGTTACCTTTACCTGCCTAGTGCTCCGAGCTTCGTCCTGATACCCGCCCTAATATTACTTCGTACCGTCGCCTTGGGATTCTCGTTTGCATTAGCTTTCTCCTTTATTTCCGCTGCTGTCACCCTCCCCTCCTCTGTCATTCCTGGACCTCTTTGATTTTTTTATTTTATTTTTGTTATTATTTGTATTTCTTTCCCTGTTGATTTTCCTTTATGACTTCTGGTACCCCGAGCTGGCGGATCGCTCCGTCTTGTGCCGCCTACCGCTGACTCCTTTCAACGATAGCCAACTAATTATTGGAAAGCTACCGGTCCGTGGCCTTTGTCAGGCACCTTTTCCTGGCCGATCCCTCTCGCCCCTCTTTGTGTGACGCAACAAGGAGAATCTACTAAACGTCTCTCCGTTCCCCGACAGGCCACGCAAAAAGCAAAATTACCACTGAAAAAATAGGAGCCAGACAAAGAAGTTGCAAGTGGCGAGGTCGTTGTTCAATTTCCCCGCGCCCCGAGGCTAAAGCTGTTTACCGCTTTGGGTATTTCTCGTGAAGGTGAACGATTCTAGGTTCTGTTCGCCGTCGCACGCCCAAAACCAACCGGGACCGCCTGCCGCGTTCTCTGAGGACATCACCATGTCCACATGATTGCATGACTCTCCCGCCGAATCGAATGTCTACTGCGCACTTGCGACGAGCTGGAGTTCCTGATCGTAGCCGCGGACTCTCGATCATGGAAATCAGTGCAACGGACGACAAACCGACCCCCATGCCCGCATATTCCGGTCCTGCGCCACCGATGCATCATCGCATACCCCATCCCGACGGCGGACATGGTCCGCCGAGCGACTCGGTCATGTATGAAGCCCCTCCGTGGCGCCCTTATCCGGCCTCCTTCGAAGGTCGACGAACCTCCAACGCCCCCCAGCCTCCGTTGCCGCCTCCTGGGTACCCTGTCCACCCAAATCGCGAGCTGCCACAGCTCCCTCCGGAAGTCCCATATAACCGACAAGGAAGCCTGCCCGGCGCATTCCACACCATCTCCGACGCGCACCCGCCGCCGCATCCACCCTACCGCCCCATGAATGGAACGCCGCACGAGGCGGCTTCTCATTCCGCGCCCCCTGACTATCGGCCTCGTATGTCTTTTCCGCCGCCAGAAAGCCAAACCAACGGCGACCCGCCACCTCCGCCTCCGCCTCCGCACTCTCTTCCTCCGGCTCAGTATGGGACCCCCGTCCCGCCGCACATATCGCATACTCCCGCGCCGTATGATCCCGCTTATTACCAGAACCAGGCTTATGGACGTCAGCGCAAGGCTGCTAGAGCTCAACAGGTAGATTTCTTCACCTATTCTGGACATGTGTTCATTGCGATACCGATCGCGAGAAACAAAAACCCTCAAACAGAGATGACTAACAATGTGTGTTTTCGCAAATTGAGAAGGCGTGTGATCAATGCCGAGCCCGAAAAGCAAAATGTGATGAGGGACGACCGGCGTGCAGCCATTGCAAGGAGAATAACATGATCTGTGTCTATAAAGAAGTCCCGCCGCATAAGTAGGTGGCCCAGACACTCTTGCTCGCCTTCCGGAGAGGTGCTAACGGTACCAAATTAGACAAGAAAAGAGCACGCAGATGCTAATAGACAGACTTGCACATCTTGAGGACATTATTTACGAGAAGACGGATATCATACAGAAGGTTCAAGTGGAGCATGGGAACCAACTTACGCAAATCATCAAGAACTTCCCGCGGGAACCCAAAGTGAAGATGAACAAAGAGTCCCAGAAGCCGACGGTCCAACATTTACTGAAGCAGGACAGCTCGATGACCCAGCAGGAGTCGGCACCGAAGGAGGAAAGTGTCCCCGTGCCCGTGGGACAAGAGTTGACTTCGAGTGAGACCACGGAAGCGGGTACGGTCACTGTAACCACACAGGAAACGCTGGAACCCGGGGAGGATGGCGAACTTTCGATCCCAGTTGAACACACGACTGCGGCGCATAAGCTACTGATGTGGCCGTCAATCAAGGAGCTCCTTCTTCCGAGGGAGTATGATGAAGATTACGTGATGAGGCTGGAGGAAAAGCGAGGATTGATTCGTGTTTACGGTCGGGGAGAAGGCGACGACACGAGCGACGACGTGGGTCCATTCCCGCCGCCCACGAGGCCGGACTACAGCCCCGAAGAGCACCATACGCAGACCGCGCCGACCAGCGGTCCCTGGGGAGTAGGCGCTACGCCGCCTCCCACCCGACTCCCGGACAACGGCCTTGACGAGAGTGGTTTTCTGACTACGGATCCGGAAACGCTGCGGCGGTACCATCGCAGCTATATGGACCACATTCACAGGCTCCACCCGTTTCTCAACCAGAGCGAGCTGGACGCAAAGATCGGGCAATTCATCAAAACCTACTGCCCACGATCCGCCTCGGATTCGCCGTCTGTTCTGAGCAACAGCACTGCCGGGGACATACCCAGAGGAGCAAAGCGCAAACGCTCCTGTGAGAACTTGCAAGGTGCGGCGTGTGATATGCAATCCCCAACGGGCAGCAAGACTGGGCGGATTTACGGCCGCCGCATTGAGAGATCTGTTGGCAATGCCATCATCCTGCTCGTTTTTGCGATCGGGAGTATTTGTGAGGTCTCAATCGTTCCTGGACCCGTGATGGATGACCCGGTGGACTTCCGGAAGGAACGCATCCCCGGGCCCACGACTCGAAGTGTTCAATCTCCTGCAGGGTCCGATTCCATTCTACAGACCCAAGGCAACGTCTACGCTCCCAGGGGACGCGCATTTCCATCCCCGTCGGTGATAGACGGTCGGAAATCCGCATCGGGGCGATCAGGCTATATGGACACCCGCAACCTGAGGAACCTGGATGTTATCCCGGGCTTGGCGTATTATGCTTATGCCACCCAAATCATCGGCAGCCTTCAAGGTGCCAATGGACTGTTTCATGTCCAAGCAGCTTTACTCGCCGGTCTCTATGCCGGTCAATTGGCACATCCGTTCCAGAGTCACGGATGGATCTATCAAGCCGCTCGAGCTTGCCAAGTTCTTGTCCGAACGTAAGTTGGATGAAGAATTTGCCCGCAAGAGACCCTCTAACGCGTTGATGTAGGAAACGGTATGAGCAATTGGAAGATGGCCCCATGAAAGATCTCTATGATTTTGCATACTGGACTTGTTTGCAGCTGGAAAGGTATGCGAGTGCGAATGTTTGCCGGGTCCATCGGGAAATGCTAACTATAACCCCAACATCTCAGCGATATATTAGCGGAACTCGATCTTCCAGCCAGCGGCATATCTCGTTCCGAGGCCCGCATATCTTTGCCCAAGGGTCTTTTCACACTTTCTCTTCCCAATGAGATTTCTGCACCAAGCACCATGATGATGTTCTTCTACTCTGCTCAGATTCATCTCAGGAAAGTTCTTAATCGAGTTCATACGGATCTGTATAAGGTTGAAAGTAAGAATTTCCCGCCCAAATCATTTTTTCTTTCATGTTGGTGATGGCACTAATAAATGGTCCGAAGAACAAGGTCAGAACCGCTGGTCTTCCAACGTGCAAGAGATTCTGAGTATGAATCTTGAGCTCTGGCGGACAAGCCTGCCTGATATTATGAAATGGAAGGACAATGACCCACCTCCAAAGGAGATCAACGTCGCTCGCATGCGAGCGAAGTATTACGGCGCACGATACATCATCCACCGACCCCTCCTCTACCACGCTCTGCATTATGCCGCCGCAAGCCCTGACTCGCTCCCGCCAGTAGACTCACCTACTGCACCCCCCTTATCGGGTTCCAAGTCCCAACAGGTCTCGCCGTCGATGACACACAGTCAGCGTGCCTCAAATATGGTGCGCCTCGGTAGTGATTTAGGCACCATGGGTCGGAATTCTGTTTCTTCTGCGCCAGGTAGAAGCATCACTTACCGTGATCTGCCGACCAAGCTGCGAAGAGCTTGTAAAGTGTGTGTCGACTCCGCCATTCTGAGTACGGAAGCTTTTGATGGCATTGAGGGTCGTCCAGTTGTGACAAACATTTTTGGAACCGCACACGCGTATGTTATATCTCACTTTTGTTGAGTCCGATAATCTGCTAACATTTCTGTTACTCTAGCCAATTCGGCAATATGTTGGTCTTGTCCGCTACGTACATGTCGAACCTCACCGAGCTTGTTGATCGGAATGACCTGGAGCGACTTCTCAAGCGAACGATCGCGTTTCTCCTGCAAAGTCGCTACATCTCACCCAGTCTACGCGCTGATGCGCGAATATTGACCGAAATATACGAGAAGATATTTGGTGAGCCGGTAGGAAGCTTCTCAAGTGTGGACTAGGTTGCTTTCAAATATATAATGCACCCGTTTCCCTGCCTGTGTCCCAGGCCAGGCCGCATTGTAACTCCCTGCCTTCGGCTGACTTCATACCTCAGAAGCAAGCTAAGGCCGGGGTAGTTCTTTAATATATGGCTTTCGTCTCCTTGCAGGCATACGTCATGACGATCGCTCCTCTACTTCCGATAGTCCTGTCTTTTTATTTTTTTGAAAGGCTGAACAGCTCTCTTGAACAGATATCTTGCCCTTACATCTCATACGGTCGCATGGGGGCTCCTTGATTTTGCTTTTTGTTTGTTTGCTGAAATATCACCTGCATTCTGGGGGGTTGAGCATCTGATATGTTTTGTTGTGCATAAGGGAGGAAATGGTGGCTTTTTCTGATCGAAATCTGTCTGTTAGTTTTCATTTTCTGGGGTTTTGCTTGATTTTGCACTCGGTACTAAACTTGCTGTCTTTTTTGGACTGGGAGTTGAATTGGCGTTTATTATATCTCGTTGGTTTTAGCGGACCAGGCATCTGGGCGTGGGAGGTAATCTTTCGTTGCATTTACTGTGGACCACGGAGAATGGCCTCCTTTCTTACATTTTCGAGGCGTTCAAATTGGATGGCTGTACAGTGGCCGTCTAGGCCTTAAGAGCGGTGTCTTGAAATTGTTTCATTTCTTTGTCTCCTGAATGTAGACCATGAGTGCTATTGCTTCCCTCAATACATGGTAGCAAACCCAATGAATTGAAACGGTCATTATTTTTGGTTATGCACGGGCTTTTGGGGATGTGAAAATGCAGGGGCTGCTGCATTGGCAATGGCACTAACTAAAGCAGTGACGGAACAAAGGGGGTTTGGATCCGTCAATCATTGCTATTTCCCTCCCCCAGTCAGCCTCGGTTGCCCATGATTCCGTCCGTGCCTTTTCCCCGCAAATGGGGTTCGGATGAGGCTGCCCTGTGAACCTTGAACCATCTTTATAAAGCCGACCCTCTCTGGAAGGGGAATCAAGTGGTCGACTTTGGCGGAACCTGGTTCTTATTCTCCACTACACTTGCATAAACCTCCCCACGCGCGTGTAGACGAAATGGCTCCCGGGGCGCTTCGCCTCTCTCGAGAAGGTAAGTACAGTCGGTACCTTTGGCGCTCTCTTCACCACACGCTAGGTTTTGGCCAGACCCGCTAAACTTCACCCCGGACAGGGTTTACCGCTGATGTGACCGGCAAATTTATCCAGCGAACGCTGCTGAGCCCCTGGAAGACGGTGCCCCTGATCCTGCTGGCATATTATACGGCCAAAGGCAAAGAGATCGCTCGGAACCACCCGCGAAGCCTCCAGGTCCTCCAACTGCTTGCCTCGCTTGCGGTCCTCCGTCGCATCAACGCATGGGTCAATCGGCGCGTTTTGAACAATGGCACTTCGGACCGGTACTACTGGAATCGCGAAGTGGTGGTGTTGACGGGCGGTAGCAACGGAATCGGCAAACAGGTAGCCATTCTGCTAGGACATCGCGGGATCAAAGTCGCCGTGCTCGATATCAATCCGCCCGAAGACGAGCTCCCTCCTACGGTCCGCTACCACCAGTGCGATATCACCTCACCGGCGGCGATCGCAGAGGCAGCGACCAAGATCCGCACCACGATGGGCGACCCGACCGTCCTGATCAACAACGCTGGTTTGTGCAGCGGCCGTACCATCCTCAACAGTACCGAGGCGCAGACTCGTCTGCAGTTCGACGTCAACACGCTGGCGCACTACTGGCTGGCCCGCGAGTTCTTGCCCGCCATGGTCCAGCGCAACCACGGCATGGTGGTCACCGTGGCCTCGCAGGCGGGATACACCGTTACGCCGAACATGGTGGACTACTCGGCCACGAAGGCGGCGGCCATCGCGTTTCATGAAGGGCTGGGCGCGGAGCTGGTGACGAGGTATCAGGCGCCGCGGGTCCGCACCGTGCTTATCACCCAGGGCTTCACTAAGACGGCGTTCATCAAGGACCTGACTCCTGAGGATACGTGGTTGAATCCGCTACTGCATCCCGAGACGGTCGCTGAGGAGATCGTGAATCAGGTTCTCACCGGCTCGAGTGGACATGTTGTCGTGCCGGGGTCGAGTGGATGGTTGGCGAAGAATCTTCGTGGATTTCCATTGTGGTTTCAGCATCTGTTGAGATTGCGGTTGGAGCGCCTGATGCGGACTTCTGATTAGTTGGGGGAATTGGTGCTTAGGCTTTTGTACCTGGAAATTTCACTTTTGCTGGGGATCTGGATCTGGGGGAAATTGTGCCTGGTACCATACTTGCCTGGTATTTGTATCCATAATTTGGTTCTAGCGTTTTACTTGGTTTGACTCTTAATGCGGATCTGAGGATCGCGGATGGGGTGTTCTTTTCTGCATCGAATCACAATTTTGCTTCAAGATAGTCGAATCATGCGTAAGATGCACGATGCTGCAATTGGCACCTCCGGCGTACATAATTCAATCAGCGTGAAGGTCCAGACAGATCGACCGACCGACTCGGAGGGAATCCTGAGGCCTCCCATTCGTCCAACTGGCTGGCGGGACCCGGCAAGCATGTCTTGTTGAGCCACATCATCATCCATCACACATGGCCGACAGCTCGGGAGGGGGTGCCGGTGATTGAGCTCTGACGACAGATAGATTGAATTCAGATTGAGTAGATTGAATCATGACTGCCTAGTAAGTAATCCTTAGTGAGTACGGAGTACATAGTAGTGAATAATATCTACCTAGGAGAGGGGGGCTGGCTGGTCATGGCCAGTCCAGTCCAGCCTCTTGTGTTTGTTTTGCTTGCCCTCTCGACGGCACGTGCGGCCCCACCGCCTCACCGCGACTTTTTTTCTTTCTTCATCTTCAATTTCCGTCGCATTCCTCATCGTCGCCTTTTTTTCCCCGACCGAAGGGTTGCTTGTTGTCCATCCCCATCTGATCTGGAACCATTCCCTGCATCTTGTTCATCTTCCATTTTTGCATCTTTCTTCTTTGATACCCCACATTCCTCATCAATATTGCTTATTTTTAATTCCCTTCCCTTCCCTCCTCCCCACCTCCATTGATTGATTCCCCGCCGTCCTGCCACGGAATAAATCTGAACTCATACCTGGGCCATCCTTGCCTCAGGCGCTAAGGTCACTGGATCGCCCTAGCGGCCGATTGTCTGGAGCAACCAAACTAAAAGTTGGGGCCCTCCGATTCCCGAGTGAGAAGGAACCACGGTTCAGCTCCGTCGTTGTTTACTGCGCTTTGCCGCCCAGCAAAAACAACTCGTTCCACGGGCTGAGCTGAACCTGACGGCCACTTTATTCTTGCTTGCCTTGCCTACCTTAGTGGTCCCATCCTCTTTCAGCCGTCCCTTCTCTCTCTCTCTCTCTCACACACTTCTCTTTCTCTCCCTGTCTCTTGTTCATATCCTCCCCTCCACTCTCATAAGTATTATCTTAATTCTCTGATTCTACTGTATTTTATTTCGCTCCTTTTGTTTATTACATCTTATTCCCCATTGTTTTCCTTTCCCAGGTTATTTCCCCCCCCTTCCATACTGTCTAATATTTAGGTTTTGCGGATTCTATCTCCTTCGCTTCGCCCCAGATTCCGCGATTGACATTCCACATGTCCGTCTGAATCGCTAGAGCATTGCTCGGATCGCTCTCTGCCCATCATGTTCAAGGCTCTCATGGGCGGGAACCGCTCCTCCTCCGATGTGCGCAGCAACTCGAGCTCCAAGAGCAAGAGCCGTCGCAGGACCAACTCGAAGGGTTCAACAGTGAGCCGCAAGTCCTCACGGGGTGACGACCGTGACCGTGGCTTGGGCGACCTGTCGGCGTATCCGTCTTCGAGTAGCCGGAGTCGGCGCAATGCATCGAGTGTCGCCGGCGAATCCGTCGCCTCGAGCTATGCGACGGCCGAACCGGGTGTTTCGGGCGACCCCGATCCCCTTCTTATCGAACGAGCCCCTAGACGCCGCGATTACGATGACTCCGACCGCCGCGACCGATACCGCGATGATTACGACGAAGTGGAGGATGGACCACGCAGGCGCAATCGGGCGCGCTCACCGAGCCGAGAGCGTGAACGCCCTAGAACAAGCCGATACAGTGAAGACAATGATGACCATGACGACGGTAACGATGATTACGATGATAGTAGGCGCAATCCTCGCCGAACCCGGTCGGGCGATGCGTATTATCCGCCTGTCTCGGGTGCACCCGATATGACATCTCCTCACCTGCCTCAATTTCCGCCGCAATTCCACAATGCGAGTCCCGATAGTCCGTTGGTGTCCTCTCCCCATGCGCCCGGAAACTACGACCCTCATGTCCAACAACAATTTCCCGGCCAGTTTCCGGCATACGTGCCAGAGCCTTACAGCCCGCCCAATCCCGCAGGCGAAGCAGCAGATTACTACGGTGACCAGGGCCAATCGGTCGCGCACCAGCCCGGTGTCCGGCCAAAACCTCCGCTAGTCGCTTCTCATGACCAGGCGCATTTGATGACCGCGTCGCCAACCGCCAATCCACCGCCGGAGCCGAGTAGTATGGGACAAGTCGGCGCTGCCGCTGGCTATTATACTGACGATGTTCCCGATACCGCCGCCGCTGAACAACCCAGCAGCTCATCTGCCCCTGCACCAAAGCCGCCCCGACCGTCCAAGCCATCTATACACACTTCCGGGCCAGCAGCTGCCGCCGCTACGTATGGAGTAGGAGAGGTACTGCACGATAGCAGTGCTTCTTCGTCGCCTGTCCACGTTGAATCGCCAACCTCAATTCATGATCCGCCGGCTGCTGGTAATTCCCAGAAGCCCCCGCATTCCCATGGTATGGGTGCTTCGTTTGGCGCAGCCGCAGCGGGTGCAGCGGCCGGCTACGCGATGGCTTCCCATCACCATTCGTCTAGTGCCGACCACACCTCCCAATATACCATGCAAAATTATGAGGAGCTCTCTCCAAATCCCACGGGGCAGCCTGGTCCGTCCATCTACCCGCCCTATTCGAATGCGCCCGCATATGCGGCTGGTGGTGCTGCACTGGCTGGGTACGCCACTGATCCCTCGCATCCTCATCATGCTGCGATCTACCATAGCCCTCCGCTACACGGCGGAGAGCTGGCCTTCCAACGGCCTCAGCGCGGCCCCATGGACAAGTTTATCGATTTTTGGCGTGATCCCGAAGGCGTGGGCATGTTCGAAGACTACACAGAGGCAATCGGAGTCTGTAAATATTGTTTTGAACCCGGTACAACCTCGCGTGACGCACCTCGCAAGCATCATTATAAAGCACGCCGCAATTCTGGAGATCGATACAGTAACGGGTCTCGGGTTGATAAACTGATTCGGTACGGGTCTTCCGATGACGAGAGCCGACGACGCAAGAAATCTTCGAGAAACTCATGGCTGCCTGGGGTGCTTGCTGGCTACGGAGTCAAGTCGCTCTTCAACAACAAAGATTTTGATGATACTTATAGCGTTCGATCTGGCCGCGTAATCTCGTCGCATGACACTGAGAGTGTTTCAACCGCACGCAAGAGCCAGACCTCACGAGGGGTTTACAGGCGCTCGTCGCGGAGCCGATCTGGAGATCGCTCCCATCGCTCTCACCGGAGCTATCATACGGACTCGAAAGTTGGTAAAGGCGAGATGCTTCGAATTAGGTCTCGCTCTCGCTCGCGCTCGCGCTCTTCATCGCGAACCCACAGTCACTCTGCTCTCAGGGACGCTGCTCTGGGTGCTGCAGTAGGTACGGCAGCCGTGTCAGTAGCAAAGTCTCGCCACAGAAGCAGCAGCCGAAGTCGATCACCGCGCAAAGCGCGCAGCAGAACCTCTTCTTCATCCGACTCCTCTGTTCTAAACATCTCGGGGCCTCCTGAAAAGCCCGCGGCCAGTGGTATTGGCTCATTCTTTTCTGCGTCTTCGGAAAACCGCAAGAAGCGCCGCACGAAAAAGCAAGGCAGCATCTTCTCTTTCAAAAACAATTCGTCTTCCTCCTCACTCGATGCCGATCTGGCTTTTGGAAACGGGTACTCGAAATTGCCGCCTGGTAAATCAAAGAAAAAGAAGAGCAAGAAGGACAAAAAAGACCTCGAAGCGAGACTTCTCGGGATGGGTGCAGTTGCAACTGCCCTTGTGGCAGCTCGCAAACACCACCGCCGACCAGGTGAAATCCTCGCTGGCAAAGACTCTCGCTCAGGTCGCTCGGACTATACCTCTTCCGCTTCCAATGATGAGGGATGGGAGGACCTAGACTCGGGTGACCAGTCTCCCGCAAGTGTCAGTTCGGGGCTTGCTTTTGGTGGAGATGACTCCCATTCTTCAGATTCTGGGAAGTCTATCTGGGGCTGGAGGTGGGGAAGCAAGAAGGGTAAGAAGAAGGCGAAGAAGAGGTCTGACTCGAAGGACGACCATCTGCCAAGTGCTGCTGCCCTGGGCGCTGGTGCTCTAGGAACAGCCGCACTTGCTTCGGCCTACTCCAAGAGTGGTAGAACGACCAGCCAGGACGCCATCAGCAGTACTGGGAGTCTTCAGCATGTAGCTCCAGTCCCCACCAGCGACCCGTCCCGGTTTGATGCCATCAGGGTATCGTCGATACCCCCCGCCCAGCCAACTTTTGTGCGCCCGGGACCTATACCTCTTCAACAACCCCAACCTGTGACACCGGTCTCTCAAGCGGTATACACCTCACAAGGCGAGCCGATTCATGCGTACAGTGCACCCGCGACCGGAGACCTCGCATTCGCAGGGGCACCTTTTGCTCCATATGAACAGCAGCCGCCCGAAACATTCAAAAAAGGACCGTGGAGTCAGGGGGGCCCTCCGTATCCCGATGATAGAGATGAGCCTATCATTAGACCGCCTCGACGAAGTGACTCTTCTCCCGTGTTTCCCACGGAGTCTCTAGAAGGGTCTCAGATTTCCGCGCTGAAGCGTCGATCCACTACTAAAGACCAGGCGTCGGTCTCGTTTGACCTGACACAGGAACAGGAGGACAAGGAGCGACGTGCGGATCGGCTCGACAGGTTGAGGCGCAACGCTGAGTACGATGGAGGCGTCCAACTTATTGACCGAGAAAGTGACATGGGGTCGTCGCGGGATTATGATTGCCGTTCTAGACGCAATAAACAACGGGATTCTGAATCAGTCCGGGACGATGGCTACAACGACGATCGAAGAGACTATGAGCGGGACCCTCCAAAGAGCTCGGACTCCTCGTCATGGATCGGCCCAGCAGCAGTAGGTGCCGTAAGCGCCGCGGCGGCAGTATCGGCACTCTCCAGCAGAGCTTCCCATGACGATTCCTCAGAGACGAGTCGACGCAGTGAGGAGCGCCGAGAGAAACGTCGAGCACAAAGACGCGGCGCGTCTGAGCCCGGCTCGACCGTTTCAAGTGCACCTATGTCTGACGTCGCTGACGATCGCTCGTTCTCGCCACATGAGGCAGAACATATCAAAACTTCCGCTTTCCGCGATGTGTATCGTCGTAAACAGTCGGTCCACGACGACTACGCGCAGTTCTTCGCCCCCGAAGTGCAACGCTACAGCCCTGATACATACCATCGCCGCGAGCCTACCTCCATGCCTACAATCATAGAAGTAGAGCCGACTAACCAGCGTGTCCGCACGCTGAGCGAAGGCCCGCATCCAGAATATGACAATCTGCCTTGGCCCGTACCGACTCTCAAGCTTATTGAACCCACACCACCGCAAAGCTTAAGCGGATCCGTTAGAGACCTCGCATCGCCGGTCATGTCAACTCCTGAGATCATCGAGGCAGAAAGCCCACCAGAGCGACCTACAACAGGCTCAAGGGTCTCTTGGGGCGAACATGAGATGCACGAGTACGAGGTTCCTTCTACGTCTTCCGATCACGAGTCTGTCGATCATGATCTTCCAAGCCGAAGTAGATCGAGTCGGAAAGATGATCTTGGTGATGAAGAACTGAGCCGAAATATCAGAGACGCCTCGCCCAAGAATACCTCCAGCAACGTCGAAGGTGATATCGATTTTGCCGCAACGGTGGCTGCGGCCACTGCAGCTGCGGGCTTCGATCCTTCACTCGTGACAGATGATCCGACCTATCACACGCGGTCGTCACCCCCTGGATCGGGGATCCAATTCGTTTCCCCTTGGACTCGGGCGCCTGTTGAACCCAGAGAGCCGCATGGGTTTGTCGAAGGCGAAGTGGAGACACCGGATGATAGGCGGAGGGATGGGTCGCCGCCAAGACAATTCATGGACAATGAACCACTTTTTTCAGAGCCTGAGCCCGTCACTCGGGAAAAGGATGTAATCTACGAGAACAAACCTCGATCGACTATTGCACAAGAGGTCATTGAGCAACTGGGGGGGCGTCGCGATGACCGTCGTAGATCTCAATCTCCCCCAGACGAGGCCCTTTCTATGCCAGGTGGATTCGGTCAGGAGGATTCACCTATTAGGCGCTCGCATGATATGCCCAAGGACGGTTTCCAATCGACACCTGCAGACTTTGAGACTCCGACACACTCACGATCCCGGTCTAGTACCGACGATTTGAAGCTGCAGGAAGATGACACTGCATCTTTAGCCGATAACGGCTCCGAAGGGAAAAAGAAACGGCGCAAGAGGCGCTCCAAGCGAGACACCGATGACTTCGAAGATTCTGCTTCTGTGACATCCTCGCCGGCCAGAATTGGGGAAAGCCGTGACAAATCCAGAAGCACAGACGAGAAGACGGAAAAGAAGCCGGGCAGCTTCTTAAGCAGTATCTTCGGCTCTAAAGTGTCTGAGCCAGTAGACAGCACAGGATCCTCTTCTTCAGATAGACGCACGTCTCGTGAAGTCCAATCGGATATCGGAACCCGGTCATCGGAGAGGTCGAGACATCGGCGGAAGGACAAGTCTTCTAGCCGTCGCAGCTCTAGCCGTGCCGATACACTAGAGGGTGACTCTGCTGATGAGGACAGTACGGTTGCGGAAAAGGAGAACATTAACGTCGAAGGCTACAAGTCGAGCAGACAGCGAAGGGAAGAACGCCGGCGGCAAAGACACGAGGGCATTCTGGAATCTGGTAACGGAAGGGGAGATGAGAAGGTATAGTTTTAGCTGTTTTTCATTTTTTTCTTTCTTCTGTAAACTTTGTGTGGTTTGCCTGATCTGATCTATTCCCGGACTTTGATGATTTGTGAATATTTTATATGACTCATGTACTAAATGCTTTATTGCTTCTATTTTTCTCCGTACAGGCCCGAGATTCATCTGAAGACAACGATGAAGAAACCAGAGGTCTGGGGCTAGATCTTCTAGAGCAGCGGTCAAGAAGCCGTTCAGAATCGCTTCCTCTATCAGCCAAGACCTTCGACCTGGAACCCAAATCGCAGAGTAGACCAACATCTCCTGAATTGGCCCAAAGACAGGGCGAGAACGAAGATCTCTTTGCATCGCAATCGGTCGTGTCGCGCTCGAATGATTCGCCTACTGCAGTGCCCCTGCATTTCCGCCGGCCCCCAACCTCCCCGGGTCTCTCGCGTTCACCTTCTGCCAATTTCCCGATAGCCCCGTCTCCTGGATCTCCGACTCAAACGCGCCCGCGCCGGCCCAACTCAACCGAGTTCAGAACCTCGCGCGAGATCCGCCCGCTGTGGCTCGTGGAGCGCCATGGTTCCAGCAAAGTAGAAGCACAGCCCGATGAGCCCTTGCCTTCGCTCCCATCCAGCAAGAGCTCGTCCGCGAACGCATCGGTCGAGGACCTAACTGCTCTGTCAGATGAGAAGAGCTGGGAGATGCTTGACTACAGTCACTATGTCCACGGCGCACCTCAGGCTCGAGGCTTCGACCAGACCTCTCCTGCAACGCACGCAGGGGAGAACAACATCCATCACGATTTCCTCGGTTCTCAGGAAGGGACACCCACCGCGGCAACTTTCGGCCAAACCAGTGCCCCCTCTTCAGCCAAGAAGAGCAAACCCAAGTACGAATTCCACTCCCCGTCGGAACTCCTCCAAGATCCTAGTGTATATGGCGAATTGCCGCCATCCCCGACGATGGGATCCCTACCTTCGGCCGAAGGCTCTGCGGTTGGGATGAAGAAGGAAGATGAACATCGACCTTCGACTCCGGAGAACAAATCTTTCGATATACCGGAAACAGCACAGTCGACTCCTACTCAACGCAAGACCGCTCCGCTGGCGGAGCCTGCGGAGTCGTCAAAGGGAATGGGCATCGCTGGCGCTGTTGGCGCTGTAGTCACTGCTGCAGTTGGATTAGATAGACATGCACCATCTGGTCTATCAGGGAAGAACGACGAAGCGATTGCAGAAAGGAAGGAGGCGGATAAATCGCTGTCGAACGGCGAAGATACCGCGCAGACCCATGATACTCTTTCGCGTGATCTTCCGCCAGGCTCTTTTCCATTGGACAAGGGCCTTGAAGCGTCTCAGCCTGCATTGAGTGCTCAGGACGGTTCGAAAGAAGTTGTTGATCCCGCCGACTCACCTGTTGCAGGACCTACCGATGAAAAGCGTGAAATCGCCAATGAAACTACGACGGCTGAGCCGGGTAGAGAATCAATGGCAGATGAGCACTTTGCGGTTGGTGACGACAAAGCAGCGGAAGAAAAGAGAGACCAGGCATCTGAAGAGATCAAGCCAATTGGGGAAGGCCCTGAAGTTCAAAAGGAGTCAAGAGATCTTGCTGCTACCGACAAAGCGAAGGAACCCGAAGCCAGTGCCGTTCCAGATACAGTGAAAGACATTTCTCGGGAACCTTTCCAAGACGAGTCGGATGTCTTTGGACCCTCAACTGCTGAGCGAAGCGCGGAACCGGTACCTGAAGCCACGCCTCAAGAAGAAAGCGACATTGTTCAGACACAACCGGAAGAACTAACTGCTGAAGCTGCCGCACCGGTCTTATCGAAGAAGCAAAAGAAGAAAGAGCGGAAGAACAAGAAGAAGGCGGGGTCGAATGAACTTGAACCCGTTCTTCCTATCGAGGAATCAACGCCTGTGGAAACCCCTTCTGCTCTAGATCAACCAACCCCTGTGGAAACCGAGAAGCCCGAGGCGGCCGCGAAGCCAGAAGAATCACTTTCTCAAGAGCCTGCACCGGAAACCGTTCCTAATGATTTTGAAGCCAGTCGTTCGTTAGAGCCTGAAGTGCTACCGGCTGCGGACGCTGAAGGAACATCTGCCGAGACAACCGAAACCGCAGTGTCTTCTAAGAAGTCGAAGCGTGACAAGAAGAAGAAAAAGAAGAGCAAGAGCTCTGCTGCGGAAGAGGTTCCTGAGGAACCGACTACCATCGAGTCTACGCAGCCTTCAGTCGAGACCCCAACTGATGACAATGACTTCAGATCGGCTGAGGAGAGCACGGAGCAAAATGTGGAGGAGTCGCCAGTCCAAGACATTTTTGAAGATTCTCAGGAACATCTTTCCCCTACCACTCGGGGGCTAGATGAAATTACTCCAGAAGTTACTGACAGCGTCGCGCATGAAGCCTCGAACCTACCCGAGCAGCGTCCTCTGGAAGCAACAGAGACTAAAGAAGAAGACAAGGGACTGTCGGAAACCCCAGAGCAGCTACAGGGCCTGACGACTGAGCCTACCTTCGCCCAAGAGGAATCTCCAGAATCCATTCAAGCCACTGGCGAGAACGCTGCAGATGACCCAACTGCGGAGCAGAGTAAAACGCTCCCTGGTCAGCTCGAGGCAACCGACGCAGTCCCCACCGCCGATACTTCAGAGGTAGTCTCAGCGCAGGCAGATTCGACCGCGCCAGAGCCAATTGAAGAAGGGAAAGCAGAGAAACTCGAGGAGAAGGAAACGGAAATTCCTACCGACCAGGCAGCAGAGCCAGCAACAGTCGATGTACAAACTCAGGATATTGAGCCAAGCACAGTTGTCGAGGACGACCAGACGCGCGAAATTCAGGACAATGCCACCGACAAGAGCGTTGCCGAGCCACTCGAAGAGGCCGGAGCCACAGCTGCGCCTTCAGAGCCTGTGCTCGAGGGAACTGCCGAGGCTGCCGTTACCGGTGATGGTGAAACCGACGTGAAGGGATCAGGAGAGACGCACCCGCAAAGCGAGGAAACTTCTCAGGATCTAACAAAGCCCGAGGATCCAACTCCTGAGGGCCATGCTTCGACAATGGAATCTCAGGCAATAGACCAGAACGAAGCTACACCGAAAGAGAGCCCTGAAGAAGTAGCCGAAGAAACCCCCAAGAAGAAGGGCAAGAAGAACAAGAAGAAGCGCAAGTCTACCGTCTCATCGTCCGACCCTCCAGCTGAGCTGGAGAACGAGTCCGAGGCAGCCAAACCCGAGGAGTCTGCCCCCGAGCAAGAAGCCACTGAGACTGCTTCCCCGGCGCAACCCGATGACCAAGACCCCACAGCTGTTGCTGAAAGCCAGGATGTTCGCGAGGAGCAGCCCTCTGAACCAAAAGAGGAAGACGCCGTGCCCGAAGCAATGGAGAGCGAGACAATTATCCCGGTGGTGAAAATTCCGAGCCTTGACGCCAATGATGCCGAGCAGCCCATGCCCGTTCTCGAGGAGAAGCCGGCCGAACCTGAATCTATGCCTGAACCCGAGTCGCAGCCCCTGTCCCAGCCCGAAGTGGAAGAAGAGAAGGAGAAGGAGCCGACGGGCAAAAAGGGCAAGAAAAAGAAGTCGAAGAAGAAGAGTATCGCTGCCGTGCCGGACGAGACCGAGGCTGCACCTGAGCCCTCTCCGGACAGTGCTGTCGCTGATGTTTCCAAGGATGTGGAGGCAAGCGCTTCTCCTGAATCTATTGTACCCGGGAATAACCAAGAACTTGCTCAAGAGAAGACAACAGCCGAAAGCGAGCCTGCTTTGGAAACTACCGATATATCTAAAGATGTGGATCTAGGTGATTCTCTCGAAGCCAATGTTCCCGGGGACAGCCAAGAGCCAGCCCAAGATAAGCCCGTGGAAGCTGAGCCATCGGCCGAGACAGCTGTAGAGGGCACAAAAGACATCGAGGACCAACCTGAAGAGTCTAAACCTGAGTCCCTGGAGCAGCCTCAAGAACAATCTACGGAACAACCCCTGGGGCAACCGACTGAAGAGCCCCTCGAACAACCCAAGGAGTCCGAGCCAGCCGAATCCGAAGTCCCCATGACCGCCGCTCAAAGAAAGAAGGCGAAGAAACAGAAGAAAAAGAAGGATCGCCAATCTGCTTCCCTAGAGGAGGCGGGCACGGAGACGACTCCCATTGAGGTCTCTGCAGAAACAGACCCTAGTTCTACTGCAGAGCCGCCTACAGGGACTCAAGAGTCTGAAGATGCCCGGGTTGTTTCCGAGGAGGCGCCAGTCGTGGATGACAAGCAAGAGAAGCAGGTGGAGGACATTGCGCCTACTACAGAAGACTCGGAAGGTCCACGGGCTGTTTCAGATGACCTACCTAAATCAGATGACAAGGTTATGCAGCCGGATGGGGAGATGCAGGGAATTGCGGAATCGAACATCCCAACTGAGGAGTCTATTCCGTCTACTGAGCCTCTGCCTCAGCCCGAGCATGAGCAGCAAGAATCCGCAGGTACTACTCACGAGGCTACGCCTACGACCTTGCCTACGGATGACCAAGAGAGTTTCCAACCTGCACAGGAACAACCTACAGAGGAAGCAGCTGCTGTAGAGACCCAGGAGCCGATTTCAGTGCCCGAAGAGTCCCCGGAGACTGTGACTCAACCTGCCGATATCGACCCCAAGGATGAGGATGTTGCAGTCGGTGCTGAAAAGGACGAGCGTACAAAGTCGGACCCCGATGAGATTGCGGAAGGGGTATCCAAGGACGTTGTGTCGCCCGCTCAGGAACTCCTCGAGGGAGAGACACAGGAGGAGCCTGTCAAAGAGCCAGCAACTCAAGAGGGAGCTGCCAAGGAAGAGCCAGTCAATGAATCAGCCCTGGAAAAACCCGTGCAAGATTCCGCACGAGCGGTCTCAGAAAAAGTCAAGGACGAGCCGGTCGTGGATGAACACGCACAACAAGAGCCCGCACAGCAGGCAACACAGTCGGAAGAGTTGAAGGAGGAGACAGCTCAAGAACATACTCCAACCGATATTGATCCGATCAGTACGGAAGCTTCCTCCGAGCAAGTCGAAGGCCAAGACAACACCACTACCACTGAAAAGAACGTCCCTGAATCTGCGCCAGAGGAGATCCAGTCTGAGCCTTCTACAAAGTCTAAGAAGTCCAAGAAAAAGAAGAAGAAGTCTCAGTCTGGTCAGGCCACCCTTGAAGAGGTCAAGGAGTCCGTGGCTGAGGAGCCAGTGGCAGAGGAACCGGCGGCAGAGGAACCAGTTCAAGTGGAGCCATCAGAAAAAGAACCAGAGAAGGAGCAGCAGGTGCAAGAACCAGCTCCCGAAACTTCTGAACAGACCCAAGTCGACCCGATCAGCACCGAAGACTCCGAAAAGGTGCCAGGCGAAGAAGATACCGCTCCTGTTGACACGGAGAAGGGCATCACTGTAGCTACACCTGAAGACACTCAGCCCGACGACACCCCTGCGACTTCCAAGAAGTCAAAGAAAAAGAAGAAGAAGTCAAAATCGGGACAGGCTACACCGGATGAAGTCAATGAGTTAACGCAAGAGGAACCGGTGAACGAGAAGCAGGAGGCAGTTCAAGAGCCAGTTCAAGAGCCAGTTCAAGAGCCAGTTCAAGAGCCAGTTCAAGAGCCAGTAAATGAGGTCGTTCAGGAGCAGCTCCCAGCTGACCTGACCAGCGCATCCGAGCAGGCCCAACGCGAAGATGCCCTTCCTGCCGAGGAAAACGACACGGCAACCACACCTGCGGAGACCCAACCTGAAACCCCACCTATGTCCAAGAAAGAGAAGAAAAAGAGAAAGAAGAAGTCTCAATCAGGACAGACTACTCCTATAAGCGAGGTTGCCCCAGAGGTTGCCCCAGAGGCCTCATCTGATGCAAAGCAGGAGTCCTCCGATACCCCTGAAGACAAGCAAGATCCTCCTGTCTCTGATACACAGGAACCCGCGCCTGAGGAGCTACACGAATCGGCGCAGGAACCCACGGTCGATGAGCGTCAAGCTGATGAAGCCAAGACCAAGGAGGTACCCACGGTCGAAGATTTCAAAACTGAAGAACCTAAGGCCGACGAATTCAAGACTGAGGAGAAGCCCAAGGCAGAGGAGCCAAAGCTCGAGGAGCTCAATACCAAAGAGGAGCCCAAGGCCGAAGACGAGACGCCAATTGAGTCTGAGCCGATAGACCTAGCAACTCCGACCAATTGGCAACCTCTCCCCGAGCCAACAGAGTCTACCCCTGTTTCCGAGTCCACTGAGGGACCCCAGCCTTCCACTTCCAAGAAAAAGAAGAAGGACAAGAAGAAGAAGCGTCAGTCAACTTCAGTTGATGAGAGTCTCCCTTCTCCTACGACCGAACAAACAAGCGAAACTCTGTCTGAGAAGCCACTCGAATCCGAACCCGCTCTTGAACCTTCACAGGAGATATCTTCCACTGATGTCGAAAAGTCTGAAGAGAAGGTGGTGCCTGAAGATCTTACTCAAGAGTCAAATGGCGATGACACCAATCCTGCAGAGTCCGCGGGCATTGAAGAGACCGCTAAGACCCCAGAAGTCGTCGAATCTCAAGAGACTGTGGAGACTGCTGAAGCTGTTCCGGAACCTCAAGAAGGATCTTCTAAGAAGAAGAAGAAAGACAAAAAGAAACGCAAGTCCGTTAGCTTTGCCACTGAGGAGCCATTAACGCAAGAACCTGAGCAGTCTACATCCGAGGTCATAGAGCCAGTTACTGCGACCGTTGGCTCTTCAGGCACGCCCGTTGAACATGACCTCGGGGATTCTCTCCAGCAACCGAGCCAAGAGAGTCAGGATGGTGCGCCTACGGATGAACCTCGCCAGAAGGAGTCCCTGTCTACTGAGTCCACGCAAGAGACTCTCGCCGCCTGCGAGTTGGAGAATGAGAAGCCCAGCGAGGTCTCCACTCCACAAGAAGAGCAACCTCAATTGCAAGCCGACTCTACACCCGAGGAGTTAGGGCACGCCACGGAGTCTTCTGAGCCCGTCCACGTACCAATCGAGGAAAAGGTACCTGCAGAAGAAACCACTGGTGCTACGGCAAAAGAATATCCCCTCGGTGATGCTGAGGTATTCCTTAAGCCTGATCATGAGAAGACAGAAACAGACTTTGTCTCTTCGGATGAAACTCAACAACAGCCCGACGCTGAAACTCCTGCTGAGCAGACTACTCCTGAAACAGTGCCCCAGGCTGCAGAAAACGGTGTCGATGAAGTGACCGAGACTCCTAAATCCAAGAAGTCGAAGAAAAAGAAGAAGAAGGCTTCTGAAGTAAGCGAAGAAGCTCCTGCAGAGACTCCAGAATCTAGCAGCAAAAAGGCTCCGGTGGAAACGGAGAAGGTCCCTGATACCCCGACTTCCGAAGATGTCGCCGAGCCTGCCGCGGATCCAGTTATAGAACCTGTTGCGGAGCCCGTTGCGGAGCCCTTTGCTGAGCCCGTTGCTGAGCCCGTTGCTGAGCCCGTTGCTGAGACTGTCGCAGAGCAGGTCGCGGAGCCTGTGACCGAGCCTGAGAAGCCAGAGGACAATGAATTCGCAAACATGTCTGCCAAGGAAAAAAGAAAGGCTAAAAAGAAGAAGAAGGCTTCGGCAGTAATCGAAGAAGCTCCCACAGAAATTCCAGAACCCAGCAGCGAAAACACTCCGGCGGAAACGGAGAAAATTCCTGATACCCTGGCCTACGAAGAGATCACCGCAGAACCCGCTATAGAGCCTGCCACGGAATCTGCTGCGGAATCAACCGCTGAGCCCGTCGCTGAACCTAAAAAGCCAGAGGATGATGAGTTCGCAAACATGTCCGCCAAGGAAAAGAGGAAAGCCAAAAAGAAGAAGAAGGCTTTAGGAGTCGCAGAGGCTCCAGAGCCTAGCAGTGAAAATACTCCGGTAGAAACGGAAAAGGTTCCTGATACACCGGCAGACGAGGAGATTACCCCTGAGCCTGTCGCTGAGCCTGTCGCTGAGCCTGTCGCTGAGCCTGTCGCTGAGCCTGTCGCTGAGCCTGTCGCTGAGCCTGTCGTTGAGCCTGTCGCTGAGCCTGTCGCTGAGCCTGTCGCTGAGCCTGTCGCTGAGCCTGTCACTGAGCCTGTCACTGAGCCTGTCACTGAGCCTATCAATGAGGCCGAAAAGTCAGAGGATGAATTCGCAAACATGTCCGCCAAGGAAAAAAAGAAGGCCAAAAAGAAGAAGAAGCGGCAGTCGAAAAGTATAGATGTGGGAAATGATGGGAGTGCGCGAGAAACAAGCGAAGTCGAGACTCCTGCCGAAGTTGAACATTCAGACCCTTCTCTTGAGACGGCAACTGCACCTGCTGAAGATGACGGTAAACACAATCAGTCCCACGACACCGGCGTACACGGCAAGAACGATAAAGATCTGACTTGGACTGATGACAAAGTATCTTCGCAGGTAGAGCAACGGCCACCGACTCCACCCGCTGATAGTCCCCAGCCCGTGCCTGAACCCAACGATCCCGATTTGTCATTTGCGTTGCCCAGTGTTGAGGGAAAGATTGCTGATCATGATGATACGGGTGAACAAATCCAAGCGTTCACAGGAAACGAAGAGGAAAGTGGTCAGGGAGGGCAGACAATCGAATCTAAAATGTCTGCCGAGGGCTTCGAAAACAACGCCACCCAAACGACTGATGCGGTAGCACCTACGCATGAGGAGGCAGATGGACCTATACCTGAGCCTACAGTTACGGGGAAGTCTGAAGAACAACCGAAATTAGAAACTTCCGATCAACTATCGGCGGGGGAAGCTGTGCAGGAAGAAAAGCTGGATACGATTGAGACACTACCCATCACTGGCGAAAAGGAAGACGATTCAGTGGCTATCCCAGCCCCGAAGGTTCAAGAAGATGTTGTTCTCGAGCCTACCGGTGATAAATCTGTGGGTGAAACGGAAGCGACAAGCGAGACCGCCCCGCCAGACACTGATGCGCTTGAATCCGCCGTGCCGTCAAGAAAGTTGAGTAAGAAGGAGCGGAAGAAGAAACAGCGCGAGGCGCAGAAGGAAGCAGACTTGTCTAAGGAATCGGACACGCAGGGTCTTCCCGAGGTCAAGAACCACTCGGCTGCTTCGGTTGCTCCTGACACCGGTGACGGTGCAGAGACATTGCCTGAAGCCTCCATGCAGGAACCAAGAGAAGGGTTAATTTCACAGGAGCACGTCGAGGACCAGCACGCCTCTGTTGAGGATACGCTTCTCTCCGCCGGTGATCAGCCAATTAATCCGCGGGCTTCCGAGGGCAAGGAAGATACGGAGACATTGTCCGAAGCTCCCGTACAGGAAGCCAGGGAGGAGCACGTCGAGGAAGCATCTAAGCCAACTTCTACAGAAATGGAGCTTCCCTCCTCCGATGCCCAGACAATCGATTCAACGGCTTCTGATGGCATCAAGGATACGGAAACATTGCCTCAAGCGCCTGGGCCGAAGCTGGACCAAGAGAAGCACCTAGAAGTACAGCCTGACTTTGCAGAGAGCAAGGTGGAACCCGAAGCGGTCACGGAGGCACCTGAGACGGTTGCAAATGAAGTACCTTTAGACTCAAACACTCCTACCGCTGCCGAGGTACCTCGCGAGGGTCATATGAAAAACAATCTGGCTCCAGAGCCTACAGAGATGGAGATCCTTCCCGAGAACAACAATGATGACTCCGGGGCCGTGACTTCATATAAGGGGAAGAGCGAAGAGAACGAGACTGCTCAGGAGGGAACAAGGGAGCTTCCTCAGATCGAAGATGCGTTAGCACAGGCCGAAACTGCAATTGACGAGGGAAAGACCATGCAAATTGAGACGGGATTCGCCGAGCACATGCAGTCACCTGAGGCGGACCGTGGGTTACTCTCCGAAGAGAAACAACCCACCCAGGACGAGACAATCACTGCACCTGAAGTGGCATCTAGTGAGCAGCCACAGCCAATTACGGATAACCAGCTTCCCGAAGAAAGTGCCCCGTCGGAGCCGTTAAGTCGAAAGGAGTCTAAGAAAAAGAAGAAGAAGGCGAAGAAAGACAGCAAGAAACACTCTGAGGATGTTCCTCCTCCTTCTACTCCTGTTCCTGCTGAAACCAAGGAAACCGCGGCAGAGACAAATACGACGGCGGCATCTCCTGAAACCGACCTGCCTCTCGAAGAACCAGGGCCGGAACCAAAGGAGATATCTGAACGCGAAGTGCCCTTAGAGGGTGCGGTGGAGCCTCAAGATTCTACGCCGATATTTGAATCAGTTCCTGTTGAGGCACCTCTTCAAACAGACGAAAAAGCTCAAGAGGTGGCCGCAATTACTCCAGATCAAACCGTTCAGGATCCCATGGAAGAGCAGCAAGAGGCGTCTCGAGAAGACGACAGACTGGAAGATGACGAAAAGCGTGTGCCAGCAGAGAGTGAAGCTGCTGGAAAGGGCAATCTCCATGCCGTTGAAGAACATGTAGTTGGTGATGATTCTAAGAACATCGAACCTGCAGAGTCTCTCTCTAGGAAGCAGTCGAAAAAGGATAAGAGAAAGGCGAAGAAGAAGGCCAAGCAAGAGGTTGGGGAGACAGCGCCACAGTCGGAGCAAGTTCCAGAAGCTCTTCCGGAACCCATTGAAGAGCAACAGCCTAAGCCCGAACCCGAGGTAGTTCCAGTGGCTCCTAAAGGCCTTACCGAAGAGCAGCCTGAGCCTAAACTCAACCCAGAGGGCATGGGGGAACCAACCGAAGAACCGCCTGACGCCACTGAAACAGCCATGGAGGGCTCAGAGGAACAGCCAACTGTTCAGCCTGTACCTGAGTATGAACCGGCCCTTAGGTCTCCACGGGACATTATCGAAGAGCAGCCTACCGTCGAGAAAGCGCTTGTGGAGGATGCGAAGCCCGAGGAAGCAGAACAGCCCGAGCCTGAGACAGTTGTGGAGACTACGAAAGAACTCACTGAAGAACAACCTGCCGTCCCGGAAACAGTATTAGATGAGAAGTCCCAGGAAGCAGGACGCTCTGAGCCCGAGGCAGCTGTGGAGGCTACTTGGGAGATTGTTCAAGAGTACGAAACGCCGAAGGATTCGGGGAAGATGAGGGATGAGCAACCGGAGCCCGAAGCGGCTCTGGATGCTACGAAAGAACTTAGTGGAGAGCAGCCTGCCGTTCCGGAAACAGCGGCAGAGGAAAAGTCACAGGAGGCAGAACAGGCCCAGCTTGATTCAGCCTCAGAGGCCCCCAAAGAAACTGTCGAAGGTCAACCTGCCACCACGGAGACACCAACTCAGGATCCGGGGCTAGGATCTATCGAGGATAACAACCTGGATGAGAACCCTCCTTCGAGGACATTGTCTAAGAAAGAGAAGAAAAAGAAGCGCAAGACAAACCATAGCCAGGAGGCCAATTCATCGGAGATTGGTGTTCCCAGCGAGCCTGCGACCGATCTCGTCTCTAAACTATTCCGTGCACCGGAAGAATCGGAGGTTTCAGACCCCCGATACTATGCCCTTGATGATGACTTTTTGCCGTCCATTGATTGGGAGAAAGGTAAGATCGATTCCAACGAACCATCTCCCCAGTCGTCGCCTGAGACTCGAGCTTCTGTTCCATTTGAGCCAGGCATTGCTGAATTCGACGAATCTGCTATTCCAGAAGGTCTAACCGTACGAGTAGACAACTTGGCCGCTAAAAGGGGAATGAGGGAAGCGCCAAGGGATTTGGGACATGAAGCGATGAGCTCGATCCCAGAAAAGCGAAGCAAGAAAGATCTTGATGTTTTACCACACAAGCACCCCAAAGTCACAAGCGTGTTCCCCGATCTTGAACGAGGCTCATTCCAACTTCCCCCACCCATCCAATTGTCCCAGCCAGTAAAAGATGAGGCCGAGGATGAGACCATCGCCCACAAGCAGGTCTCGGAGGCGTCCATTCCCACTGCCGACGACAAAGTTAGCGGTCACGCCCAGGATTATATCACCTCCCGGGAGCCACAGATCGAAAGTGTGGATCGTGAGCTCTCGGAGGGCCCTACACTCGACGATCGTCAATCCACTGCCATTGAAAGGCCCTCCGTTGAAGTCGAGACCGAGCAATCAGGCCAGAAAGCCGAAGAAAGCTCTCGTTCAATTGCGACGCAACCCTCGATCGAGAAGAACCTTGGCGCTGTGGAAACCAAACAGCCCGAAGGAGACATTTCAGATCCGTTCGCCAGCAGCGAAACTCCTTTGTTTGCACCGAAGCCCGTCCACGAGATCCCTTCCTCTATCTTCGGTCCCACCGATGTAGAGCGACGACTTCCTAGCCCTGAAACCTGCGAGCTTCGACGCAGTCCATCCATTCATGGGCGGCCCAACCATCCTCCCCGATCATGGTCTCTGGAGGATACTGCTCCCATTACAGACCCTAGAACAACGTCGCCTTCCGGCTTCGGTGGGCAACTAGGAACCAGCAAGGACATGGGGTCCCCTCCTCGGACCCCCTTACAGACCATTACTGAGCAAGAGCCAGGGGAAGGCAGCCGGGGCAGGGGCACCACAGGCCCTGAGGGCGGCACGCCTCGTCTGGAGATAAAGCCCGAGCATATCCTCCCCCGACCTGAGACTCCGGTGCGCAAGTTTACAGACAACGCGCTATCCCGCCAGGCGTGGCCTACGCCAGAGAAAGGTACGCCTACCAGCGAAGATGGAGGGGATGTCGCCGTGAGAAAACCGCGACAGGCGGGCAAGAAATTCTCGGCGGAAATCCTACAGACTCCGGAGCAAGGCATGCCGATCCTGAGGCCCACCGACAGCGTGAACAGCCTTCGGAGCGCGCAGAGCCAGCGATCGCTGCGACGAATGAACCGAAGCACTAGCGGCGATTTGCGGGCGGCGGCCAACCAACCGGCGGGAAGTCCCCAACCTCCCGCAGCCGCTTCGCCCCCTCTTCCGTCCGACGTGAACTTCGAGCGCATCGCTTCCTCTTCTTCCTACGACCCCGTCACGGACAAGGGCAAACGCCCCCTGCGAACCATGACGGATGTCTATGTAAGCCTTTCTCTAAAAATCTCTCCCCACAGATCTATTAGTCCGTTCTCAAAATGATGATCATCAACGATGCTGACTTTTTTTGTTTATTTAGGAGGGATGGGGGGAGACGCCGAGCTCACCCCGGTCGCCTAGCCGACCGCCCAGCGTCCGGCACCGTCGCAGCATGCAACACCTCCAAGAACTCGAATCTCGTCTCGATCAACTCGTCTCGGAAAATCGCCTTCTCATAGCTGCGCGTGAATCGGCCGAGGAAAAATTGCAGAAAACCAGTGTCGCTCGTCGCAGGAGCGACCGTGCCCTCGATACACGCGATGCTGACCTGCGGGACAGGGAAGCTGAGGTGGAACAGCTCAGGAGCTCGGTGGACTGGCTTCAGAAGGAAGTCTCTCGATTGAATCAGGAAAATGAAGGGCTGAACTCCTCCAATTCTCACCTCGTTGCCCTCCATGCGACCGAGATTCAGACGGTGCGAGAATCATCCGTTCGCGAACTGGACGACTTGCGCCTACAAAACAGACAGCTGTCGAAGAACATGCAAGACAAGATACGACAAGAAGTCGATGCTGCATTGGCTCAGAAAAACATGGAACTGCGCCGACTACGTGAGGAGCTCGAAAATGCGCGCGACAAAGTGAAAGAGCTACAGCAACAGATCGCCGCCTCGATGAACGAAAACGTCCTGGTCTTCCGCGACGAAGACTACTTCGATGCCGCCTGTCAGAAGCTGTGCGGCCACGTGCAACAATGGGTACTACGATTCTCCAAGCACTCCGACCATCGCCGCTGCCGCAAGCTTGGTGACCTACAAGACGAGAAGATTGCCGACCGCTTTGACAATGCTATCCTGGACGGCTCGGATGTCGACGCGTACCTTGCCGACCGGGTACGACGGCGCGACGTATTTATGTCGGTTGTAATGACAATGGTGTGGGAGTTTGTCTTCACGCGATATCTATTCGGCATGGATCGGGAACAGCGACAAAAGCTCAAGTCTCTGGAGAAACAATTGACGGAGGTTGGTCAGCGCGGCGCCATTCACCGATGGCGTGCCACCACCCTCACTCTCCTGTCGAAGCGTCCCACCTTTTCCCGCCAGCGCGACAACGACACCGAAGCTGTCGCGTTGGAGATCTTCGATACCTTGTCGCGTCTACTGCCCCCGCCCACGAACGTGGAATCTCAACTCCTTGACTCGCTACGCAAGGTGCTCCGGGTGGCAGTCAATTTGTCCATTGAGATGCGCACGCAGCTCGCCGAATATATCATGCTGCCTCCGCTGCAACCCGAGTACGACACGAACGGCGACCTCGCCCGACAAGTCTTCTTCAATGCATCTCTCATGAATGAGCGCAGCGGGGAGACCACTTCGAACGAGGAATTGGAATCCCAACAGGCCGTGGTCCGGGTTGTCCTGTTCCCCCTCGTGGTGAAGAAGGGCAATGATACGGGCGACGGCGAAGACGAAGTAGTCGTCTGTCCAGCACAAGTGCTTACTGCGCGCCCATTTAAAGACAAAAGGGTGTCAAAGATGATGAGTGGGGACCGCATGTCCCTAGATGCCAACAAATCCGTCCACAGTGTCGCCCCGTCATCTAATTTAGACATGAGCAATGTGATCTGAGGCGTCACACTCGGATCATGAATATGACATGTCAACGGGACTGCACTGACAGTTGTTGGTGTCTTGTGTTTTTCTTTTTGATTTCATTCTCCTTTTCTTCAGACTGGAGTGGTAATGGACCATGACCAAAATACGGATCACAAAAATTTACTGGGTAATGGGTAATTCTGCGAGGTAAAGGGCCTACGGGTCTCTGTTGTTGTTTTTTGGTTTTCATTGTGTTCTATTAACGATGCTTATGATGATGTCAACATCTAGAATTGATGATGTGACGGCCCTATCTATCATTTTGTTGATTGGGATTTGCATGTACATGAGATATGATTTTCAGGTCTATTTTCCTTGTCTGTTATTGTTTTTTGAGGAACGATGATCGGGGATGAAATGTTCATAATTGTTGCTGCCTGTATGTAGCATGTACCGATACCAAATTTTATTAGTTCTCATGGCTGTCTCGGCGCGTACCTGTACTCCGCAGTCGTACCAAATCGCTAGGGCGAGACCTTCCCTTATCGCCCGGCGGTGACCTCATCAGCAGCCTGAGGCAGGTGCCCCACGAGTGATGATGACAGGATTCCGTCCTTCCCTTCCTTCCTTCCTTTCTTTCTGCTCTTCTCCTGATGCCCGCAGCGTTGAATCATTCGCTAAGTCCTGACCGATCTTTCTCCTGAACCGGTCTTTGATCCTCCCCAATCCAATAGCCGCCGTTTTAGCTCTTGCAGCTCCCGCCTTACCTTCAGTCTTACCGACTCCTTTCCCGCTAGCTCGGGTTTCAAACCATCGCTCACGGTCAGTTCCTTGATTCTCGTTAGTGTCTCCGATGTCCCAGACTCTACTACCAGCTCGCCACGCACATTCGGCCGGCTAGCTGCGACTCTTCGCCCTGCAACTCGATGAATTGTCCGTGACAATGCTGAAGTCTGCTTCCTTCGACCTCCTGCAGCTACATGGACGTTAGGACAACACTTTACCCCTTTTCGCCCTCTCATGTGTATCTTTTTCCCGTGTTTTCTTTTTACTTGCTATCTTTGATGCGTCCCTTTTTGGGCTGCCACCAGCAAGCAGCGTGTACCGGGGCTGTGTGAGATAAGCGATTTGGACCTCGATCCTTCTATCAATAATCGTGCATATTATTGGTCTTATTTCCCCGGTTTTTCGCATTTATTTTTATCTATTCCAACATGCCCCCATCGCCATCCACTCCTAAAATTCCCTCCTCCAATGGTCGCTCGAGCGGACAACGACCACCCAGCACGCGCGATTCAGCCAACTCCGGAGCTGGCAATTCGGAGAGACGGCAGGATTTCCCTACGGGATCTACCGTGACTACTGGTAAATCATCCAAGCGAAAGAAGAATCGTCATCGAAAACGTCGGAATCGTCGACAATCGTTTCTTGGTCCCGAGGAACCGTCTTCTGTCGTTGCTTCTGCTTCCGTCCCCGATACGGAGGGTTTGGCCCCAATGGCCACGGATCAGACCAAGTCGCGGGCGGCTCTTCCGTTCTACAAGCTGGGCCGAGATTTAAGCAGTACAAGCTTGGAGAGCGAGGCCTTGTTGGATCATCGGTATGTTTTAACTTCTGGGGGTTCGATGCTTGGTCGTATGCGGGGCCCCATGGCTAATTTCTGTCCTTGTGACGCTTGTGCAGGAACCAACCTTTGATGCGGCCTCGCAGAGACAGTCGCCTGGCTCAATCGTTTCGTCCCGGAACTTCGTTGACTGGATACCACCCTGGCGATTCCAACACTCGTTTCCCACTGTCGAGTGCTTTGCTGGGGGGCGAGGATAGCGATGGCGCAGAGGCGGTGGACGATCGGACACCATTGATAAGGCCCGTCTCGGAACACAAGCCGAATCTACCGCGATATGGGACCGATTCGAAGTCGAGTCCGTTCTCCTTTCGCCAGAGAAGGAAGTCTAATGGCACAACATCCTCCCGATGCTCTCCCCGTGCCCTTACGAGTCCAGCGTTCCCCGAGGCGGATCGCGAATATGATATCAACAACCCGCCGTCGATACCGACAACGCCGAAAATCGGTCCCGAGCTTGGCTACGACGATGCTGTGGTGACGGGGACGGAGTTTGGTTTTCCGATGGCTGCATCCATCGACCACCGCAGGGATTCCATGCACCGGCCTCATGATATGGTCATTGATATGGATGATAGCAACCGCAGACAGGGTACCCCGCCTTCGCCTCATTCACCGCAGGATGCCCGTCGACGACGAACTCTCGCGCCCGAAGAGGACGTTTGCTTCCCGGTCGAGGAGGCATCTGAGCTGGCTGAGGAGGATGGCTTAAGAATGTCTCGCGATGAGCGTCGGAGGCGGCGGCGGCGAGAGTGGCCCGATCTATCCGTTCTGGAGGAATGGAGTCGTGAGGAGAAAGAGGACCGCACGGGTGACTTTCGCACGAAGAAGATCAGCGAGCCTATGCTTATCGAGGGCCGCCTGCGCCCTCAATATCGACTATGGCGGCGTGATGAAGACGATGTCCCGTACCGCTTCACCTACTTCAATGAGGAGTTTCACAGCACGATACATGCCCAGACGATCTCGGAACTGGTTCAGCCTGGGGGTAGCTTCCGAGAGCTTTTCATTCCCAACCCACCCGAACTAGAGGATTCATCCGATGAGGAAGAGGAAGAAGAGCCTGAGCACCATGTTACTGGGGAGAATACGGCGGCCGCCAACATCAACAACCTTCATGCCGCTGGCGAAGGGGAACGGCTGCCACCCACTAATGGCACCAATCATGACAGCGTAAATGATCGGAAGCAAGTGCCTCGGGCCTCCATTATCAGTGAAGCGGTCTCGGAAGCACGCACATCAGCGGATGTGTCGCCGGCGCGCCGGCCGCCCTTGGTAGCCCCTCCCAAACCGAAGCGCTACGGACCTCGACCAACATTCTGGCTCGACGTTCTCTCTCCGACGGACGCAGAAATGCGCGTGATCGCAAAGGCATTTGGCATCCACGCGCTCACCGCCGAGGATATCATGATGCAGGAGGCTCGCGAAAAGGTTGAACTGTTCCGCAACTACTATTTCGTCAATTACCGAACTTTTGAACAGGACGTCAATAGCGAAAATTATCTGCAGCCAGTCAACATGTACGTGGTCGTGTTCCGTGATGGCATCATTTCTTTCCACTTCTCGCAGACTCCCCACCCGGCCAACGTGCGGCGACGCATCCGACAGTTGATGGACTACTTGATCCTCAGCTCCGATTGGATTTCGTACGCTTTGATCGACGACATCACCGACGTTTTTGGTCCTCTGATTCAGTCCATCGAGGACGAGGTCGACGAGATTGACGAGATGATCATGAAGATGCATTCGGCAGTGCCTGGGTCCGGGTCCAACGAGAAAGAAGAATCCAGCGGTGATGAATCTAATACGGTAGCGCCGGGTGAGATGCTGCGACGAGTCGGGGTGTGCCGCAAGAAAGTGATGGGAATGTACCGATTGCTGAGCAATAAGGCCGATGTCGTCAAGGGCTTTGCCAAGCGATGCAACGAGCAGTGGGAGGTTGCTCCCAAATCGGAGATTGGTCTCTATTTGGGTGATATTCAGGACCACATCATGACCATGACCAGTAGTCTGACCTACTACGAAACGTATGTTTCTCTCAATGACCTGAAACTTGCGGTGATGCATACTTACTAAATCCAATTTCCAGGCTTTTGTCACGTGCTCACTCCAACTATTTGGCGCAAATCAATATCTTGATGAACGAGCGCCAGGAACAGACCGCCGATGTGCTTGGCAAGCTGACCGTTCTGGGAACGATCGTGTTGCCGTTGAACATCATCTGCGGTATGTGGGGGATGAACGTCAAGGTCCCGGGGCAGGATGTGGATAGTTTAACGTGGTTTTGGTCTAGTAAGAACTTCTTTTCCTTTTTTTTTTTTTTTTCTTCCTTGTTCACAACGTGCCCTATATCGTGATGCTAACGAACCATGTGTCTAGTTACGGCGGGAATCGTGCTCTTTGCCTTTATATCATTCCTTATTGCGAAGCGAGTCTACAAGATTGTATAGATTTCTGTGTGGTCTTTGGACGATCCATCTCGACGACTATGTTCATATACCCCCTACCTTACTTTTGCTGTTGCTTTATATGTATGTACCTTTTTCGTATACTTGCTCTGTACGTTGGTTGCTTGCTGTGGATTGGAGTGGCTTGGTTTAGACTTGCTGTTTCGTGTACACAAATAAGGAATGGTGATTGGTGGTCTCTCTTAAGCGAGATTGCTTACACCTTGATAGCTATCAATAAGAGCAGGATTTGGCGAGATTCCTTCCCCTTTAAGATGAGGTCATTGTGATGACGCTGACGGAGCGTAACGGAGAGACGTAATGACGTGACGAGGTATGACCGGAGATGCCACCTCTGAAGAGCGTAATATTACCGTATTTGGGTCACAGCCGGTACCCGCGGCATTTCCCACCCAGTTCCCTGCCTTCTGCCTGCCTTCTTCCGCTTCTCTTCTCCCTCTCTTGATCATTTCCCACCTTTTCTCATCTTCATCCATCCTCGTTTTGTTAATCTGAAGCCCACTCTGTCTCCAGCGTTCGTTGCCTGACGACAGGGAAAGGGAATTTTCCCGCCTGTGCGCAGACCCCCCAAGAGATCTTGACGTGGGCCGCTGTCATTGGACCTTAACCTCCCTCCCCTGAAGCACCTACCCTACCACTACTCCGTAAAGTATTCCACTGGGATCGCCGGTTACCGACTCTTTCCTCGACTTTCCTAACCGTTGTCCGTCTTGATATTCCTTGCATCTTGCTCCTTCCGTCTACTGGACCGTTTCATCCACCGCCAATCTTCCCACGAGAAGACAAGAATTCAACCTTGCTCGGTCGTTCCACCCTCGTCGCACATCTTCGATCGGCAGCGCTCTGGTCCTCGTTGGCTAACCGGCGCTGGGCGTGGGTGTTCTAGACGTTCCATTCCCCCGTCGCCTGATCAAGTTATGTGCCCTATTGCGTCCACCTCTCTGGCTTCGGTCTATCTACATTTGGATTCCTACCTGGCTGCTGCTGCTGCTGCTTTCCTCTCCCTCGCGCGATCAGATATTCTCCTCCCTTGATATCTGCCCTGCAGCATGTGGCCGTCCTCTATTCGTCCTTCGACTTTGTCATTCGTGTAACGTGTTTCTGTGCAACGGATGATCATTTGGGTTTCTAGCGCGTCGACCGCTTACCTGTCTCTATCCGGGATCTCCTGACGCCGCTTTTCGCCTTTTTATTTCCCTTTACATTTTTTTTATTGCCTTGCTTTCTAGGCAGATCCTTTGCCCTCGGCCTCTGCCCCATTTGGGCCTTGAGCGTATTGGCTTTTGCCCGGGGATTCCTCTCTTCCTTCAGGAAGAAGAAAAAAAAAATTTATCTACGGAAAGGCTGAGGGGAGAAATCTTCCTCTTTTCACTTCCTCTATCCCGGTACCCTCTCGGATCTTCTGACTTCCTCTCAGTCCTGTCCACAAAGGTGCTGACTCGACCGAGACCATGGCAGCGGAGTCCGAGAGGTCGCCTTACCCCAATGGTCACTCTGGTGGATCCAGAGTGGCCCAAAACGATGAGGCTGCATCAACTGCATCCCGGCGGTCTGCCAGCGGAAGTGACATGAAAGAACTGCCACGTTCAACCTTTAACCCTCAGACTCAAGCCACCATTACATCTCAGTTGCCTAAATTATCACCTGGCTTCTCCGCTCCCCCTTCCGCCACGAATTCGACCTTCTCCTCCCGCGAGTCCTCTCCGGTTCGATCCGCACATCGCCCCAGCAACTCGACTTCAAAATCCCGTGTCTCCTCCCGGTCACGCAAAGGCAGTCAGGATCGCAGTCCCGTACGATCCAATACCACAAGTCAACCTGCTGGAACGGGTGCCCCTCCATCCGCGTCCGCTGTACAAAAGGCGCCGCCCAAGCCTATTGTTCTCAACCCTACTCCCAATGTCGAACCGTCGGCCGATGTACTCAACCCGGAAAAGCCTACCATGCCTCTATGGGCCGCCTCTCGACGACCGGAGCAAGAGACTCATCTTGCCAATACTTCCAGCAAACGATCGATCCTCCTGCCCCCCGATGACCCTGCGATAAAGCCCGACCGGAGCGCTCCCCGCGCCGTGAACAGAAACAATGGACCCGTTTCTGCCCTCGAGACTGTTCAGGAAATGGCCAGCGACCAGTCGACTCCGTCCACGGACACGATCTTGAATCAACCTTTCCCGGAAGAGCCTCGACTGCAGATAATCGACGAAGATCCGACCACCCCGAAAGGCCCCAAGCCGAATGTCGAAAGTGGCAGCGAGAGTGGAGGGAATAAAAGCTCGGAGCATGTTGGTGAGAGCCGCCGGCGTGCTTCGTCGGGACCTAAAGGATCAGAGACTATCATGCCGAAACGCTCAACCACGTCGCTGAGTGGCGCTCGCAACAAGCCGGCAGATGGATCCGTTCGCAATATGATTGTCGAGACCGAGACGGTCAGCTCCATTCCTCAAGTCTCCTTGGGCGTTGTGACCGGCGATCGAGGCGGCTCCGGCCGTGTCGACCCCGGTACTCTGCGCATGAAACCCAGCACAGAGACGATTCGTCCGAAGAAGGAGAAGAAAAGGGCTCGCAAGCCTGCCGCTCTCTCAAGTGGCGCTGCGTCTTCCAAGGCTGACATTTTTGAAGCCAAGGTCGCCAGCGCCGTGGATGAGGCCGATGTGTCCGACTCGGATGAAACCTTTGTCTACGAGTCCAACCCTCCGGATCCATATCCTGCCCGACAGCCCCGATATCACTCGCGGACCCCCAGTACAACTTCCATGGCTAGCCAGGTCGATCAATTAGCCGGTCGTAGCCGTGCTGCAGGCCTGCGAGACGGCAACCATAGCGTAACGGGGAAGCGAAGCATGAAATTCACCAACAATGCTTACGCTGGTAGCGCCGATGGGGATGCCGGTGAAGAAAGCGGTCGCAGTCACTCTAGAGTCGATGCCAGCGGATCACATACTCCCCGCCATCACCATATTGGGCGATACGGACGCAACAACATCTACCCGTCCCTCTTCGATCATGAGTCGTCGCCGTTTTCCCAACATCACGGTCATGTCAAATCTCCTCGCCACTTCATGGGGAGTGGGATGCGGCAGACACGCCACCCCAGCTCCCGAGGAGTTCCCAACTATCGTACTATCTCCAACTCGAAAAAGGCGGGTGAAATCTACGGATACGACTTCGATGCGGAAGGTGCCGACGACGAACGGACTCCTCTGGTAGGGTCTCCCCGTTTGGCGCGGAGCCGCCATGGTAACCGACGACCCAACAGCGCGAGTCTGCGACAGATGGAGTACATGCAGCAACGCCAGCGCAACTGGTTCTCGCGATACGGTGCCTGCGTTGTCATTGGTCTTTTGCTATTAGTTGTCATTGGAGGCGCCACCTCGTTTATCGTTGCCATCACTAAGCCGCTCCTAGACGTCGAGGTCCTTGCCATTCAGAACGTGCTCGCATCGGAGCAGGAAATCATGCTAGACCTCAACGTGCAAGCAGTAAATCCGAACCTCTTCCCCGTGGCAATCGACGACGTGGACATCAACATCTTCGCCAAAAGCCGATTTGTGGGTACGGACAAATTCTGGCGCGATCATGGTTCCGACGGCAGTCAATTTCCGCGGATCGAGGAGAGCAAGAAACGGTCAGAATTGGCACGTCTGGCACGTTGCTCAGGTAGCGGTGCGGCGGATTGTCTGGTGAATGAGACTCGCTCGGACGATCCAGTCATGCACACTCGCGATGGCGTTGACAAGGGAACGGATCCTATACCAAGCGATCCCGCTGGCGATCCTCAGACGATGCTGCTCGGTCGTGTATTCCGCTTCGACTCTCCTCTGACATTTGAAGCGTCACCGTGGAATCATTCGCCGTCCGTTTCTCAAGGGCAAATCCGCCTTGCTCGACCCGGAAACAAGACCGAAGAAGGCGGCACGGAACGATGGGAGCGGGTTCTGCAGCATCAGTTTGATTTGATCGTTCGCGGTGTTGTCAAATATCAGCTGCCTTTGAGTTCCCGACTCCATTCGGCCTCGGTCAGTTCCAGCGTCAAAGTAACACCGGACAGCAACGGCAATGATCCTGAGGATGGCGATAATCCGAACCCTTCTCCTGGTGGGAACGAAACTGCCAGTATCTCCACAACGAGACTGTATCGCCGAGACCTCCCAAGGCCTCGTCGACTGGAGATCCGACAATCAGCGATAGAGTCTGTACGAGCACGGCTTGGGATGGCTGGACGAGCTTTTACGGCTTGATTATACGTCACATCCCCTTACCCCTTTTGATTGCACCTACTTCTTATTCTCCCTATTTTTGGTAATATCTCTTTTTTGACCTTGGGTATTAGATCATTCTTGGTCTACCTTTTGTCAGTCTCGGCATCCATCTTCGCCCCCCTTACACATTCTTCCCGTCATGGTTCTAACAATTGGATCATGCGGTTGTATATTGATTGGTTTCTGTTACATTACTTTGGGCAGTTTCTCGGATGGAATTGCAGGATTGGTTAGAATCCGTCAGTCAGTTGATCTCTGCGATTTACATGATCGGTCCTCCTATTCAGATACTGTCTTTTTTTACCTCTTTCTATCCCTCTTTTGCCTTCGTTATATTTGCTTTCTTTTCCCCTCCTTGAACTACCCGAACGACGTGACGATGATTTGACATTCTACTTTATGAAACGGGCTGCAACAAAAAGCGCACAACGGAGAAACGGCACATCTTTTTTTCCTAAAAAGACACTTTGATTCAGGGTATGCATTAGCACGGCGCTTTCTTACACACTTTTTTATCATTTATTTCTTCAATTTCTGGATGATGGTTTGACCTTTTTGCGTCGTTCTTGAAACTTTCTGTTCAACTTAGAGGATGCATACATACCCTGGATGGGACTATTAGTAAGGGGTGCACTTGTTCCTGGGATCTCGGGGAGATTCATGATTGCTTGGATAGCGAGACCTATGCCACTGATTAACCAATGGTCTAGATGACTTTCTGATGGCTTTTTCTTATTCCGTCTCAGATTGGTGATGTCATTATGGGCTGATGCGCTAGCTGCGCTGGATTGATTCCTGCCTTTTCTTTTCTTATTACTTTTTCTTATGACTCCATTGATTTCTTTCTACGCCTAGATTTCCAGTCAACCTGATCTGGCTATGTATGTATTTCTTTTTATGTCTTGTACATAATTCTTTTGGCTTTGTATCATGTCATAATATTTAACTTTGGTTTCAAGATTTTGGGGTCTAAGAAACGGTCTTTGTTTTGTTGAACAGAATAGATCGAGAAATAGTAGGTATATTTCGATTTATACATAGTAACCGGCATGTGTATCTTGAGATAGACATTTAGAATCATAAAGATAACTTGGATGTACTACTTCCCTCAACTCTATTTTATACCGTTCATCCATTCAATGGTCCAACTACTCTGGTGGCCATTTCACTATACTATCCTTGTCTACATGAGATCGACAGATTTAATCAGTAGTTGACATTCATTCAATCTAATCAAAGAAAAGAAATAACATCACATCATAAATAGTTCATGAGTAGAAAATCATAAAAGAGCATAACAGATCAGCACATTTCAAATCATCATTAGGGTCATCAATGAATCAAAAGTCAAAGCAATATTTCAAACAAACCAGGTGGATAGAGGACTGAGTATCGTTCTTCCAATTTATCCTCCTCATATTCCATGGGGGATTCCATGAAAAGACCAAAAAAAGCAGAAAGAAACTCCCACCCAATTGAGAGCCGAAACACGAAAAATAAATAAACGAATATCTCGAAGTTGCCGAGAATTCCAGAGGAAATCCGAAAAGGGAGAATGGGAAAAATCAAGCATAAACCTTATCACCGAACCGTTTCAGAAGATCCTCGAATCGATCCGCTAACGGGTTGTCTCCGCGCTGAGGCAGGAGTCGTCCGTGAGAGTCGAAGCGATCGGGGAGGTCAATGGTCGCGTCAGAGTCGTTTTCGGGGCTATGGGTCTTTTTCTCGTCTTCCGGGGCAACATAGTGTTTGTGGCTGTGAATATGGCTACGGCTGTGGTCATGGGTATAAATGTCTGCGGGTCTGTATCCATGTGCATGCCGGAAATCATGGCCCTCGCTAGGTCTAGGTCGTGAAGAATGAGGTGCAGATGAAGAATGGCGACGTTGAGAAGGACGACGATGAACATGGCTTCTCCCACTGAGTGAATCGATGGTCGAGTCGCTGTCGTCGGATTCATAGCCCGGATCCATGGGCCGGGCAGTTTCAGGATGCAGGTCGAACGCAACGGACTTGGGCTGGGGTGGCTGACTGCGCGCGCGTGATCTCCGTCTCCTACCGGCGCGCGGAGTGCTCATTGGGGAACGTGGGTTTAGACCTGGATGATGCGGGTTAGCTGGTTTTGTGATCTGCGCGAATCTGGTCGCTCGTTTGTGTCCCTGCACCCACCATCGTATGCGTGTGATCGGGCATTAGGAGGGGAATTATTCCGTGCGGCACTCACATTCTCATCTGCTCTTCGGGGTCGCGGGGCGTAGGGCTCGGGTGCCGGGGGAGCATAACCGTATGGCTGCACAGGCGGCACCGCTCCGGGGGGTGGTGGATAGTCGGCCGGGTTGTATGGTGCCGCAGTCTCAGCCTGGCGGGGAGCAGAGCCTGGGGGTGGCGGGAAGTAATTGCTGTTGGGGTAATATTGATTGTCAATTGGCGGAGGAGCTGTCGAAGGCGAAGGCGAGTAGGGCTCATGACGATAAGGGTCTTCATATGAGTCTCTTTCATCGAATCCTAGATCGAGACCCAGTTAGTGACCATAAATCCTGGCAGGGAGAGGATATGGCTTACTCGGCCTCTCCCTGCTTCTCTCCCTACTTCTTTCCCTGCTCCTCTCCTTGTCCTTGCGATCCTTGCGGTGCGAGGAATACTTGTGAGCGGCATAGCCGACTCCGGTGGCAGCCAGGGCTGCTTCAGCGAGATCACGAGAGCGACTGCGGAGCCCGCCGCCGTCCTTCTTTCTTCTCCTATGTGAGTCGGAATCAGAGCTGCTGAATCGTCCGCGGCTGCGGCTGCGGCTGCGACTACGGTCTCGTCCACGGTGTCTTGAGCCGAAACCCGCTGCTCCGCTAGCCACTGGGTCAGATGCGTCGGAATAGTATCCATGGGAGCTCACGGGACGACCATAGTAATGGGCCGCGGGAATGCTTCCATGCACCGGGTCTTCGCCGTACTCGATTAGGCCAGCCGAGTCCCTAGCAGGGTCGGGGTAGAAGTCGGAGGGCGCCCTGCTGCGGGATCTTGATCTAGAACGTCGGCGTTCTCGATGTCTCGATTCGCCTCTTCCTTCTTCCTCTTCTTTCTTCTTGTCCCTCTGTTTTTCATACAGTCCCGTGGCAGCAGCCGTTCCCAAGCCGGCTGCCACAACCGGGAGAGCTTTTCTCAATCTGCTATGAGACTGAGACCGTGCGTGGCGGCCAGAGCGCGAATGGCTGCGAGCCCTTTCCACCAATCCAGCTACCGCTGCACCGGCCAGCCCAGCACCTGCCATATGTTTTCTCCGCTGCGACTCGCTACGATTCTCGGCGTCGGGCGCTCCCCTGGACCGCACAGAATCAGAACGGCGGTGTCGAGATCGACTGCGTCTCCCGTCCTTCTCCTTTTCCTTATTCGAATACTGTTTGGCCAAGGCCACGGCACCAGCAATGGCGGCCGCTCCAAGACCCAGTTCTGTGAATGTTCGGGCGCGGGAGCGCGAGTGGGAACGGCTGCGGCTGCGGCGGGAATGGCTGTAACTGTGGTGATGATGGCGATGGTGGGAGCGAGAGCTGCGGTCGTCGTCGAACGAGTGGGCGCGGTGTCGGCTCTTGCTGCGATAGTAGTCTCTGGCGCGAGAGGCCGCATTCACGGCAACGGCACCCAACGCACCGGCGCCAACATCACGACCGACACGACCCAGACCACCAGACACCTCTTCTCCTCCCTTCTTGCGACGACTCCGGAGTAACTCTGCGGCGCCCACTCCGACCAGTGCACCCTCGGCCAAATGTCGTCGATGGTGCGGGTGGTCGTCGACTTCACGGGTCTCTTTGCGGATGTAGACCATACTGTCATCGCTGCTGTAGTCCTGATCATCGCGTCGACGGGTTGCTTGAGAGACCGAATCGCTGGGACTTAGCTCCCGACGGAGGCGACGGTCATCATCATACTCGCGAACACGGCGATGATAGTAGTAACCGGGGTCGCGATCCACCTCGGAACGGTGGACAATTTCATAGTCAGACTCACGGGGCGGTGCATAGACGGGGGCTCGAGCTGCATGATACTTAATGGCTTGTCCTTTTGTGCGACGAGGTACAGATAATATACTTACGTTCATAGTAGTCTCTCTCGGAACGATAGTCATAACCACCGCGTGAGTCGTAGTCGACGTCACGCTCGTAGCGTTGCACCATGACGGGTTCTTCTCGTTCAGCGGGCCGCCGAACTACCAATTCGCGGTCACCGGTAATGGGGTCTTCGCGACGATATAGCGAGTCCCTCTCGCGTCGATCGTCCTCGGGGGGTATGACGTAACGCTTGATGGTAACAGGCGAGGAACGAGGTTCGTCCCAATCGCGGTCTCGTTCACGCTCTTTGTAGATGTATGACATGAGGAAATGAAATCGGAAGCGGGGGGAAGTTAAGAGGAATAGTTTCGAGAGAATGAGAAGAATCGAACAAAGAAAGGTGGAGAGGAGATCAAGCTGAAACTTGGGGGAAAGAAACAGGAGGAGGGATGGTGGAAAAGGTAGGAGAAAAAGGGAAGTGGGGTAGAAAAGTGAGAGCAAGGCTGAGGCTGTGACGAAGGCAACGAGCAATTGATCGACTAGTGGTGGGATGGGTGGGGAGGCGATGGAAGAAGATTCGAGTTGATCGAGTCAACAGGAATAGGAAGTCGATGGCAAACAGATGGAAAAAGAAAGGATAGAAAAAGAAAAGAAAGGAGGGGCAGAAGTACAGCTCTTGTCCGACCGGATGATACGGATGCTTGACCCGCGTGGCTGAACAACTCTTCTAATGAAAGAAAGAGAGAAGCGAAGCGAAGAGAAGAAAGGAAGAAGATTGCGGAGACTTACAAGGTACGAGGTGGTTTTCTCCAGCCAGAAAGGCCACGTGAATCTCGTGACGAAGAGGTTCAATTCTTTTCTTTTTGATTTTCCCACTCGCGCAACGGCAGATCCTCGACAGCAGTCAGAATGCAAGTCATACAAAGACCTCCGGCCTCTCTGCAGGGCAGATCCTTTATCTTTCCAATAGGAAGAAATCCCCTCGATGCAACGGGACAAGAGCTATTTATGCTACCTAATGATGACCTCATGGGGTCACGGATACAAAGAAAATGAGGCAGTGCAAAGGGTGCCCCGTTTTGCCCGTCTCTATGGCCTCGAACTTTGTTTCCCGTTGGGCACTGATGTTGATTCTCTACTTGTTCTTATGTCGCGAGTCTGGAACGAGTGGAGATCGTTTCCATGGAATCCGCACTCTGTTCCGTCCGCCGACCATGGATGGAGCCTGATATCTCAACGACCCCGGAGTACCTGGTATTGTTCTGTGTTAACATTATTGGCAATCGATCCACAGCTTACTTCTGAGTATTGACTCCCTTGGGTGCAATACATAAAGTACCATGTCTCATGGATGATTCACCCCGCCATCCTTGATTCAATCTGTGGTCGACGTCGTACCTCAGCTTGTGCAAGCTTCCTTCCCTGATTTTTTCTTCTTCTTTCGGCCTTCTGCCTCAAACGTGAGAGGAAAAGCAAAAAGCAAAAAAAAAAAAAGAGAGGAAACCCCCTTGACAAGCACATACGGTGTGTGTAGCACCCTCATATCAAACCCACACTGTGTCATACCTGCCAGACCATGCCAATTCCCCACTATTGTTGGACAACTTTCGCCACCCTGCAGCGCCAGCAGCATGCAAGGCGCGTCTAAGCCACCCTCGGAGTAACTATCTTTTTCTAGAATCATTCGGTCGACGCTTGGAAACATGTCTCAAGCCTTGTTTTGCTTCCTAATTCCCGCTGGGCCGTCCTATGCCGTATCTGGGCCAAGGCTCTGGGTGCTTTGGGCTCGAATGGTTGAGGCTAGGGATGTTCTGGCTCGGGACGGCCATCAGGTAATCATATAGGAAGAAAGAAGTCTCCGATTTGATGGATGTAGGAAGGAGGTCTTCTAAGGAAGGGCATGGTGGCAAACGGTGAAATGCTTGGCACTAGCACCTGAGGCATCTACAGGAACTCGTTGCCTGAATATTCTGGCCTTAATTATGTTGCCTCAGGTGGAAATCGGAATGGTCGATCTATAGTTATTTACTCCATACGATTAGATGCAAGCACGAGCATCAACGTTAAATATCTAATTCTGATGGTTTTTTGGTCCCAGCCGATCGATTCAATTCCATCCTCATCCCTCCACCTCCTTCACCCGAGGCTTCGTATCTCCGTCATCCCCTTCATCCTCATCAACAACACACCCATCCACCCCACGATCTTCCGGCGCGATCACCTTGTCGCCGAACGATGCCGCGATCTCTTCGAGTGTCTTGCGCTTCGTCTCCCTAAAAATCAAATATCAGATCAGTAAACTTCATCCCACCATGAACTCCAATGCAATGGATATGTTTGGTGCAACGTACGGGAAATAAAAGTACGCCACGACCAAGAAAAAGAGCGAGCAGGCCACGAATACATAATAGTAGTTCTCGTGGATGTTGGCGAAGGCGCTGGGTCCTGCTTCGGTGACTATAGTTTTGGTTCTTTAGTTAAAATTCATTTCACTTTTGGGTAATCGGAGGGACTTACTTGCGACGTTCACGATAAAGTGCGAAGCTGCTGCCAGACCCATGACCTTGCTGCGCAGAGCGATGGGTAGGACTTCGGCACCGTAGAGCCAGGTAGTGCTGTTAAGCATGCCGTCTATATCACAGTTTTATACTGCGTTAGCCCAATGTACATACTGAGCTCGATAGGGAGGACATACAGTAAGCCACCACGAAAAGATAGATCCCCAGAATGGCGAACCCCTTCCCGACTCTATTGTCCGTGTTTTGGTACACACGTTGCATGACGGCGGCGTAGATTTCGACGACTACGATGCCGGCGAGACCGGAGATAAGCATCCTGGTTTTGAGTTTCCGTTAGTCTAGAGAGGGGTATGAGGACGAGGGAATGCTAACTTTCGACGTCCCCATTGATCAGTCAGGTACTTTGTCGTGAGACTGTTGACGAGGAAGGCCACGGTGCCGTAGACCGCTGCTAGGGCTAGAATGGTGTGGGAATCAATACCCAGGGACTTGTATAAGATTGCTGTGGTTTGTTAGTCACTGGCTATGTTAGACGTTGATGGATGAACAAGTGACGACGCACTTTGGTAATACTAGATCACCCCGTGTTACCATTATCCAGCAAGTTCTCTACCCCAGAAGACCTACCTGAATCACATTCACACCAGTCAGACTGGTCATCGTCTGAACGGCAATCGACCTAAAAGATTTTAATATTAGCCTTCTCCATCCCAAACGGTCCCCTAACCCAATTCCGACAAACTCACACCAGCACTCGATGTCGAAACAACCTGAAAATCTCGCGATACGACGTAATCTCCCTCTCTTTCTCATACTCGATCTGAGCCAACATGACCTCAAATTCCCGATGCACCTCATCCGACTGCAAGTCCCTCCGGATCCGCTTAAACTCGTTGCGCGCCTGCTCGACCTTCCCGCTTCGGATCAGGTGGCGCGGCGAATTAGGCATGAAACTGATCAGCCCGAAAAACATAATGACACCCCAGGGAATCTGGATGCCCAGGGGCAGTCTCCACTGTACGGGGCCGTAGGGGGCATAGCTGCAGGCGTACCCGACCCAGTTGGATGCCATGGTGCCGAAGGAGATGCCACAGCCAGAGATGCCGCCGATTAGGCCGCGGATTTGCGGATCGGATATTTCGCTGAGGTAGATCGGTACGGTGGAAACCATTCCCCTGTTGGATCTGTTAACTGGGGCTCCTTTTATCTCAACCTTTCCTTCCTAGCCTCCAGCTGCATGCATGGTCAAGGAACTCACCCCACAGCATAACCCGCCAGTACACGACCAGCGAGAAACATGCCGATGTTGACCGATGCCGTCTGGATAACGGTTCCAATGGTAACAATCACACACATCAACTCCATGAACCGCAAGCGACCCAGTTTATCACCAATCGCCGTCTGTGTCAACGCCCCGACAGCTTCGCCTGCAATGTAAACGGCGACCACCTGCACCAAGTGGATCAACATCAGCTCGGTTTCGACAAGACAACTCCGCCAACCCGGCTCGAACTGGACTTACAGCTCCGGTCAAACCCTCGGAAGGTTTATCCATGTAATCGATCCAACTTTGGTGCGCGATAGCTGCCAATAACCGGTTAGACGGATTTGAAAAAAAGACCCGCCCGGTCTGACTTTCAAACGACAAAACAGCTCGTTTCACATCATCGCATGTACTTACTTGTCGTCGCGATACCGGTATCGAATCCCTGTCTCCGTTAGAACGACTACCTTCGCATCACCAGGAAAGTCCAGCCCCCCAGAATCGACCGAAAGGCAAATCTCTTACAAAAAGAAACGTGCCGATAGCGGCAAAGAACGCAACGCCGTAGGAATACCAGGCAGTCATGATTGCGAACCGTAGACCGAGAAAGCGACTCGAAACCGTGCCAGGCTCAACTCACGCAATGACCAAAGACGGGCTGGCACCGAGTATTTATAATCTTGCCGTAGCCGTATATATTCGCACGGAAACGTGCATATCACACCGTCTACACCATAGAGCACCACAGTGACTTAATCTGCGGGACCAGTCCGACAGGACAAGCCGAGGGAGCGTGACGAGAGACAAGCAAGCCACTCGGAGAAGGGCCGACCTTCAACCCCGGTGTCCATTAGGGGGTGATGAAGAGACGACGATCCTGGGGAAAGCGATGTCCGTAGCTGGCAATCCCGGGGGAATCTCCACCGAGGCTGCAGGAAGAGAGTTGTCTGTCTGGTGGTTACCCCGCAGCAGTCTTGGTTCAGTCTCGTATCAACGGATCATCGAGTCGAATATTGATAGATGGCCAGATGTTTGATTCGTGGGGGTGGATCTTATTTATCGGGCATGATCTAGCACATTCAAGGAGTTATCTGACAGGATATACTATGGTCCATGATTCAATGATCATTAGTGTCTAGTAGGTAGTCGGCAAGAAGGTACCGTACAAACTCACGTGAATTGACAAGGTCATTAAATAGTCAAAGAGCTTTAGCAGACACACAAGGCTGATTAATCGGCCAATACTGCTGGGATCTAATACTGCTAGAAGCCTTGGCTCCAGGATGTACTACTAGCACCTGAAGGGAATAGTGTGGGGAGACAAGTCAAGTAACCCTTGACACTGCCAGTCAAGCATAAACCACTTTGACCAGTCCGATAAGAACATACACCAGCTACAGGCTAGATAAGACAGCCATGACACAGAGCTTACTCGTTCAATCCGGGAATTCAATTCGTGAAGAGACTCATAAACTAGGAGCCATATGCTTTCTTTGGTATTTTTTTTCTTGAGTATGAAATCCTATTTCATTTATCCATTGCCGAAGTCGTATGCCCTCCGCCGGAGCAGCTGCCTGTGCAACAGGAAACCCAGAGCCGAACAAGAAAAACGCTAATTTAGAAAACAAGAGCAGCACCCTTGGTCTTCTTGTCGCCACTGTGGAATCACGATCATTAGCATCGGCAACTTCTAATAAAGTGATCTTTGGGGGGAAACGTACCCAAGCTCGAAGTGCTTGCAACGCTTCAGAGAGAGCTGCTTCTTGGCCTTGCAGGCAGTGCACTCCAGACGCAAGACGATCTTCTTGGTGGTCTTGGCCTTCTTGTGGAAGACGGGCTTGGTCTGACCACCGTAACCGCTCTGCTTCCGGTCGTAACGACGCTTACCCTGGGCGGACAGCGAGGCCTATAGAAATTCACACCATGAGTTATATGTCGCGGGACCAAACATCGGGGTCGGGCGCATTCACCTTTCCAGCCTTGTACTGGGTAACCTTGTGCTGCTGGTGCTTGTGGCAGTCCTTGGACTTGCAGTACGTCCGGCGGGTTTTCGGAACGTTGACCTGGTTGCAAGAAATCACTGATCAGTGTCTGCTTTTGAAAGCATTCGTCCATATGCTTGCAGCCTTTTTCCCCTGGTCTTCGAGTCCCGTCCATCGGAGAAAAATGTCGACTGGTAAAGTTCAGTGTCGGGGTAGTTCGTTGCAAGGTGAAGTCGCTGAATGCAGATCAAGATTCTCGATGACGATGGCGTTCGGGTGTTTGAAAGAAAAATCTTAATATGCGATCGCACTTTCCTTAGGTCGTTGGTATGTCGTATCGAGATGTTGCTCTTTAAACCAAACGCCCAGCGTCGTCGATTCATCGCTTTCTTTTCTTTCAAATTGAAAGCGGATTCGTGGCTGATCGTTCGATTGCATCGGTATTTTCGATATCCCTCTCATCATGCTGGTCGTTTGCCCGAACAATTATCTCTCGGCCCCCCCCATCGCATCCCCGATTGTTCGACCACATTTTTCTCCAAAGTCCGGAATTCCAGTAGAAAAAAAGCTGCAAGCATAAATGACAACGAGGATCAATATCTTACCATTTTGACTGACTTGGCCGGATCGGAAGGTGCTGGTCGATGGATGTCTCTTGTCGGGGAAGAGCAAGTCGGTTGGCCGTGGGTTGTGGGATTTCGTTCGCTTAGACCCTATTTCGGTGGGCGCTAACCCGATCTGGTGTGTCGCGCCAAGACTGCCCGTTAGTGCCCCAGGCATCACAGGGCTCGCTAGTCATCGAATACGTCAACGGAGTTGCAAGTCTAGGTCTATCTTAGTGTCTAGCGGTCTTCTGGTTATCAGACATTCTTCTCATATCAAAACCCCTTCCCCTCAAACACCTTCTCTCCTCCCCCATACCACGACATCCCCTTCTTGAACACCAACCCTATCTCCTGTCCAACGACCCAGTCCCCCTCCGCCGGAGCATGTCCATCCTTCTCGCGCGACCAATATCTCTCCCGCAATTTCTCGTTGATCTGCTCGATCCTCTCCACCAATTCCGCCACACGCTCTCCATCAACACCTCGTTCCGCATCCGTCCCCGATCCCTCCCTTAGAAACCCCTCCTGTGTGATAAATCTCGCAATGGTGATATGCGCCGAGGGAACTACATACCTCGAGGCCGGAGATATGCCTGTCGCCGCCACACTGTTACAGAGATCCCGTCGCAGGTGGTGATAGGTATACTCGTTATCCGCGGCCGTGACAAAACTCAAGGCCATTGCGGACGCATCGTAGCTGACAATCGGGTTGATCAACCGCGTCCGATGATGAAAAGCGTAGTCCGCCAGCTCTGGAAGCGCGCCGGTCGCCTGGATTCGAGTCACCAGGCTCTCAATCTCCTCCTCGGTTCGTCCGGGGGCTATCTCCAGCGTCGTCATGTGCAAATGGTCTGCCGGGGCAAACCACATCGCTAGTTAAGGATCAGTATCTAGCCCAGCCCCTCGTAGAATTGCCCACACCAAATCCGACGCACTACCTAGCCGCTGCATGAAGCGCCCCGCTCAAAGAAAGACAGGGAAAAGGGAAGGAAGAAAACTAACACGGCGCAATATCGCGGATATCCCCCTGAATCTCTGCCACCAAGTCGCGAATATGCTGTGGCGGCAAAGCCGAGATATTGAGATTGTGTCGGGGATCAACGAAGTTTTCGCTGTCCGAACCAGCTGCTTCCGTCTCCTGCGCGTGCAACTTTCGTAGAATCTCGTCGGTCTGCCATCCGTTGAAGTCTCGGCTCAGGAGGGTGGTCTTGAACCGTTCGTTTCTAGTCCGGCGGTGGGTTTCGTATCGGCTTTGGATTTCATTCTGGAGTGGTTTGCTGTTTAATTGGGGGGTGTCTATCTGAGTTATGAGACGTTCAGGGGTAAAGTACCGGGTCATTTTGGCATTCTAGAATGAGTTGGTCAAATGGGTTGGCTGTTGGGGCTGTCATGTTGAAATTGTAATTGTAGTTGCTATGTCTATGATGTAGCGGAATGTTCAGGGAATTGAATAGATGCAATGGCTAGATTGAATCCCTGATGCGAATGAGAACATAAGACGGGGCCATCCGTGATATATAAATAGAAGGCGCTTGGAGCCGGTTACGGGCAACATGGAATATCGAAGGCAACGACAAAAGATGAAGCAGGAAAGTGTATAAAACTGTCTCAACGCTCTCAGTCCTCATCCAGAAATCATATCTTTCCCTAAATTATAGAATTCTTGAGAGAATCAAGCCGTACAGCAGGGTCATTAAAGCACAGCAAAGCAAGTGAATGATTGAAGCGCCCCACCAAGTTCAACCCCGCTACGGCGAAGCTTTCCGTCACTGACCATCCCCGTCCGTTCCCAGTTTAACTGCCTTTCTGCTCCCTCTACTATTCTCATACTACTCGACTACCTATCCATTCAACATTCTCTCCGTCTCAGTGACTCCTGCTCAAGATGTTGATCAAGTAAATTTTGCCTCCTTTCACATACCCCTTGCATACCCCGCTTGAAAAAGCAACTGTGACTGACTGGTATCTTCCAATGACGCAGAGTTCGCACCCTCACCGGCAAGGAGATCGAGTTGGACATCGAGCCTGATTACAAGGTACCTACACACCTACCTACACATCCTACCTCCACCTGTCTCGTGGCTCGACGGAGGCTACACTGCGTATCGGAACCGTCGACGTGCTGGGAACTCCGGACGCAACGCAAGGCTGGACGAGACGATCGCAGCGCCCAACCCGACTCTCGACGACCTGAAAACCCAACGTACTAAATGATCTCCAACTCTAGGTGTCCCGGATAAAGGAGCGTGTCGAAGAGAAAGAGGGTATTCCTCCGGTCCAGCAGCGCCTGATCTTCGGCGGAAAGCAAATGTACGTGACATGACTTGACGTGATGTGATCCTTCTCGGCGAGCTCATGCGGGGGCCCTTTCCTACCAACCCGAAGACACTTGACCGGGTCTTATTCGATCTCCGCTAACACCGATAACCAGGGCCGACGACAAAACCGCTTCAGAATATAACCTGGAAGGTGGCGCGACGCTACATCTCGTCCTTGCTCTTCGCGGTGGCTCCGATCTGTAATTTACCTCCTACCAACCAACCAACAAACCGACCTACCTACGACCCTTGACTCGATTCCTCGACGGCGATACCAATCGCAAGCAATAGAACCGAAACAAAAGGGTGTCGGATGTTAGGTAGTCAATGACCAGGAAAATGAGGTTTGGAAAACGGAGAAATTAACTCAACTCGTCTCGTCTCTTTTGAGAAAAGGTAGTGGTGGATGCGATGCAGCTATAGAGAGAGAGAGAGCTCTTTCGTCTCGCGCAGTAGTTATACCCGATGAGCTGCGTGTGTGCGCGTGCGTGCAAGGAAATGGCCTTACCCCTTGAACTTTTCGGGCTGGTTTCCTGACTATTTGATTTCCTTTCTTTTCATTACTCTTTACTCTCTCCTACCCATATCCTCTACCTAGGCATGCTTTATGTTGCATAAGTCTCTCTTGAAGTTATTAACACTATTAGTTGTGCTATACCAATGCAGTAACGACAATTCATTTGGAAGAAGTTATGAATGAATTTAAGGTGTAGAGTAGTCAATAGGGGGTAATCTATTTTGAGAGACGAATACTCCAATGTAACAAGAGTGAAAGACCCATTTCTCATAGTGTGCCCGACAGTTGATAACACAATGAGAAGATAAGTATTCCCGTTCACACGTAAACATCTATTGATAAAAAACCCCGACCATAAACCTCACGGTCAATTTTGATTTACATTGACAAGAAACCTCGTTCTATTGAACACAGACCATATGTATGAGGATAACTATTCCCTAAAGTTAATGATAATAATGATAGTAATGATCAAGAAACAAACAAATAAGAAGACAATGCCGTCATAGCTTCCTTCGTTTTGGTTGAACGAAGACACTAGGAGGCGGTCTTTTCCGAAGGGGCGCAGGGCGTGGAGTTTGTTCTGGAGGAGTGTTGGGCTGGCTAGGTGCAGCTCTAGCTGCACCAAGGGGACTGGACACCACTGACTTGGTCGGAGAACTCGTCGCCCCCGACAAATGTTCAGAGTCAATCGAGGGTGGAGGTCTCGACGTATTTGGTAGGGCAGGGCGGGTTCTTGTAGAAGACGCTTCTGTTTCCGCTCTAGGCGTAGCAGGTCCTGGGGTATGCGAGGTTGACCGTTGCCCCGAGGCTATTGCTCGTAGCCTTGCCTCCTTTTCTTGCAAGGCCGGAGGTACAGCGAGGCTGGCGGCGGGTGTGCTATGAAGCCCCGATCGACCCGGCGCTCTCAAGGCTGGAGTCGCAGGTGCCTTTCGACGAGTAGCAGGCGGGCCCGCTACTGGCCTATGCTCCTCGATCAACGAGCGTGGCGCTTGCCTGACCTGTGAAGCCCGATTATTGAGTTGTTTCGTAGGGACGGCGAGCACACTATTCCGCTTCGTTGCGGTGAATATGCTATTTTTCTTCTTGCCCTCTGGTCGCGGGGGCCGCGCAAAGGGGCTGATAGATGTCCCCGTGAAGACAGGACCAATGCCACCCATTTTCCGGTCATGCGAAGCGTAGCGCTGCCTGGCCGTTGGTTTTTCGCGATGCCGCCGCTCCACCAATTTGGCGCTGTGCTTGGCTCGCTCCGAGCTGATCCCGTCGAGGGCCATCTTCAAGTTGCGGGCATCCTCATCCACAGCTCTTTGTACCTGCTCTCGGAGGTCGCAGTATAGATCGTAGGAACACTCGGACGACGACTTGGGGAGTTCGTATTGGTCCCATTTCGGTATATCACGTTTGATAAACTCGTACCATAGTTCGCCGTCGTCATCGAGGATATGGGGGGATTGCGATTCTATTAATCTCTATGTTAAGGGAAGGTGGTTAGCGAGCGATACTAAACAAGGGTGCGGAGAGGCGACAAACCAATCGTTCAGGACTTTCAATCTTTACAAGAAAAGGGCGGGCAAGAACATAAGGGATGTTGCCTATATCGCTTAGATCTGAAGTGAATATTAAAGTCAGTGGTAGGCATCGAGGGAAGGAGTTGGGGGTGTACTGACACTTCACGTTTCTGATAGCAGTCGCCGTGCAGAGCTGTCGGAGGGACGGCGCCGGCATTGTCGAGATTCAGAACACAAACCCAACAACAACGGTGACATGGATGATTCAAAGCAGCATATTGGGGATATAGTCGCAAGTGAATTCAGACTTAATAGCGGCATGTGATATGGCCTCCAGCGTTGAGACGGGTTCATCGGGTTTAAATACACAATGTGGTCAATGATGAATGGAGAAGAATGAATAGAGGGAGGCGGATGACGCCAATCACCTGATTTTACTGTTAAATTGGCTGGTGGATCTTCCCGCTGGACGGTGCCTAATCGACGGATGAACTACGGAGTACTCCATACACAGTACGGACTGCTACTTACTACTATTTCTCATCATGATAGAGAGGGTCACTCCGTCTATTTTTCGAAGCAAATAATCATCAATAGTTCGCCAATAACCGCCACGCCGGAAAGCAACAACACTGAAATTAATGAGAAAAAAAAAGAAAGGAACGAAAATAGCCACGAGCGCATCGCACACTGCCATCCATAGGACTCGAGTCAATCAGTTCGCTTGATTCGAGCCAACTGTGGAGCCGACTGAGTGCTCATGAGAGCGCCCCTTGACTGCTTTGGCGTTGTGACCCGTTGACATGGCCCTTGGGCGGCATTTGGGCTAACCATGATGGAGGGCTAATCCCAGTCTGATCATGGATGGTACTGAGCAGAGGCGGAAGGCTCTGCATAATGTTTTGGATAGATCCCAACCCTTCGCCGGGCTCGTCTGTCTTGCCTAAAATGAAGGATTAGTGATGACTAACGATGAAATGCAGGGTCGAGTTTATGTGCATGCATTGGAGTGCTAACCTCCCGTAGTCCAAGTGGTGATTTTGGGTTGAAGGCCATTAATAGCAGCGCCATTTGCTTTGGCCAGCTTCTCATACGTGCCCGTTTCCAGCATGCGGTATTGCAAGAAGGCCTGAGGTCCCCCAAGGACGTTGACAAGAGACCCGTAAGCTTTGGACATCTCCATGATTCCTTCAGCCTCACGTTTCTGCTGGTAGAAGGCTGCGTCGGCATCCTGCTTTTGGCGATAAACTAGAGCAAGGGTCAGCTAGCTTGGTTGTATTTGGGAAATGAATCATACAGGCCGCATCTGCTTCTATCTTCTGCCTGTACAAGCGCGCATCGGCTGCCTTCTGCTCCGTGTAAAATGAAGCATCTGCTTTTTCCTGAGCAGATTCACGTTCAACTTTGCTTTTCGTCACTTGATCAGCTCTAAGACGCTCGAGCTCGGTTTCGGCACGCGTGCTCTCGACCTTTTTCTTCAACTCTGCATCTCTCGCCTCCGTCTCGCGCTGTGCTACGATCTGAGCAAGCTTGACACTTGTGTCCAGTTCTGTCTGACGATTCTTGAGCTCCGAATCTGCCTTGGCCTTTTCGGCTTTTCGTTTGGTTTCCAGAACGGCAGTGTCTGCGTCGATCTTGGAGATCTCTTGCTTCGTTCTTCCTTTCTTTTCGGCCTCTCCTATCTCACCCCTCATCCGTGCCTCGGCAACGTCGATCTTGGCCTGGTTGAGGGCTCCTTCATGGGCTTTTCGGCTCAGAAACGCAAAGTATTCGCTGCCGGGCGTATCTTGGAGCTCCTTGACGTTGGCGTTGTAACTGGCACTCTATCAGCACAGATCTATGACAGCTGCGACGGGTAATCACTTACATCTTCAAGCCGAACTGTTTCAGCTCCTTCTGGACATTATCAATGACTGCCCGGCGAAATATTAGCAAAGACTTGGAAAGTACTCAAATCAGCACAGACCATTGTTCTTGAAAACCAGTCTCTCCTTGAAGATCTCCTCCATCGTCATGCTGGAGACAATAACACGAGTCTCGCCTTCAATGATTCCCTTGACGATGTCCTGCACGTGGTCTTTTCTCTCCTGGGAATTAATATTCTCCCTCCTGGCCATATTGTGCTCCTCCGTGCTCCCGGACAGAAGCAGCGCATACTTCCTCAGAGCCTCGTGGTCATTTTCGGGCCCAATGGTGAATACTGCTGGTAGGGCAAACTGGAGTTTTTCGACGGTCATCGCTTGAAGGTTAAGCGAGAAATCGAAAGGCGCTACCGAGAACCTTGCGCACTATGAGAAGAGAAGCGTCAGCCAGAACCATAACTCCTATCTGATTAAAGGCAAAGTGGAAGTGCAGACATACCCGCTGCCATGGCATCACGATGGCTTTTTTGGCGATGCGAATATCATCGATCCCGGCTCCCGTGAGCACGAGATACTCGCTTGGTCGAGCGATCGCATACCTGAATCAAATGTCAGCCACGAACATCTCAATACTGCCATCTCAGCAACATACCGCATTTTGGCTTCTAGTGATAAATAGGCCAAGTACTAGAATATATGATAGATGGTTGACGGAAAGTACGAGCCATCACGGAGCAAAAGCGCCCATTTATACCTACGAACTCATCGAAAAAGTCAAACCCCATGTCATGGGATACTGTAGGCGTCACAATGTCGGCATCCATCGCCGGGCAAAAGCGCTTACCCAAACAAGACGTAATAAATGAAAAAGCAGAGTCATGATACCCTCCCGTAAAGAGAAAAGATCAAACATACCTTACCATCCAGAGGAACGAACGCCTCTGCAAACGACGGACGGGGCAATGCTCCTACGCCCGACGGGGAGCCTTGGATGGAAGAGGCTGTGGCTAGGCAAAATGCCTCGTTCCTGTCCTCCGTAGGCAAACGCAAATGGGAGGCTATGCTACGGCGAGGCTGAAGAAAGTATAAAATGTAAAAGTACTCCGTAAAGGAGACCGAATTACCCGATGAGTAGAACATGCCATCATTTTGGATATCGGAACGTGAAGATCATGGTTGGCTCCGATTGGTTCTTGGACTATGGTGTCTGGAGCTTTGTTTCTTGAGTAGTTTTCACGTTGTGTGATATTTTTCTTTCTTTTTGCTCTCTCTTGTTTTAGGTCTTACTTCCGAGCCAGGTGCGTCTCGTATAAGTCACCTGGTACCTAAGTGAGACCGAAACATTTCCTTATAAGGGGACTTAGAAGTGTAAGTACTTCGCAGCACTTCATAGGTCAAAAAGGGATAAGGAAGACCAAAGAGATAAATAAGATCACGAGAGAGATGATACATTATCTCGCTCCAAGACTTTCCAAAGAAGGGTCGCTGTGAACTGATTATTCCAACTGCTACTGGGCGCTGGGATGTGAGACCGCATCGCCTAGTCTATCAGACCTCCTTTAGCTCATTGGATTTGTGATCCTCGTATCTGGGCCAGCTCCCTTGTACTGCATAAATTGGCGCATCGATTGTCATGGCCGATGTATGCCAGACGATGGGCTCATAACATGAGTGAGGCTATTCAAAAGGATTTATTTCAATCATGTTTACCTGCATCCAGATTGTGAATCTTTTTTACAAGCTTCCAATCCAGTTGATTCCATTGTATAGTCTTGAATTTGACCGCTGATTGGGCACCTGGATGATTATCACGTGTAGCTGACCCACTAAAGCAAACGGTGCAAAATGTCCCTTTTTGGATAGCAGCATCATGTCTAATCGATAGTGGAGGGGCCGCGGGGAGCTTTCAACTCTTTGATTCTGCTAGTTGTCAAACACCTCAGTCAATTCCAACATTTGCGCACTCATCTGAATCACACATTAAACTCTCTACCAGACCGAGCAGAGCCATCCTTTGGTATGTATTGAAAGCACCGATCTCTACAAATCCCCACCACCTTCATATGTCACCTGGAGGGGCTGTAGTTGCCGCATAGGCTCCCCGTGTCTCGCTTCAATGGATTTACAATGCCATCAAAGGTGTCATGTTTTAAAGACCTTCCTGTGCTGTGTCTTTGCCTTCTATTCTTTATTTGTGGACGAAAATATCCCCTATATAAACATGACATCATCCTTTCCTCATCTCATCCCTCCTCTACCTTTGACCTCATTTCCCTATACTGATCGTCTCTCTCACACAAGATCACCATGGCACCCCGTTCTCAGCTAGAGATCACCACGCAGTCCGTCCTGCGCCTGGTCAAGGAAGAAGCGTCCTACCACAACGAGCTGAAAGAGCAAACCAACCGCATCCAGCGCCTAGAGACCCAAGAGAACACCGGCGACGAGAACCAGGAATACACGCTGCGACAAGAGGTATGTGTCTGTTGGGCAACTCTGATTGCAACGCGCCCGCCGCCCTTCATGGTTGGAGAACATGGACATGGGCATGGCTAATCGGGGCTTTACTAAACAGCGTCTCGCGCTCGAGGAGACCAAGAAGGTTCTGCCTACGCTGAAGCAGAAGATCGATGATTCGATAGCCAAGTTGGAGTCTCTGCTGGTGAGTCGCATAAGGAAAAGAAAGGCTGGGTGGGTGGGGATGTTTGCCGGAGATTGGGCTAACGATTTATGCTTCATTAGACCGAGGAGGGCCAGAAGGGTGCGGAGAGCAATGTCGAGCTTATCAATGCTGGGAAGGAGGCTATTGCTAAGGCTAGAACTGCGGAGCGGGAGATTGCTTGAGTTTGAGCTTGAGAATGTGTGAAAAGGAGCTGATAGTTGAGTACAATGAGTATTTCGATTCATGAAAATGTAATCTGTTGCTTTGAGACCATAGTCAAATAGATAATTCCGTTTCTCCTAGAAACCAAGTAATAAGAAAATAAAAGAGCAAACTCAAAGATGCCCTCGCTCACATAGTCAACGCCGCTTAGCCTAACTCCTTGCTCTATGGATTGATTTTGGTTAGTGCACCCCATGGCCCCTTTACGTCATGTCCATTCGGTCAGCGTTACGGTCATCCGGGACCTCTTCCCCCTCTTCCAATTCATCCGCTCGATCGGCATCTTCGTCGGCGGTGACTTCGCCTTCATCCACCATGGTAGCATCTTCTTTGTCGGGGGACTGTTTCTTCTCGTCATCCGCAGTCGTAACTTGCCGCAACGGCGACGCCGCGCCCGTTGTGGCGGAATATTTCTCGGCTTGAAGACCCGCGGCAGGTGAGCGAGCGGTGTCATCCTGGCCCTGTTGAGAGGGCGTGACGCTATCGCCGTCTGGCCGCGGAGTGTTAGCACCACTGGACTTGCCCTTTGACGGCACGTCCGCGTCATCCCCATCCTCGTCTTCCTGCATGCCCTCCCTGCGCTCCACTTCCTCTTTCTCGTCGCGAATCAGTCGTCGCAGCTGCATGCCCTCGTCGACGATGCGGCCAAACTGCTCCCTTCGCTCCGCCCACGTCGTAGCGTAGTCCTTACTCTCCTTCTCCAAGTCGGTGATCTCCGCCTGCAGCTTCTGCAGATTCGCCTGCTGATCCTCCCGCGGCTTCAAGAGCCGGTTGCTCGTGATTCGCTCGGCCAGCTCGTCGTAGCTTTTGCGCAAAGCCAGCAGACGCTGTGCTTCTTCTAGCTGGACACGCAAGTCTGCCGTGTTCTCCCGCACGGATTGCATGGTGGCGAGGATGCGCAGTTTCTCGGCGGCGTAGCGTTCACGTTCCTTCTCGTTGCTCGTGAGCAGGAACTGGATGCGGGCAATGCTTCCTTCGAAGGCGGCGAAATCCAACGTGACGTCCTCGCGGAAATGGCGCCATTCGTCCAGCCGTTTCTGCTTCTCTGCCTCGGTCGTTGCGGCCGCGCTGCTGGCATCGTCGTCGGTTCCTTCGGGAGGCGGGGTGGGAGGGAGTGTCGCATTGGAGACCACGAGCGATTCGGGATTGAGAAGACGCTTGGAGACACGTTTAAAGGGTTTCTCTTCGACGTTTAGAAGACGCGACTTGTGGAGGGTATCTGGAAGGGGTTAGTGAGGTGAGACGAAGAGTGGAGGGAAAATTCCAGCCTGACCTTCCTCTGGTTGATCGAGTAAGCCATAAGACGCCATCTTTGCTTGGGGAAACCAGGCAGCCAGGGTTGATTAATTTTTTTTTTATTATTAGTATGATTATTTCTCAAATGCACAATTATAAACTCCGAGGGATCAAGGGAGAACAAGAGCCCATCAGTCGGTGCTTTGCTTCGGTCGCCGAGGAGGGAAAGGGTGGCTTTCGAAAAAGGCCGATGCGAGCGGTCTGGGGAGCAATTTGGCGCTAGGCGGAACCAGGTCTTGGAGAACGTGATCTCCCTCCCCTTCTCTCCGCAGCCTTTCTCAGTCCGAATTTCTTTTTTTTAATCTTTCATTTTAATTTTCTTATTTACTTCTTTCTGTGATAGGGGGTTGGATCTTTCTCAATTGTCCGTGGTCGCCCGGCTCTTACTACCGTTCCAATCAATACGCACAGTCCTTCTGGTGTTTACCTCTCGGAGCTCAATCGCTTTCCCTTTCTCTCTTTCTCTCTCCCTGACTTGTTTTCTTTTTGGTTACCAAGGCGTCCTTGCTGTCGGTCGTTGCACTAAACCAGCGATGCCAATTGCTCCTTTCCACCCTGTATGCTTGGGCGGCGTTCCATTTGAACTCAGCTCTAGGGGTAGGGAGTCATCGTGTGCATGACGCCACGTCGTTCTTCTACACCCACCCTCGACGCAACTTGCCCAACCCCTACCAACTAGTTAGTTTAATTATGACTTACTGATGGCATCTACGCCCACGATCGACTCGCTCGCTTGTCCTGTTCCGTGGCGTCTTCCCCCCTTTCTGTTATGGCGGAAATGTACTCGGGCCTCCATGTGGGCCAGCGGTTCGGCTCCTTGGAGGAGTTCAAGGCTTTGGTACGAAGTATATCTGTCCGACAGCACTGGGAGCTCCGAGTGACGCGGAGCAATAAGAAGAGCGTGGTAATAGGGTGTCGATCGTCAGCCAATTGCTTCTTCCGCGTCGTGTGCCGGGCGAACAAGAACGCAACCTATATCAGCAGCCTTCAAGACAGTCATAGCTGTCGGCGCAATGCGACCTCTACCCCTAAAACACCAGTTCGCTCGGAGGTCTCGCACGTTCGATTTCTCCTAACCGAGATCCCCAAGCTGTTCGACATGAGGAACAACATCAAGGCCCAGGAGGTCGTCGACGCCGTCAAGCGCTATCATGGATACGAGATCTCCACGAGACAAGCCCAGCGGGCTCTCATCCGACTAGAACAGCAGCAGTCACAGACCCAGGAAGAGAGGGCCAACACCCTCGACTCCAGCGGCGATGACCAGCCGGACCTTCAAGCCGCGTCCGAAGAGCAGGCCGAGGGTTCGACGTACAGCGGTCTTTCCGGACAGAGATGGCTCCCGGACAGTATCCAGAACAGCCTCATGGAGCCGAGTAACCCGGATCTTCAAGCTTCGCAGCTTCCTGGAGAGACATTGCAACCGCATCATCCCCATATCCAACACCAGCACCATTCGGTTCAGCACCCGTCGGGCCTCCACTCGCAGGGGCAACCGTCTCCCGGCTTCTCCGTTCATCACCACCCGACAGCCACCTCTCATCAGTCTGCCTTTGGAGTGCCGACCTCCAATCAACCATCCACCCCGCAAACCGCACACCCCAAGCCTCAGCGACGATACTCCAGCGGCGGCCACCCGGCCGCGGCGCAACTAGTCCTGACTAACTTCAAAATCGAATTCACCTGCACCACGTGCGGCGCTCTAAACCAGAGCTTCTTCCCTAATCACGGCAACGTCACCGGCGGGAACTATCTGCCTCAGCACGCCGTATCAAACACGGCCGGCGCAGCAGACGTAGCCGGGCCACCTAGAGAAACCGTTCCGGGTAATGCGGGACATGAACGTGTTGACGATACGCACGGGTTCGGAGTCGACACGACGGGCGGAGCGCGAGGAGTACAATCATCCCCATGGGCCCCCGGGAGTCTGGAAGTCCCTATGCCGTCTGCACACAGCTAGTTCACGTAGATATTTCCATTAGACGGTTTCTGACTGGCTGACTAGATGTTGGGGGTCGATGTGAAAGAAGTTTTTATTTTCTTTTCCTTTCTTTTCTTTTTATTCAGCCGCAGCTACATACATGTTAGGATGACCTGAGTTCTAGAACCACATCTTATTTATTCTCCGAAGTGGCTTTGGTGCCGACGCCTCCTGGCGTAGGATTGTAGGCCCTAGTAACCAATGGGATCATAGTGGTTACAGCTGTCAGATAAGATTCCCCTGTCTAACCATCCAGTTAACTTAGATATAATGGCTTATAAGGGGCTCCCTACGGTGTATTCCGCAGTCAAAGAATTCATTCCTCAATGTCGGACCTCCGATGTCGATCGCCGACCGCTGACGTTCCGCCCGGTGAAGATGCCGCTGCTACACGTGACCGCGTGCTCGGAATTAATCCGACGCACAGTTGAGGGCTGTTTGCCACCAATGACCTTAGCAAGTGACTACTGAGTTCTCCATACTTACATGACTCTTGCTAATTCATCGGACCCCCCGAACCAGAGTCCGTCGGCACCTGCGCCGATATCTTTGTAAGAAAGACATCACTGGGAGAAAAACCTGCTGTTCCTCCCTGCAGGATGTGCCTGGCAACTGAGAGGCATGCGGCAATTGTCTTATCTAGATGGTTTTGCAATTATTTTTTCTGTGACTTGAAGAGATTGGGTATCGATTAGGGCTGCTACACTGAATTTAGCATTCGGTTCGTCTTGACAGGTACTCGCCTGTAGTTATCTCGAATCTTCCTATGTTCACATCACCAAGGCGGATATCGACCTGGTTCATAGGATGAACCGGCAGCAAGCTGCAGAGAAGGCATTGCATGACCAGACAAACATCCTTCCCAAGGGTCAGCTGCTGGTTGTCTTCGCGGGTCTCGCCTGCTCCCTGCTCATCACGTTCGTGGATCAAAATGGCATCAGCGTCACGCTTCCCACGATCGCCAAGGATCTTGATGCCCAGAACACGATCTCCTGGGCGGGCACCTCCTCGCTCATCGCCAACACCATGTTCACGGTGCTATACGGCCGTCTGTCAGACATCTTCGGCCGCAAGATTGTGTACCTGTTCGCGCTGGCGCTGCTCTGCATCGCCGACCTACTGTGCGGTCTGTCCCAGAACGCGGCCATGTTCTACGTCTTTCGAGGCCTGGCCGGTGTAGCAGGCGGCGGCGTGACGTCGCTCACCATGATCATTGTGTCGGACGTGGTGTCGCTGCGAGAACGAGGCAAGTACCAAGGTATTCTGGGTGCGTCGCTGGGACTGGGGAATGTAATCGGCCCGTTCATCGCGGCCGCGTTCATCATGAAGTCGACGTGGCGAGGGTTCTTCTGGCTGATCTCGCCGCTGTCGGCCTGCTCGATCGTTGTGGGCTACTTTCTAATCCCGAATAATACGCGCAAAGACGGCCTTCGGGAGAACCTGCGCCGGATTGACTTCTTCGGCATCATCGCGTCCTCGGTCGGTATCATCTTCTTGCTGATTCCCATCTCTGGCGGCGGGTCCTATTTTGAATGGAACTCGCCAATGGTGATTAGTATGCTGGTGATCGGCGGCTGCTCTTTAATTGCATTTATTTTCATCGAATGGAAAGTGGCGATACTGCCCATGCTTCCTGGTATGTTATTCCCTGTACCTATTTCTGGCACTGTACGGTTGGCTTACGTTTAGGCAGTGGTGTTTTTCAAGAATAAAGTCATCTGCGCTCTTTTCCTGCAAAGTTTCCTGCTCGGCGCGGTGTATCAATCCTACCTCTACTATTTGCCGCTTTACTACCAGAATGCCCGCCAGTGGTCGCCTGTCATATCTGCCGCATTGACATGCCCCCTTGTCATCTGCCAGTCGCTCGTATCCATTCTGTCCGGCCAGTATATCTCCCGACGCAAGCGCTACGGCGAGGTCATCTGGGGTGGATTCGGATTTTGGACCCTGTAAGTACCTAGTCAATACATCAGACTCCGTCAACCCTAACCACCAATCCAGCGGCGCCGGCCTCATCCTCCTCTTCGACCCGACCACCAACCCAGGCGTCATCGCCGTCATCGTCGCCATCGTCGGCATTGGCGTCGGCGGCGTCTTCCAACCAACCCTCGTGGCCTTCCAAGCGCACTGCACCAAATCGCAACGCGCCGTCGTCATCTCCGACCGCAACTTCTTCCGCTGCCTCGGCGGTGCCTGTGGACTCGCCGTCTCCGCGGCCCTGTTGCAGGCGACGCTCAAGTCGAACCTGCCGAGTGGGTTCGAGCATCTGGCTCATTCGACGTACTCGTTGCCGGCGCGAGAGGGCGTCTCGGATGCAGACTGGTCGCAGATCTTGAATGCTTATGCGAAGGCGTCGCGGAGCGTGTTTATTCTGCAGGTGCCGCTTATCGGGGTGTGTTTTATCGCTTGTCTACTGATTCGGGATCGGGGGTTGGAGAGGCCGAAAGAGCCTGGGGAGGAAGAGGAAGAGAAGAAGGATCGAGAGGGGGCGCAGGTGCCTGAGAATCGTGTCGAGGGACAGGAACTGCGGCCGTCTGATCCTGAAACAGGTGATCAAGGGCCTGCACGCCCTCAGAGGCCAGGGTTGGATCCGGAGAAGCATGCTTCGCCCGGAGGGGGACGCGTTCAATTGGGTCTGACCGCCGCTGACCGGACTGCAACAACTTAGACTCTAGACGTCACTTCGAAAATCACATATAAAAAGCAATACTATTTAGCATATTATCTCGAACATTCTACATACACCTCCAAATCTAGTAAATGATAGCGTCCGTGACACGCGATACCCTTATCGATAAGCCGGCCCGATGCGTCTTGGCGCATCCACCAATCTCCCTCCATCTTCCATCTCCATCCCATTCCATCCTATCCCATCCCAATCCATCTCTCTCGCAATACCTCATAAAACTCTCTTCCCATCAATCCATCGAAATGATGGACCCCAGAAATCTCCAATGCAATGGACATCCCTGAATCAACGCCCCGAACCAGCGCCTCGCCCTCCCGAGACCATAATCCCCGAAAGCGCGGCCGAACCGCCTGCACGCGCTGCAAAACGAGAAAGCAGAAAGTATGAGCCCTCACCCGGCTCTAAGACTAAATAGCAATTGCTGAGAATTGCCAGTGCGATAATGACTATCCTGTCTGCTCGAACTGCCATAAGGCGGGCGCCGTGTGCGATAAGGACTCGGTGAGACAGGACACTGCGCAGCAGAACGAGTGGGTTGCTTCATCGTCTCTGTTGTTCGATTTGCAGGCTGAGTATAGGACAGGTACACGCATGCGCTGGAACAGCGGATCAAGGATCTCGAATCCCAGTTAATTTCCAAGCAACTCGGGGCGAATGGCACTGCGACCAATGTAGCGCCCGCGGAGACACCGCCGCTTTTCCCGGCCCGGAATGCAGAGAGCGCGCAGCCGGGCCTCAGTCCCGCCACGGGCATCGACCACAATGCCGTCGGCGAGCTGGTCGGGTTTCTGGCGCTGAACTCCTACGAGGCGCCGGCGTATGTGGGCTCGAGCTCGGGGTTGTCGTTGGCGGCGAATCTGGGCGAGATGGTGCAGGCGACGGTGTGGAATCAGGTTCTGACGCCGTCGCGGGGACAGCAGAATCCGTTGAATTTTTCGGGGGGTGTGTCAGGGGGAGGAGGCGCTTCGGCGAACGGGCCGCGGGGTGTAGGGGGTCAGTCGCGGTCGCTGAGAATGGAGGATTTGATTGCGAAGAGTACGGAGCCGCCGAATGATGAGATGGGAGCTCGTATCCTGCAGGCATATTTGAGGCGGTTGCATGTGCGGTATACGTTTCTGGATCGGCGTGAGTTGTGGAGGCTGCACGAGGATCGGTTTCGGCTTTCTAAGACGAAACGCGAGGAGCTTTCGCAGGCGGAGAGATTCGGGCTTTTCAAATTGTATCTGGTGTATGCAATTGGGGCGACGACTTTGGATCTGAGTGAGAAGTACACTTATGTTCCACCAGAGGTATGTTTCCTATGCAAAGGGAGAGGGCAGTGCTAATCTATATTCGTAGCGATTTTACATGACTGCCCTGCAGCAAGTCCCCACGATGTGCGAAGCCCGATCCATCGAAAACATCGAAGCCATGACCCTCCTGGTGGTATATCATCTGCGATCCGCCTCCAGCCAGGGGGTTTGGTACATGGTTGGACTGGCGATGCGCACGGCCATCGATCTCGGACTGCACCGAAAGGCCAACGAGACCAACCTCGACCCGATCACCGCGCAGATGAGACGTCGGCTGTTTTGGACGGTCTACTACCTCGAGCGGGTCGTGTCCATGTCGCTCGGCCGTCCGTTCAGCATCGCAGACCGACACATCGATCTGCCCCTACCTTTAGATGTTGACGACGACGTGCGCGACCCAGCCCTTTTGTCTACCAGCAGCAGCACCTCGCCGGCACCGCCCAACCGTAACACCACCCTCACCTTCGCCATCTACCTCATCCAACTGCGCCGCATCGACTCCAAAATCCAACACAAGATCTACCGCGCTGACCGGCCACTCCACTCCCTCCGCTCCAAGATGGACTCCCTCTTCCTGGAGCTCGAACAGTGGAAAGAATCCGCCCTTCTGCGCTTCCACGGCCCCGACCTCGACTATCCCATGCTCCACTACAACCGCGCGCTCCGCCTCCTCATCCAGCCCTTCCTCCCCTCCCTCCCCCTCACAGACCCATACTATCACGTCTGCCTGCGCGCCGCCGGCAACATCTGCAAAACGCACAAGCGACTCCACCAGACGCTCGAATACGGACATTCCTTCCTCGCCGTGCAGACAGTCTTCATGGCCGGCATCACACTGCTGTACGCGCTGTGGACGCACGCCCACGACGTCTGGTCCGTGCAAATGAGCAACGACATCCGCGCATGCTCGACGGTGCTCTTCGTAATGAGCGAGCGCGCCGTCTGGGTCAAGAAGTACCGCGATGCGTTTGAGCTGCTGGTCAACGCCGCCATGGAGAAGTTGGAAGTCAACGATCCGAGTCGGAAGATCGGGATGGCGGAGTTGATGACGGCTCAGCACTCGGGGGGTCTTTCCACGAACCCATACCTCTCTTCGTCTCCTACGCCGGGACTATTCCAACATCCGTACCCGAACTTGAACCAAACCTCGACATCCACCTCCACCTCTCACTCTACAGGCCTTGCCCCAGCCCCGTCTTCTTCCAACCTAAATCCCAATCCATACCCCAACCCCAACTCCGGAATCGCAGCAACCATAGACCAACATCAACAACACCTTAACGCCAACCCCAACCCAGGGAAACCAGCAAACCCAGGAAATCCCACAGACACGCAAAACCACGGCATGCGCATGGCCTTCCAACTCGCCCCATGGATCGACCTCGAAGAAGACAGCCCGTTCTGGATGCCGGACTTTGAGACCCTGGAGAGTTTATCCGGGAATTTGGATTTCTGGAATGTGGGGGCCCCGGGACCTTTTGAGCCGTGATCATAGCCATAATTCCTATTTTGGGTGAGGGGCTGGGGGGGTTATTGTAGATAGAGTAGAGTGGAGGATGGGGTTAGTTGGAGATGGTAGATATGGGGTAGTGTATAAAGGGGTGGAGTTAGATGGTGTGACATTTAATGAAATTGGAACTTGTATATACATACAACCTCTCTCTCTCTCTCTCTCTGAGTATTTGTGAATGTTTGTAAAACCTACCCCAGAATAGACTTATAGTTATAGTCAGTTACTAAATAGAATGATTCCTTCGGTCTGATCCCGTTAACCCGATGCTCTAGCGATAAGTTGATGGAATAAGATGGCAAGAAGCATATCATAGGTAACATAGCATAGCATGTAACATTCAATAATTAAGTATTTAACATCCAGTCCAGTCCAGTCCAGTCCAGTCCAAGCACAGAAATAAGATTAAAAACAAAACAAGAGAGACAAAAGATACAGTTTTCATATCGTCGTATCATATCAAATCAGATCAGATCAAACTAACCAAAATCAGAATCATGTCAATAGAGAACACAGCCCAAAAGGACACTTCCGTCCCAGATCACCGTCTCGGAACATCAAAGATATCATTCCGCCATGTCCGTCCTAGTCGTTGAGTTTCGTCCCCGTCTTCAATCGCCTCCTGGGCCCGGAGCGCTTCCTCGTGCCACACCTTCGCCAGACTCCCCGGGGTATAGACGCCCTTGAAGACGCCGTGGCCCGGCGCGTCCAGAGCGATGCGGGTTTCCACGTCCGACACGGGCTTCAAGCGAGCGAGGATGGCCCGCACCAGACTGGCCAGGTCGCGGGGATTGGCGATCTGAGCGGCGCGCAGGCGTTCCCGGGCGAAGACCAGCTCGCGGTTCAGGGTAAATGCAGCCTGGACGATCTGTTCGGCGATTTTCTTTTCCAGAACCCGTCGGAACATGTGCTTGAGGAAAGGCTTGGTCAGCCAGAGAAGGAAGCGCCATCGGCTGCGGTGGACCGTGTAGTTCAGCTTGTGGATGACGACGCGCACGCCGCGCAGGGTGAAGATCTGCTCGAGCCGTTCGCGGCCGACTTCGATGTCTAGCGAGATGTCGACGCCTCGGCGGTCGAGGAAGAAGCTGGCGATGCCTTCGTCTTTGAAGAGGCAGAACGGGCCGGTGTGCGTGCGCAGCCAGTATCCGAATTCCGCGGCGCTGATGTTGAGGCCCATGACGGTGGCGGTGAAGGTGGTCTTGAGGTCGGTCTCGGTCCGTTTCGAGTGTCGCTTCAGGATGTCGATGTCGTTGCGCGTGGTGACATGCATGCGATAGGGAAGGAAAGAAGAGTATTGGACCCCGTGGCCCGGCTCCAGGATCAAGTTCTCCAGCAGAAGATCAAGTTCCGGCGCTGAGATCTCCAGCCGTGGGATTGGGATGTACTGGAGGTGGCGGAGGACGATAGGGAAGAGTACCTCGAGAATATCCACCGGCAATCGGCTTTTCTGGTCCTGATAGCCGGTCCATGCGTCCTTGTAGATTTTGCTGGTGACATCCACCAGCTTAGACACCGAGGTATCCTCCGGGACTGTTCGCAGCGTCCGTTTGGCCTGCACCAGGAAGGCATCCACATCCTGGCGCAAACTAGACCCCGCGCCCACTTGCTTAGACTTGCCTTCCAGCTCGCTGATCTTCTCTGAAGCACTGTCGAAAAATTCAGGGTTCGTCAGCATCTCCTGGATAGAGTACCCAATTTCCGACATCAACTTCTCGAACTCGGGATCTTTGTTCGCATGCTGCAGCACTTGGGAGAAGTCCTGCTCCAGCACCTTCCACTCCTCAGCGTCGCCAAACGACCGAAGCAACACCCAGAACTTCTCCATCGCCTCCTTGAGATCCGCGTTGATGTCCACCTCCTCCTCGGCGGTGGTGACCACATCGGCGGCCGCATTGGCATAGATCGCGGCATACCGATTCACCAGCGGCCCTAGCGCGGCGACGGAATCCGTATAGTCTGGTCTTTTTCGCAGCGTCAAGACGGCCTGTTTCAGCCGATAGAACAGCGTGTCTTTCTCCCGTTCGCCGAGATGCTGTTTGGCGCTATCAACGGCGTCCCTGCCGGTCCGCACCACCCCACGGCCGGTGGCATCGACGACTTCTTCCGCCTCGTGGCGCAAGTCCTCCTTGGTCGGCGCACGACCCTCGTCTGCGCCTGCTTCCTGCACAGCCTGGACATCATTCTCCGACGGTTTCAGCTGCTCGCCCACCTGCTGCGAGGCATTGGACAACGAGAACGCCGTGTCCGAGAAAATTTGTCGACCGACGGTGGTCAGATCATCGACGAAAAGCCGGAAATCGGCATTGGTCAGCAGGAGCTGTCCAATGGTTCGAAGACTATCATACGCTGCATCCTTGTCAGCCGGGGGTCACAATCACAGAATATCCCCACCCGTCGGGAAGCATATACCGGCCTTGGTGTCCGCCCTCGCCTTCACCTGCGCCGCATGTTGCGAGATATGACTCGGGTCTAGGGAGGCGCGCGATCGGGCCAGATGCCACAGAAACTCCTGCAGCTGGTCGGAGCCGTTCTTGTCCCGCAGGAGCTCGATGAATACCTGGATCCAGAGACGGCAATCCCGAATCAATTGGCGACCGACGGAGCCGATCTCCTGAGACCGCGGGTTGAGAATGTCGGAGGCCAATAGGGTGCGCAGGTTGGCGATGACTTGGTCGGTCGACGGCATGTAGCCCTCCGAAAGGGCGCGGAGCATCTGATAGGAGTGTAGTTTCTGATGCAGGCGGCGCTGGAGGGTCGTGTCCTCCTCGTAGCGAGGGAGGAGCGGCTCGGTCTCCCCGTGCGGCATGGTGGGCGATGGGCCGACCGTTGACGTGGCTATCTGGCTGGACTGGTTTCTGGAGGGTGTGATGCCCGATGGTGGATGGGTTGTCCGAAGGGAAAGGAGAGAACCACGGTCATGAAGGAGGAGAGGGACAGGGAAAGCGGAGGCCGTTGGAATGGCATGTCATGGAGGGCGGCTAACTGCTTTGAGCCTCTTCGTTGGCATCGTCCTTCACTCTTGCGTCACCCCCGCCGCTTTTACATCAGGTGATCTTATCTACAGAATGATAATAATAGAACGATTGTCTGATCAGAGTTGATGCTACCAGCATCACCCGATCTACAGGGCGATGGTATCTACGGAGTACGTTTCAAGCTCCAGGATCAATGCATTCAATTGAGTCAATGGACCGATCCATCTCACGACTTCAGATCACCAGATGAACAGTAACTACTAAGTTAGCTGTGATAACTAATTGACCCCGAAACAATTGATTGAGTCTACCCTCTTCTTCCCTGGCTCTGGGCCATCTTGATGATCGACGTGTGACGTCAGAACGTCGACTCGACGCCTGAGAGGTCAGGCATCCTCGAAACAGCAGATTACCCGGAATGGACTAGCGCATATCATATTCCAATCTATTCTGGCTCAAGTTTGAAGATATTCGACTGAATGAATACTGCCTTGCTCTATTTCGGTCCACTGGTCCAGCCATCCAAGATAAAGAGCGAGCCAGCCGCGATGAGAACGCCGTGAAGGGACTAATGAGCTCAGCCCGCAGACAAAACGCAGCCGTTGAGGACCACAATCTGAAAAACTCTGACATATCTACAGAGTAGGATCATTAAGGGAATCGAAAACAGGAAAATCATACAGACATATACCCAATAAATAAGATAGTCGAGACGTTCTGGACTCCATAAGACGAACCAACCATCCTGCACGTCACATGGATGTGGAGACTTTCGCGATGCGGCGTACAGTACTCCGAACAGTCCACATCCCAGCCCTGCCAGCCCTGCGCGGTCCAATTATTCCATTGCAAAATTTAAAATCCGGGGGTGGCTCAAGGTCCCCATAACCTATCCCATTAATGTCGCTCGATGGGAACTATCCCCCTTGAGGTTTGAAGGGTTAAACGGCTCACCCCTGAGTGTGGGAAAGAAAGGGAAAATCCGGGGAGAGCTACTTACCTCCTACGATCAAGTGGCTTTTCATTCCTTCGGATCAGTCAGAACTCAAGTCTGACAGTGGTTTAGACTTTGATGGGCTTTTGGTGTGACTCGCTTTTTTTTTTCGTTCTCATTCCCAACGCATTTTCTGCTGGGGAGGTTGGTCTTGGTTATGACTCTGAATACGCAGTGTTATCCAGCACAGGTCGGAAGGAACTCGGTGTCAGGGACCGATTGCAGATTGATCGACTAGGCCTTGGAAGGGCTTGGACCTCCTCCAGTTCCGAATCTACCTCGTCCTGCAGGGGTGCTGGACTGTACACCGTACACAGAGTCACAGTATGTACATGTTGCCCGCGTGAGGAATTCGCCGGATACGGTATTCTCCTGCGGATGCACATACTGTGAAAGGAGAAAAGATACGAGGGACAGGGGGGGAATGAATCATAATCACAATCATCATGGCTGCCTAGGTTGAGTAGAAAGTACTCGTACGCCCTTCCTTCCTATGTGCTCCGTAGGACAGCTCCCCAGGGCAACGATCAGCAATTCAGGCCGCGACCAAGCTTTCCTGTGATCCATGCAGTGCATGAATTGGGTGAAACTCCGGGGGAAGGTTCAAGGAACGGAGGAGATCGGAATGGACTACGGAATGGACTACGGAGACTGGAGTACAGGTTGAATGCTCGGGGGTGGATAAAGGAGCTCGTATAGAGGGGGAACTATGCAGTATGGAGTATGGGATAGGATGGGATGGAGTGTACGGAGTAGTCCGCAGCACTACGTGTAGATCCGACTAGACTCTTCAATGAATGGAGTAGATGACATGACATGACATGACGTGTGTATACTGTACGAGTATACAGTAGACTTTAGCGAAGAGGTCTAGAAAATACTCTGTATATCTGAGTACTCTAATTCCCGATCGACACAAAGAAGGGGCGGTAAGCGCAAAGATGAGGCCCAAGTATGAGGGCTACTCCGTATATTCCATCCCCCTTGACGAGGTGCATAAATGACTCAACGTGGCGGCGGGATTTTGTTGGTGTATCTCTTTATCTATTTTTAATCTATTGACCCTTTTCGTGTTATTATTATGTTCTTCAATCCTGACTAATCGGTACTTTCTGATCGCAAAGGCTGGACCGTTCCAAACCCCGATCCATCACTAATCACGACTTAACGAACTAACGACGGAGGGTAACGCCGAAACCAGCCCTAAGTCTGACTCGGCCGTCGCGACGGTCAGGTAGGAATGGCAGATAGTTGATTAATATTATCGTCTGGGCGTTGGTCGAGCGAAGCTACGGAGCAGCTAGGGGAGGTTGACTCCATCCGAAGGCTCCATCGGCCGGGCCCGATCGGCGCGGAGGCATCGTGGTTTCGGCTGTCATTGGACCAGGGCTTTGCTATTTGGAGAGGTTTTGGAGAGGTTCCGACGAAATGAAACACGGCGAGGGACTAGGACATTTGGGAAAATGTCGCAACTGAATTCCTAGTTCCCACAGGGAGTTGCACACAGATGTACAGACATGCTCGGAGTATGCAGGTAGGTAACTAGGTATGTACCTGTAGGACTCGGTCAGGGGATGCAAGGCACACTGGTGTACATTACGGAGTACAGACTACAGACTGCAGACTACAGACACGGTAAATGCCTCAAAAGTGCAACAGGTCGCGTGTCTACCGACTCTGAGAGACAGTAACTACCTGAGATAGGATTAATAACGAGGCAGCCGACGCTGAGTCAAGAACCCGAACTCGGCCAGCCTCCGGGCCGCGCTGACTGTGCGGGGACGCGATGAAGAATCTCTCAGCTGGAAAAAACCGTCTGGAACCCTTCCTCTCGCAGTTTAGTCTATCTAGCAGCTCTGGCTAAGCCTAATTGCTGCCACATGAGACCGGCTCCACCGAAGGGTCCCTCTAAGTGACTAGTCTAAGTAGTCTTACCTCCGTAGTGAGAGTTCCCTTGCAATGTTTGGTACTGCTCCACCGTCCGCCAGAAGGAAAGAACGGATTACAAAAAGAAAAGATGATCGGGATGTTATATCGGATGCTGCCCGCGGAGACTTTTTTTTTTCTTTTCTTTTTTCTCTTCTAGAGAGTGCGACGGGATAAGAATTCATAGTACGACGAGAGACGGAGTCCGGAGTATATGATTTGATTCTGGTTTTGGGGTGATTCTCTCAACGAGAAAGAAGTACTGTACTAGTAATAACCAGTAAACTGTGAAGAAAAAGAAATATCTCGCTTACTTCGCTCAACAAAAATTAAATCGAAAACCAAACAAGGGGCAGGATGTGTTCAAATGGCAATTCTCAACAAAACAGTAAGAATAGGCACCACGGAGTACTCATACTTCACAATCACCAATAGACGGACGAGAATCAATCCAATTCCAATTGATTTCCAATAAATTCAAAATGCAATAAAAAAAATCCCCCACTGGACAGATCAAGTCCCATTAATTGCGATATCTCTCGTACTCCGTGCTACACGGTAGTTATCGTCCTGGTGTCAACGAAAATTGCCTCACTCTCCGATCCGCAATCCTGTTGTGATTCTCGACTTTCTTGTCTTTGCCTGGTATTTGCTGACGATTCATTTGATTTTATTTTTTCTCTTTCAGGTTTTTTTTATTATTTTCATTTCTTTTTCTATTTCCAATCTCTCCGCATTTGTCGCATTTCGCTTTCGCCTCTCGGAGAGTCTCCCGTTTTTTCTCGCCTTTTTCTCCACACGGCAGTCCAAAAATCGTTTCGTCCATTGTCCACTTTCCTCCCCAATTTCCCAAAAAGCTTCGTATCCCATTCCCACCGTGACTCGGTCGAAACGGTTCGCTGCCATGTAACCGCCGCCCCCGATATCCACCGTCCCAACCCCGATGCCTCTGACTGGCTCCTTACTCCCCGACTCTTCCCGATCGCTGAGCCATCGTCTTCCTCCTTCCCATCCACAGCCTGGCTCTTTAGTCCTGGCGACGACCTCGTTGGAGATCACAACGGGTGCTGCGTTCTGACCGTCGGAATGTGGTGGATTCGTGCTCAGGGGGGTTCGATGTTAGTGCGCCTACATAAAATCAGACTGCCACCTGTGGCCTCGAGATCTTTTTCTTCTACAATTCTCTCTTCATCCCTCTCGACTGCTTCTACTTCTTCTTCTTCTTCTTGTACTTCATCTCGTTCTATCACCTCGTCTACCTCTTCCTCTTCATTCGGAATTCGTTCTAAATCCGGTTTGGACGTCCCCCAGCTTGCCACCATGGCTCGTTATCCCGCGCAACAAGGCCGGCCGGTCCACGCGACCCCTAACGTGAGCCACGCTGCTCCAGTGTACGTTCAATTCTTTGCCAGACATTGTCTACCCTATCTTTATGATTGTCTATGAATGATGCTGATTCAATTGGTCCACGTAGGGAGTCGAATTACGATACCGCCAACCCTCCCTACATTCGCAAGTATCTCCGCACCTACGGTCTGACTCCCCCGCGTGCGGAGTCCTACGAGGTTCAGAAGACGCGCTGTTCGTATACCCGCCACCACCACAATATCCAGTCCGGAACTAATTTCCTGGCAGGTCTGGCTCAGTTGGCCCTGAAGCAGTCGCCCATCGATAAATTTCTCTACCTGAGTACCCTCCGCAAGAACAATGTGCACCTGTTCTACCGTCTCGTGACGGATCACCTGAGGGTATGGCAACATGAATACCAATTTGGAGAAAATAATTCTAAATGAAAACAGGAATTGACTCCCCTCATCTACACCCCCGTGGTGGGTGAAGCTTGTCAGAGATGGTCCGAGATCTACCAGCAGCCAGAGGGTAAGTTTTTAGCAACCCTTGTCAACAGCTTTCCCCATTCCCCACCCTTCCGAAAACTTGGCGTGCTAATCTCGGAAATCACAGGCATGTACCTGAGCTGGGAAGATCGCGGCAATCTGGCCGCCGTCATTGCCAACTGGCCGCAGCCCAATGTGGAGATCACATGCATCACCGATGGCTCCCGAATTCTTGGCCTGGGTGATCTTGGCGTCGGAGGCATGGGAATCCCCATTGGCAAGTTGGCCCTGTACACTGCATGTGCCGGCATTCGTCCCGAGGCCACCCTGCCTCTGACCCTGGATCTGGGTACCAGCAACAAGACTCTCCGGGAAGACCCGCTCTACATGGGTAGCCGTCGTGACAAGGTCACCCCCGAGCAGGAGCTGGAGTTCATGGATGAGTTGATGACCGCTCTCACCGAGCGCTGGCCCGGTATTGTCATCCAGTTCGAGGATTTCAAGAACCCCTTCCCCGCTCTGGAGCGTTACCGTGACATCTACACCTGCTTCAACGACGACATCCAGGGCACTGGTGCCGTCATCCTCGGCGGTGTTATCAACGCCGTCAAGCGCTCGGGTCTTCCCTGCAAGGAGCACCGTGCCGTTTTCTTCGGTGCGGGAAGTGCCGGCGTGGGTGTTGCCAAGCAGATCGTGGACTTCTTCGTGCGCGAAGGTATGACCGAGGATGAGGCCCGTGCTTGCTTCTACCTCGTCGACACCAAGGGTCTCGTCACCCTGGACCGCGGTGACAAGCTCGCCGATCACAAGGTGTACTTTGCCCGGTCGGACAACCAGGGCCAGCAGTGGAAGAGCCTCGAGGAGGTCGTTGACCACGTGAAGCCCACCATCCTGATGGGTCTGTCGACCCAGGGCGGCGTCTTCACCCCCCAGATCCTGGGCAAGATGGCCGAGTGGAACACCAGCCCCATCATCTTCCCTCTGTCTAACCCCTCCTCCAAGTCGGAGTGTGACTACGAGAGCGCCGTCGTCAACACGGACGGCCGTGCCCTCTTCGCCTCCGGTTCCCCCTTCCAGCCCATGTCGTTCACCAACTCGGCCGGCGAGACCCGCACCTACTACCCCGGCCAGGGCAACAACATGTACGTCTTCCCTGGTATCGGTATGGGTACCATTCTGTCCAAGGCCGTCAAGGTCACCGACAGCATGATCTACGCTTCTGGCGAGGCCCTGTCTCAGGCTCTTACCGCGGAGGAGATCGAACGGGGTCTTCTCTACCCCGACCTGACCCGCATCCGCTCCGTCAGCGTGGTGGTGGCCCGCAAGGTCATCCGCGCGGCCCAGGAGGACAAGGTGGACCGCGAGACACCCCTCCGCGCCATGACGGACGAGGCCCTGGACGCCTGGATCAAGGCCCGCATGTACGATCCCCACACCGAGGTGCTGGCTCTGGAGCGGGAGGTCGGCGCTCTGCTGTCCAGCATTGGACCTGCTTCTTTCGCTCTGAACGCACTGTCGAGCGAGGAGGACAAGAACGCTAAGCTGTAAGCTTAATGATCCAGCGTTCTTTCGTTTATTTTGGTCACATTTCTTTGGTCAGCCACATATGCCTTCCGTTCTGTTTCTTGAAGCGTTTCTCTTGCCCTGTTGGAAGAAAGACCCGATGTTTTTTTCACCCAGTTATACCCCGTTCTTTTTTCGGAATCTGCAAATATTCTTTAATTGGCCAAAAGCTTCCTCCGTCCGATGCAGAACCAGGTTTTGGTTCTAGATGGTTTAGATGGGCGGATTGGAATTAGCAATTTAGATGAATCAATGAATCTCGGATTTTCACTCACTACACTTGCCTTTTAGTAAGCACTTGTGTCTACAATATTGATTACTATACAATCTAGATGTGGAGTAAACGGAGAGACTCAAATCGCCGGCCGACCACAAAATAAACTCTGCAGCTCGCAACGCTTGTCCTTTTGAGTCAAGTTTGATGGCTCAAGTCTTGTCAACTCTCCCTTACATTGACTAGTTTGGCCGATCGTCTCCACTAGGTTCGGTGCCGAGGTTTCTCTCTCCGCTACCCCCGAACATATCTATATAGGTTCTGTCTGCAAGACTATAGAATTCTTTCTACTCACTTTCATTATACAGGAAGGTACTGATATACACATCATTGAGAAACCAAAATGCCGTCGCCATTGACTGAACCGGTGAGACTCCCCTGCGGATTGGTGTTTCCGAATCGACTGGTCAAGGTATGTATGCTGCATCCATTGTTTCAACTAGAAGAGCCTGGCTAATGCAGATACCTGTAGGCTGCTATGGCTGAGATGCTCGCCGACAGGAATACCAACCTCCCGACGCCGGATCTTGTCGAGGCGTATCATAAATGGGGACAGGGTGGATGGGGAGGTCTTTTGACCGGTTCGTCTCCATGCCATTTACTTCACACACACACACACACACACACACACACCCACCCACCCACCAAAAACCTCAACTGACAAAAACGAGATTAGGAAACGTCCAAGTCGACATCTCCCACCTCGGCACGCCCTTCGACCCATCCCTCCCCGCCGACCCCTACACTTCCAAACACGCCAACACCGACCTCATCAATTCCTACTCCCGCATCGCCCAAGCCGCCCAAGAACACTCCAGCACGCCATGCATCGTGCAACTCTGCCACCCGGGACGCCAGTCTTTCCGAGGCGCCGGCCACCGCGGCCTCTGCGCGCCGACGATCGCGCCGAGTGCGATCCCCCTGACGATGGGCGACGGGTACCTGGAACGGCTGGTGAGTTGGGTCACGTTTCCGGCGCCGAGGGAGATGAGTAGCGCGGATATCGAGGCGGTTACGGCGCGGTTTGTGGATGCTGCGAGGGTGATGGCAGATGCGGGGTTTGCGGGGGTTGAGTTGCATGGGGCGCATGGGTATTTGATTGGTAGGTTTGATTTCCTTCCTCAGGTTTGGGGTGAGAGGGAGAGATGCATGATTGGCTAACTGAAGTTCTATAGATCAGTTTCTTAACTCTAAGGTCTGCCCCTCATCTACATCCATATCTACAAATAACCTAACAACTAACAAACTATGTTCATCAAGACAAACCACAGAACAGACGCCTACGGCGGCTCCGCCACAAACCGCGCCAAATTCATACTCGACATCATCGCGCAGATCCGCGCCGTCGTGCCGTCTTCCTTCTGCGTCGGCATCAAGTTGAACTCAGCGGACCATGACCACGACGACCCGGGAGCTTTCGAAGACACCATGACACAGATCGGACTGCTCGTGGACGCGGGGATTGATTTCTTGGAGATCTCGGGGGGGAGTTATTCGGATCCAAAAGTTAGTATTTCCCTTCCATTATACATCATCCAATTAATCCGTTATCATCTATCATTCACACTTCTTATCTGATCTATCTATCCATTTACTCTTCTACCCTACCTCTTCCCCCATGTATATTCATACCTACCTACCTACCCACCTTCCCAACCCCAAACCTACTAACAAAAAAAAAAAAAAAAAACCAGATGATGGGCACCGATTCATCCCCCCAAACACAACCCTCAAGCACCAAAAACCGCGAAGCCTTCTTCCTCACCTTCTCCCACGAAACCCGCAACCGCCACCCCACCCTCACCCTCCTCCTAACCGGCGGTTTCCGCACGCGCGCCGGCGCCGAAGCCGCACTATCCCAGAACGCCTGCGACCTGATCGGCATCGGACGACCGGCGGCCATCGCGCCGCATTTCCCGGCCTTGATGCTAGACGAAGCGACGGGGGCGGATGAGGCGGGGTTGACGCTGGGGAGGGTCAGGGATCAGTATCAGGGGGGTTGGGTTGGGAGGATGGTTGGGAAGGTTGTGGGGGTTGTGCTTGGGGGGATGGTGAAGGGGGTGGGGGCGGGGATGGAGAGTGTAAGTTTTTCCTTCCTTTTCTTTCTCTTTTCATTTCATTCCTTTCTCTTTATTCGAAGGGAGATGGTTCTGTCGTTGCGTGGCTGCTTTCAACTCTATGTTTGGATTGGTGAGCTGATATGAGATGATCTGTTCTGATGATTATAGGCGTATTATTCAGGGCAGATTGCTAGGATGGCGAGGGGGTTGAAGACGGTTGTGCCTGGGTTATGAGAGCTTTTCTTGTTGTTCAGCGTGATATGGTATTAGGATTTGTTTGCGGGGTGTTTGCCAGGTACAGTACATAGGTCATTATTCCTAGTATTTGACTCAGTTTTGGGGAATTGTGTGTGTGTAGTTAGTCTAGCTAGAGAGGTTTTATCAAGGAACTGATATAGATACACCCACAACCCCATTCTACGTACTCCGTAGTCAGCCACCGATCCCGGGAACAGATTAACCGGACAGAGAGAGGGTCGTAGCTCGTCGTGGTCAGAAAGAATCATAAATTTATTATACATCTATACTTGGTTCTGTATGACAACTAGATACTTCGTACCTATTTAGAGCCTCTTAGCGATCGATTAGAGTTACTAACTATAGAATAAATCTTAAGATAGTAAAGCGATGTAAAACTACATTTGTTTAATATGTCTTAGGGGTGCAGACTTGCTGAATTTTTCTATAGAAATAACCGCTTTCTAAAAAGGGACTTACTTTCGAAGCAGCGGCTGTTCCGTTGACCGGTTCCCTGGAAAGTCACATGGCAAGGGCATCGAAGGAGGAATGCAATACCGGCCTCTTGTCGATCCAGGTCCTCATTTCGGCTCTCAAGGTACTTAGGCATTACTTTAGGGGTTATTATCGTCCGACAAACTCGAACTGGAGCAACCCAACTAACGCATGGAGACATCAAACCAAGGAAAGACGATGAAGGAAGTCGATTCTAACTATCTATATTCAAGTGATTAAAGATCATAACTCGTCCTTCTCGGCGTGTGCATGTGCATGTGCAGGCCGGTTCCCATCCGCCGCGAGATCGACTCCGATCTTCTTCCTCCATTTCTGCCATAGAGCAAAGAACTCCTTCTCCATGCCGGACTCCATCTGATCCGGCAGGATGACGGTGTACTCGACGTAGAGATTGCCCGGAACGTCATCGTCCTCGTCGGATTGATCGTGGAGATGACCCTCCGAGTACGGCGGCATGCCCTGTCCCACAACGGTCTCGACGGAGAGCGGCTGAACGACCTGGCCCCGGGGACGGGAGAGGTGCACGACGTGACCGTCGAGATGCGTGATGTTGCGCGACCAATCGCCCATCCAGGCCTCGCGCAGCGAGAGAGCCTCTTTCCAGAACAGATCGCGACCCTTGCGCCGGAAAAAGGTACCGTCAGTGCGCTGCTCCTCGGACTTGCCCAGCTCGGGCTCCCGCTCCTCCAGCACCAGCACCAGGTCACCGGCGATCCAATCGGGGCTCTCGTCAGCCTCGTTCTCGAACACGATCTTCTGCCCCTTATCCATGCCCGGCTCGACGGTAAAAGCGGTCTCGACGTCGCGCCGCACCACCCGGTGTCCCCCACACACGCCACACGGCTTCTTCACCATCTTCCCCTGTCCGCCGCACTTGTCGCACTGCATCTGCACCTGCTGGAACATGCCCGGCGCGAGCATATGTTTCTGGATATACGCGCCCCGCCCGGAACACTTGTCGCACGTGATGACCCCCTTGTCCGCGGACCCCGTGCCCTCGCAGGCGTCGCAGATCTGCTGCTTCTCGAGCACGATCTCGACCTCGCGGCCATTGTAGAAGTCGCGCAGGGGCAGGCCTACGCGGAACTCCATGTCCGGGCCGCGACGGTGGCCCGGCGCGTGGCCGAAGTGTCCGCCGCCGCCGAAGAATCGTGAGAAGAGGTCGAATGGGTCGTGTGCTTGTCGCCCGGCCGTGCCGCCGGACCGGTGCTGCTCGATGCCTTCGTGGCCGTATTGGTCGTAGATCTTGCGTGTCGTGGCGGTGGAGAGCACGTCGTAGGCGTCGGCGATTTCGACGAATTTTTCGCGCGCCGTTTCATCGCCTCTGTTGTGGTCACGTCAGTCGTCAGTCGGACGGGTCGTGTCCGTCGATCGAGGATGGATGGAATTGAACGTACGGGTTCTTATCCGGATGATACTTCTTGCTCAACGTGCGATACGCCCGCTTGATGTCCCTTTCGGAGGCGGATTTATCCAACCCTAGGATCTTGTAGTAATCCTCGGCCGCGAGGACCTGCAGCAGACATACTGCGAGGACGAGGAAAAGACAGAGAAGACGCATTGTGAGGGTGTAAGCTGCGGACCATGCGCTGTCGCAGGTCCGATATCAGTCGGAGATAGTATTCGTTCTTATTAGGTGTTCGAGAATGGTGATCAACAATAAACGAGGAACGGTAGATAGATAGTTGTGCTATGACAATCGCAAGTCGCAAACGTCGCAAATAAGGTATGGTATAACACCGAGACCGATTTATGGCAGCTGTTGAGATCGGAATGAGGACATTCGAGTGACTCGAGATCAGCCAAGATCTCAAGTTGTGTAAGGAAGCTGCCGCAGGATAGATGTTGCCAGTCAGGCCGGTAGTATATTCGCCTGGATAAGTAAACGATGGGTCTCGCATAGGTGGCCTACGGAGGTGGGTTTTTCCGGTCACGTGTGTAGATCTGTGGTGAGGAGTACTGAGTGGTGCAGGGTAAATGCGTGCGTTACTTTTTCTGAAGATATTGTACCCTGCTTATCACAGTATATCCAGAGCGATAGCTGCTCTCAGAGTATTTTAGATCTACCAATATAGACAAAGGAATTGTAGAAACAGAAGCCAGCGATCGGGACCAACCTACATCGTAGGTGCTCCATTTCACCGCCTACCCGCCAAGCCAATAACCCCGGCAGAATACCGACACCGATCCACCGCCCATCGCAATTTTATCTTCATTTTCATTATCTCCGTCCTCATTCATCCAGTGCAGTACAGCGCAGAATCCCCCCCTCAACACCGCCAAAATGGTCCGACAACTCAAACATCACGAGAAAAAGTACCCCTCCCTCCTTCCTCAACCACTCTTCCCAGATCCCAACCCCCATCCCACATCCAAACCATCTGATTATTCTAACCAAAAAACCACAGACTCCTCCGCAAACACAACTTCGAAACCTACAAATCCGACAACGACCACCGCGAAACCACCATCCGCGCCCGCTACTACCTCCAACACCCCCTCGACTACAAAAAATACAACTCGCTCTGCGGCTCCCTGCGCCAACTCGCCCACAAGCTGTCCCAGCTGGACCCGAGCTCGGACCCGCTGCGCAAGAAGATCGAAGCCGAGATGCTGGATAAGTTGTGGCGGATGGGGATCTTGAAACAGAGTCGGGAGCAGGGGGCCGGGCTGTCGCGGGTTGAGAGGGAGGTTACGGTTTCGGCGTTTTGTAGGAGACGGTTGGGGGTTGTTATGGCGCGGAATGGGATGGTGGAGAATATTAAGACGGTGTGTCCCCCTCTCTCTTCCCTCTCCCCTCTTTCTCTTTATCCTTTCCTACCAGGTTCTTTTCTGGTTAAGTTGCGCGCGTCGTATTCTCTTCCCTTCCGTTTGACCTTGACTTCAAGTTCAAGATGGATAAGAGAAACGAAACTGAGCCGGGCAAGAGAAAAATATGTCAAAGTGGAAAAGCTAACAAAATCTAGGCCGTCACATTCATCGAACAAGGCCATGTACGTGTCGGCACGGAAGTCGTCACAGACTCGGCGTTCCTGGTCACCCGGAACATGGAGGACTATGTCACCTGGGTGGACAGCAGCAAGATCAAGCGGAATATCATGCAGTATCGGGATAAGCTGGATGATTTCGATATGTTGTGATTTGGTTTCATTTCGTCTTTATCATCTTGTTAAGGTACCCGAACTGGGGTGTCTTCACTGCGTCTTAAGTTGCTGGACTTGAGGGTCTTGGTGTGGTCTTGCTTGTCTGTGTGTCAAGTTCTAGATTAGGACGACATTTGTTTAGACTTGCATTTTATGTTATTGACCAGTGGTGGTGGTGGTGGTGTGGATATGCACGTGGGGAAGCTGTTCTCTTGATATACCCTATCTTTCAGATTTATTTATTTGCTGGGTCTGGTTCTGTATATGATGATGTCGGCGTTTTGTTTCTATCTTTTTTAGGGGTTGATTTTAGTATAGATTAAAAAAGTTTATTACCTTTTGACACATTCTACGACATATACGCGCACGCACTTTCTGGTTCATGTAAAGATCACAAGTCAAAAAGGTCAGTCTATTGCAATTTTCAGGGGTATCATAATTTGAAATCACGGAGCCAACCCAATCCAACAACCGAAAACCCAGCCGGTCGGTCACTCACTTTGTCCACTTCCTCTGTTTGTCGTCTCGTCCACGAGGTTTTGTATTTGCATACCTCTCTCTAGGAAGGTAGGCAGGCAGGTTGGTGGTGTGCTCAACACACAAACACATCCCATCCATCCGTCATCTATCAGCCAGCTGTTCTATCCAGCAGAGCAGTCATCCATATTCTTTCTGGGGAAGACTGTCTGGAAGCCCCAGGCTTCATCTTTTTCGTGTGGTGTTCCTTTGTCGCTAGGCTATTCTCGCCGGCGCCGAATAGCCTGCTCTATCGTGTCCTCCCGAATTACGATATCCAAGTCCATCCTCCAATCAAGTAGAATCACTTCGTGACCGCCCCATCCCACCGACAAGTTTCCTCTTCAGCTTCAATCCGCGCATAGATCCGACCGTCCTCTCCGAGTGAGGGACTTCATCCGGTAAATCCATCCGGAAGCGACGCACACTACCATCGTAGTTCCCCTTGCCGTCTTTCTCCTCGAAGAACGGGGTACGGTCGTCGCCGCCGAACCGGGCCCAGCGCGGTGCGACGCGACGCCAGAACCCGCGCACGCCACTGCTGGCGCGGTCGATTTTCTTGTACTCGCGGCGGCGAGTCGACGGGGAGGTCCAGTCGATGACGGTGGCGGAGGGGTGGATGGGGATCGGGGAGATAGGATCCGAGTCGGACGGGGTGAAGGCGGAGCAGATGCGGAGAGGCGGGGGAAAGTGTGGGCGCTGAGAAGTGCTGGTCATGGAGTTAAGGATTGGAGAGAGAGGTGGCGTGCTGAGGTCTGAGTAGGCGCGCACGGTGCGGGGAGGTGTCGGCATGGTTGCAGTGGAGGAGGATGGCGACGGTGCGCTGCCTTCGCTGTCCCTGACTCGACCGTTGTTCTGGAAGAGGCGACAAGACTCGCGGTGCAGGGCGAGGAGGTTCTGGCGTCTGGTTTCGGGGTCGCTGGGACTAGGATGCGAGGACGGGGTGAGAGAAGAGGTCGTCACCGCGCGGCGGTGCGAATGGAGAGAGCCAGGACGGCTGCTGGGCGGAGCAGAGCGTCGCGTGCTGCGCGAGGCGGAACGGACATGTTGGGAGGGAGTGGTCGAGGCAGGCGAAGGAGGCGAGGCAGTTCGCTTTCGCTTCGGAGTGCGATGTTTGGCAGACGCAGGCGAGGAAGTTGTTGCTGGCGCTTCTAGTTCGACGGACGGCACTTCCTCCACCGTCTCCATTGTTGGAGATGAGGGCTCGATGACGGCGAGGTCCGGGGCGGTCTCCATCGGAAGTTCAGTAACGTGCAGCATGGTATCTTTGGCACCCATGATATTCAAAGCAGAGATGGATTGCGAAGCAAGATCGACTTCGACAGTAGAAAAGGTCGACGAGACATCTCCGAGATTTGTAGTTGTTCTAGGTGGAGACGACGCAAGGGTAGTGGGAGGAACTATACGCAGCGGGCGGTTATGGCTGCTATTAATATGAACCCCCTGAGGTGGAGCATTGTCACAGTAGGCGCCGTGAAGAGAATGGCCGGAGCATGTGGAGGCAGCAGCCATCAGGAGGGACTGAACAGGAGAATGATTCACTCGGACCCAAGCATTCACATGCTCGAGTGGCTGCTCGAATGCCTGAAGACAGCGAAGCCGGTCAGAAGAGCGAATAATTGGCGGAGATCAGCCGACCAGGAGAAGCGGGAGGGATATGAATAATAGATAACAATAATAACAATAAAGGTAAGGATAGCGATGATCAATCAATCTTTAGGGGAGTCGAAGGAGGGGAATCGAGGGGGTTTAAATGAATACGATCGATAAGATTAGGGTTCCGAAGAGGGGAGGAGGCCAGAAGGAGCAGGCAGTCGGCACCAAGTACGGAGTAAACAAGGACAAGGAAATGAAGACGGTGATTGATTCTTTGTGGAGGGTGGGGAGGATTTTCAAAGACGAGGTATTCTTAGTGGACAAAAGGAAGGCAAAGATGGAAATAAAAGAAAGAAAGACGAGGCAAGGGAACGAGAGACAAGCACGAATGACCGGTCAGGTGGACGAGTCTGGAGGGCATCGGACATGCCTTTTAAAGTGGCCAAGGGATGGTGTGATGATCGATCCTGCGTCTCACCGACTGGGGGGAATCATTCAGTTAGTTTTTCTCAACAGTAGTGCTAACTACGTACTGTGTAGACTCGCACTTTAGTTGACTTTTCCGTCGATTTAGCGGTGGTTTAGCAATTTAGCGTTCTACACCGACAGACGATGGAGAAGCCCCTCCGGCTGGTCTGGACCGATTCAGCAGGGATTGACCACCATGTCAAATTCGACTGAAGTTGGAAGAAGGCCATCAAACCGGTTCTCCCTGTCTCCCTGTCTTCCCTGTCTTACTCCGAGGACTGGAGGACTGCCCCTGCATTGAGGCGAGTCTAGATCGCCCGTGCCTGCAGCCGGCCAGGCACTCGATGCCTGAGGCAGGAACATCGATCCTCAGTTTCTGGAATTCATTCAGAGTCTCAGGATGGGCTGGTGAATATCCCCTCATCTGAGCGAACGCGATCGGGCCTTCGAGAAAACGCGAAGGAAGACCAAAGTCAAAAAGGAAGGATCACTTGCAGAGGCCAAGAGGGTCACTGACAAGAAGAACCTAAGGCACCCACCTTCCCCAATCCGGTAGTCTCCAGAGGCACGCCCCGCCAGCCTCGCCGTGACTGGTCGATTGGGTTGACCGCCAGTTTCCAGGCGGGAAAGCGGTAACTTCCGAGTCTAGTGGCTGCTTAACTTCTTAGTTGGGATATCTAACAATGAGTACTCCGTATCCTGAGAATGTATGAGCTCCTCTCTCTCTACTGACTACTCCGGAGCTGACCTCACCGGACGAGTTACACACCAGATTGACCACCAGACCAGGTAACACCCAGTCATGTGCTCGGAGATGTTCACCATGCCGTATGACGGGTCAGAATTACACAACTTTTCCCGCGTCGGATTCTCCTTCCTCTTTCCTTCTTTCTTTTTTGGATCTCAGGAGAAAGTAGAAGAAAGAGTTCGAAGTACACAGCGCAATCATTTACACATACTCACTTTTCTTAATGTGATTATCCTCCCAGCTAAATGTCAATTGCCCAGGTAGATCCTTGTTTCCATGGTACTCGACGTTGCGACAATATTGGGTCGGCGGCCACGCGAGTATGACGTACGGAACCCCTTCGGCTTCCTCAGGCGCACCTGGCTCGACGTTCGGCACGTGCTGATCGGACCGTGGTCTGTACGTTCATGCAGCTATCCTTGTCGGCAGCCGAGATATATCTGTATGGAAGTACACAGATTCGGTCAGGTTTTGGGCGGATGAGCTGTCGACAGAGAATGGGATTGCTGACACCGCGTTGACACGACGGTGGTGGATGGTAGGGCTGTACTACGGTCACTCTCAGCCCTAGAAAGCTTAATGAGCTAGCCCTAAACAGAATCAAGGCCTTCATTGTCCTGCGGCTCTCTATTCCGTAGTGATGGTGACTGACTCCTGGGTTGATCTACGTTCGGGCAGGGTAGCATTTTGCAGTTGCAGGTCTTGACTGTTGCTGCCTAGTTGCATGCTACCCTACCCTTAGTCTGACGACACTCTTACCGCAGAAGATGCTATATCAAGAGTGGCCAAAGCTTGCCAGTCACCCACCCCCAAAGAGCAAATGCTACGGAACTGTTATGCAATTTTGACGAGATGCCTAGTCCTTCAATGGGACGATGGAAAAGGATGACATGGTGGAAGATGTGAGTCACAGTGTACATCTCCTTTGTACCTAGGTTGCATCGAAGAGCTTCATCCTAGATATCAAATGCTGTAGAGTAGGCGTTTGCTCGGCTCCTCATGCCATTCTGCTCTTCTGCAGTACGGGAGCTAGTCTCTCTATACTTCCTCACATAGACCCTTTCTCTAGGCACTCAAGCTCGATTCTCGAGCATCCCGTCACGACAGCTAATCCCCTGACTCACCCCGAAGTATAACTGCTTCATCAGACTTCGACCTGCTCCAATCCAGTGAATCTCACCAGCAGGCGACTACTAAACCAAACTTGACGGGGCCCTTTCCCCGGAAGCTCCCTCGCGCTCCAATCCGCGCTCCCATTCCCTCCCAGCGCTTCACCCCCAACCACGGAACTTTTTATTCACCACCATCATTCACGACAACATCGCTCGTCATCCTAAACTAGAGCATAACAATTTGCTATACAATTCTCATGCTCTTTTCGCCACCGAATGACTCCTCGCTTGCTGCTAGCGCCGTTCCCTCCCCTATAAATTCCTTCCCTCTCTCCCCCGTCTCCCTCCTCTTCTTTCCTTCGTCAACTCCCCTCCCTCGTAGCCCAGCTGCAGGGAGAGTTGCGACAGAGGATGCATCAGGGCAACCAGATGCATCCCTCTTGTCAGCTTGGTCGACCTGCTCTTTTCTGTTCTTTTGACTTGTCTTATTTCTTTCCTTGCTGTTTGCATTGCTAGCATCTTTCCCTTCTGCTGCTTCTGCTGCTTCTTCTGCTTCTTCTGCTTCTTCTGCTTCTTCTGCTTCTTCTGCTTCTTCTGCTTCTTCTGCTTCTTCTGCTTCTTCTGCTTCTTCTGCTTCTTCTGCTTCTTCTGCTTCTTCTGCTTCTTCTGCTTCTTCTGCTTCTTCTGCTTCTTCTGCTTCTTCTGCTTCTTCTGCTTCTTCTGCTTCTTCTGCTTCTTCTGCTTCTTCTGCTTCTTCTGCTTCTTCTGCTTCTTCTGCTTCTTCTGCTTCTTCTGCTTCTCTTCTTCTTCTGTAGCTGCTGCTGCCTAGCCTTATTCCTTTCCTTGCTGTTCGCATTACCAGCACCTGCTTTTCTTCTTCCCTTTGACTTGTCTTATCTCTTTCCTTGCTGTCTGTTCCACACATCGATCATTTGATCAACCAGAAAAACACAGAAAAAACAATAGGGCGGGTTACGGATGGGCACTTCTCTTTCCTTCTTTCTCTTTCTTTTTCTTCCACTGCACAGAAAAAACGATAGGGCGGGTTTCGGATGGGTTTTTTCTTTCCCTTTTCACACTACACTGCACATTCCTCTTCCCCTTCACAGAAAAAAAAAAAGAAGAAGAAAAGAGAAAAAGCATAGGGCGGGTTTCGGATGGGCATATTCCTTTCTTCTTCTTCATTACACTGCACAGAAAAAACAATAGGGCGGGTTTCGGATGGCACTTCCCCTTTCACACTGCACTGCACACATTCCCCTTTCCCCCTTCCCCTTCTTCAGCCCCAGACTCACTACGAGGAGGTGGCATTTCGGGACACACCCAGCTGACGTTTGTTTTTCTACCTTACCAAGAATCACAATTTCCAGGTCCCAAGGTTGGGCGGTTGGGAACGGGCCTGGGTTATCAGACCCCCGTGATGAGCTTGTTGCTCTTTACGGCCTCTGATAACGAACTTCAGTTATGAGCTGGAGTGAAACTGGTGAGTCTTTTGTCTTTTGTCTTTGTTTTGACTTGGGTTGGATGTGGCTGACTTTTGCTTGCTGGGGGGGTAGGGGAGGGAGTGGGATGGGGATAGAGGGGGGTTTCTTTTTGTTCTGTGCTTCCTGTTCTCTGTTGCCTGTCTGATTTCAATTGTCCTCATCACAAGCTGTTGTTTCCTTTTGTTTGTCATTTTTGTTGATGGTGAACTGCATCGGTGAACTGGAACGGTGTCCTGACCTGGAGAGCATGGCAAGACAAGGCATGGCATGGATAGCCTGGATAGCCTGGATGACATGGAGGACATGGAGGACATGGAGGACATGGAGAGCAAGCCAAGGAAGACAAGGCCAAGCAAGGACATGTACAAGGCTAGACAACGAGACACTTCATCTTTCTTCAATCCCATCGTAGCTGAGCTTGAGTGTAGATGATATAAATAGAGTATGGTACGGGTACGGAGAATAACAGACAAAGCAGAGTTGTGTATAGAGAAGGGAGAGGAGGAAGAATAGAGTGGAGTAGATGATTCCACAAAGCAAACCCCTTAAGGTGTAGTTGTAGCTTATAGGTCCCTGATTTCACTTCCTTCCCGGGTCTTTATCCTATTCGGTTTTTCTCGGCTCTGGTCCATATTCTTTATTTATCTACTGTTTCTATTACTATTGTCATTGTCTGGCCCTTTACTCTCAGTCTCACGAGTCTAGCGTCTCGAACTATTCTCTCCCCCCTCCCTTTCTTTCTTCATTCAATTATCCTCTCACTAAAACTTCACCCTAACAGCAGAGGATTTCATACTTCGGTCTACATCCCGACCATGCAGCGGTCCGACCCAGTTAACGTTGAAGGAGAGTGCATGCGAAACCTACGAATTCGATGAGAATTGTCGTTCTATCGAATCATTGCATGTACCATACATGCGGCCACCTCGGAGAGATAATGAGATAATCAATATCAATCGAAACCCGTGTACGAGACTACAGAGGTAAGTGAATAGTTAAGCAGCTAGACGGAAGTTCACACGTGCATTAATTTCTACTATCCTTCCATTCCATATCCGCTCATTTTACTATACAGCAACCTCCCAACGAACAGCTACCGTCCAAACCGCTCAGGGCAAAGGGGAATCAAACACACCAAACGTCAAATGAGTCACTTCCCGCATCAGGAACCAGCAGCTACCACTTCAACGGTCTATACTTGGGTATATAGGACGTCGGAATGACATGGTTCGAAGCGTTCCTCAAAACTGGAACTACAATTCCCAACATCGACCTTCTCCACCGGGTTCTTGATTTCGGGGCAGACCCTAATACTCTCTACCCTGGCGTCTCTGTCTGGACACCCTTTCTCTCCTCAATGGTAGACTGGTTGCATATGGGATTTAACACTTCCGCTATCAAAAAGCAAGCATACCTACTTGTACTTCGGATGATGATTAATAAGAGGTGCGGTGCTGGTTTTCCCCGCTCTCCTAGACTTCGAGCGATGGTCCCTCTCAATTGTACCGATTTAGATACTTTTCAGAAATCAAAAAGCACGACCGATGGCAAGGGAAATCGCCAACAGTTGAGCAGGCCGTGACTGGGCTATCGCAGCCGTAATTATGCTGTCACCGATCTTCTCGAGAACTTTTTCGGGTTTCATTAGGGTCCAGATTGTTGAGGACTTAATTTTGCACTCGCGAAGCAGGGACTCCGCTCTCCGTACTAACCCGAGTTTTTCCATTTCCATGGCCTTGGGGGATGGAAATCTACGTTTGTTGTGTAGATTCCGGGTTGTATAGGTACATGCATACCCATGGATTTAGTTTATACGCACTGCATCTATCCAGAGAAGGTAAGAAGGAGAAGGGAAGGGGGTCATTTATTTAGGGGAGTTTGTGTTCTTCTAGGGTGGGTTGTAGTTAGATCGGTTTATTTCATACATTCATTCATCCATTATATATCAGACCATGTTAGGAGGAATTGGTGCCGTGGGTTATAGTTTCGTAACGAGGATAAAATGGAAAGACATAGGCAGGATAGAAAAATATCAACAAGTCTCCAACAAATAAGACATCCAAAGCAAATCACAACGAATATACAAACTCGCTATTCTCGCGATCGGTCAGGTCCAGCCATCTAGAATCAGTTGCAATTATCAGTCAGTAGCTGTATCTGTATCTGTATCCAAATCCCCATGCATCTGAACCCAAATATGTACGCATGGATATGTTGCAGATCGACAGAAGACTCCAATTGACAAGTCCAAGTCGATCAAACAAGACAACAGGGATAGGGCTAGGGCCAGTGACAGATAGGGAAAAGGGAAGGGAAACATACTCTTGATTCTCCAACCTGACGTACTCCGGACTCGCGCGGACGCGAGCCTTCCGCTCATTCTCCTTCTTATACCACCACCAGATAAAACCAAGCAGGATGAGGCAAACGCCCCAGCAGACGATGATGGTGATTTCGGCGGGGACGTAGCGCGGGGCGTCTTCTGGGCGGAAGACTTGGGGGCCTATTTCATCTCCCCATATATTGGGGTGAATGTTAGATAGGAAAACGTTTAAGATGAGAATGTATGGAAGTCTGGGAGCGCGAAGATAGGAGGAGAAAGGGACAGACGCACCGATGATATTCCCCGCACAATATCCAATAAGGTAGAATGCAGCGACTGTAGTTTTCTTTGTATAACCCGCGACATTGGACGAGATCATCGAAAGAAGCGCAACGAACGGCGTAGGACTAGCTTGCGTCATGTAGTACCCGATCAGACGGCCGACGTTGTTATCCAACGGCAGCGCGACGATGAGGACCATTCCGACGATGGCGGCGATCATGCCACCGAAGCTGCAGAGGATGCGTTGGTTGGTGATCTGGCCGATGTAGCCGTTTAGCAGGAGAGCGACGATCTCGACGGCGCCGCCGGGGGTGCCGTAGAGGAGGCTTTGTTTTTCGGTGTAGCCGAAGCTGGTGATCTAGTTTCCATTATGTTTAGATGGGAGATGAAGAGAGTTTAGGGAAAGACTGACCAGTTGGTTGAAGAAGTTGGTGATGCCGCCGTTGGGAATGTTGGCTATGATGGCAAAGAAGAAGAATGCCCAGGTCATGGGGTCCAGGATCGACTCTTTGACCTGGTAGAGCTTGAAGTGCTTGTTGCCGATGCCTTGCTGGTTGATGCGCACGCGGGCGATGGCGAGAATGCGATCTTCCTGTTTGAGCCAGCGGCAGTTTAGCTGGCTGTCTGGGACGATCCAGAGAAAGATGACCCCGAGGGTCACCGTGAGGAGACCGGTTACGAGGAAGACGATCTTCCATGGCTCGATGGCGGAGCCGTGTCTCTCGGTGCCGACTGCAATGCCATATGCCACGAAACCACCTAGGATTTGTCCCCAGCCGTTGAAACTAAACCATATGTTGACCCGACTGCCTTGTTCTTGTTTGGTATACCACTGAGGTTTGTCAGTGGGTGATCAGGGAAATGATCAGGAAGACAATAAAGATTAGACAAACCTGCGAAGTCAACAAAGCAAACCCCGGCGTGACGGAGGCTTCAAAAACACCCAGAAAGAAGCTAGAATCATCTGGTCAGAAAGAATTGTGCACTCAAGTCCAACCAACTCACCGAATAGCAACCGCCCCAGGAAAGTTATGAACCGCAGCAAAGCAGCAAAGGATCGAACCCCAGATGATGATACACGCCGCCGAGTACTTCCCCAGCGGAAGAAGCTGGAGCAGTCGATTCGTCGGATATTCCCACGCCAAGTACCCTGGTTTCTGTCAGTCTCGTCCATCATCTATTGTTGACTGCACCCAAACTGACCGAAGTAGAACAAACTGCCCAGCCACTGGTACTGATCGCCTTCTAATCCCAAATCTGGCTTGAGGCCCATGACACTGGCGTAGGAGAGCGTTGTTTCTAGAAGATAAACCATCGATTAGTATAGACCCCCCACGCTAGAAGACAAAACTCACTATCCAGATAGTTCATGCCATATACGAAACACATGATCGGCATCATATGCCAGTCGATAATCCGCAGCAGCCGTTTGTTCGTCTCCGCGTCTAACGTGATCGATTCACCTTGGAGCTCCTGGATAGCTTTCATCGCCTCGTCGGCATCATGCGCATGTTTCTCCAGCGAGGGGTCGACATTCTTCTTCATGTCTACCGCCACGTCCTCGGCCGTGGGACCTGTCGCTTTCTCTTCCGTCATAGTCTGTGCTTTACGCTGAAACAGCGTCTTCAATAATTATCAAGGCCAAAGAGGGGGGAAAGATAACGCAGTCGGCGCGTCACGATCTCATAAGTAGGGAAGAAGGAGACAGGAAGAGCCGGCAGACCGCAATTTGAGGGACAGTTGGCCAGGATTTTAAGAAGATACGCTCACTGGCCGCATGGCATCATAGCGGAATACAGCGGAATTAACCAACGAGCTGCCTGATCAGGCCTCGTCTGCATGCGAAGGAACACACGCCTCCTCCCGATAAGCAGCTGATATCTGGGGTAGACCGAACTAAAGGCCCTAGTGCAGGCAAGCTTATCGACGGGGACCAATATACTTGCGAATCGGGGCGACACTGATCCACTCATCCTGCGGGCGACAAGGATGGCAGGGACAGCAGCAGAGTGAGGGGAAAGAGGCCAAAGTAAGCGATGAGGAGAAACCCACGCCACGACGGCTTATCCATTGGAGATAAATTGGCCGGATGGGAGGATAACTCCACCAGATGAGTATCTAGGTTTTTGCCGACGGGGCGAATGACGGTCGACGTGCTTCCTTCCCTATCAGGTCCGAGTTTGGTTTCTCCTCGGTTTGACAATGCCAAGGGAGCTTGCGATCCTGGACTGTCGATCAGGCTGACGGTTGGCTTTGCGGGGAGGCTTGTCTGGTGGCACAGGACTCAGAAGACAGACTGTCCAAGACAAGTGGACTACGTGGATTGGTCTGGTTTATCCTTCGTGAGGTTAAATTTCCGATGGGAAACCATCACTCGGTGCCAGATGTATATCCGACGTCTCCTGTTGAGGTCAAAATGTTCAATGTTCAAGATATCGTTATCTCGTTATCATCTTATCGGTGACTAAATATTTATCATCTCATGCAGGCCAAAATAGCTGCTCTGCATGACGGCTGTTATCTCTCTAGCCGAGCTCATCAGCCCATACTCACTGCCCGAGAGATCCATCCAGATAATCACCGAACTTCATATCACCCCCAACTATTTATATCAAACCAACCCCACTAATTACCCCCAACACGCGCCAAGTACGCCTTCCACCCCTCCTCCTGATAACGCTTGGCCGCCTCCACCGGATCATCCGCCTTGTAGATACCCCGACCCGCGATAATGAAATCCGCCCCGCGACCAACCGCCGACTCAGGAGTCTGATACTGCTGTCCCAACTTATCCCCCTTCGACGACAGATTCACACCCGTCGTAAACACCACGAAATCCTCCCCGTCCACGGGCGCGCTATTCTCCGACACGACCTCCCCCAACGCCCTCGTCGACACGAACCCCATCACGAACTCCTTGTACTTCCGCGCGTAGTCGACCGACGCGGTCGTGTAGGCGCCTGTCGCCAGGGACCCCTTGGAGGTCATCTCGGCGAGGATGAGCAGTCCGCGGCCCTCCGCGGCGTAAGGGAAGTCCGAGGCGGCGGCGGTCTGGGCCAGGGCCTCGACGATGCCTTCGCCGGGCAGGACGCTGCAGTTGATGATGTGGGCCCATTCGGAGATGCGGAGGGTGCCGCGGTGGTACTGTTTCTGGACGGTGTTGCCGATGTCGATGAATTTGCGGTCTTCGAAGATCAGGAAGTTGTGTTTCTCCGAGAGGGCCTTGAGTCCCGTGATGGTTTCTTCGCTGAAGTCGGAGAGGATGTCGATGTGGGTTTTGATGACGGCGATGTAGGGACCGAGGCCTGAATTTCGGTTATGTCAGTCTAATGGTATTCTTCGCTTCATAGGACGTTGTGAAATGGCAACGCAAGGACATACGGTCGGCTAGATCCAGCAACTCCTTGGTGGTCGTCACGTCGGCGGACACCGTGACGTTGGACTTCTTGGCCTCAGCGACCTCGAAGAGCTTCTTGGCCAGCGCATTGGGGTGCTTGCTGGCCCGCTCGGAGTATGTCAATTGCGACTTGGAAGACATGTCAATATCGGATGGAGGGGTAATGCGGGGTGTGGAGATGGAGGAAAGATGTAGCTGGGGTAGTGGATTTCGTAGTATCCCAGTGATATGTCTCTGAGATCAATGATATGATATTATAAGAGAAAATAAGACAGTCCAATCGAAACGCTCCTGAAATGTCCAGAGTATCTCGTCGGCAAAAAATATCAAGCGTCAATGGAGGGGAAGCACCAGCCACAGCGGCCGAGTGTGGGTCAGCCACATGATCGACCGCCAACGCCAGCCTGACCGCCTTGAGCAGGACGACTCCGCAAACCTCGATCGCAAGAAAAACAGTCAAACAAGCTGTAGCATCTTCAATCACCCCTTACAGCCGCAAAAATCATGCTAACGTAATGTTGAGTACACCGCTAGATAGCTAGTAGATCTGTTTCTATACCTCTATATTTATCTGCACGGAATTGACGTTTTGACAGGGCCAGTGGCATCCAAAGATTGGTGCCCATACAAATTCTGTTATTCTCGGACAGCCAAAAAGCCATGTGAAATCTGTGGTTTTTTATACTTTTAGTCACATGACTGTACTTTCTTGACGGGCACAGGACAGCACCTGACCGTCAGCGCTGCCGAGGTTATCCCAGGTATGAGGAGCACCATGTAACCATGTAAGATATGTAGATTGTAGAGTAATGTATGATTCACAGCACCAAGATTAACGAAGGAACCACTCCACATATGACATGAACAATAAACAAAGCCACCATTTTAGCCCTACCGAAACAGCCATCCTAATAGGTAATATTGTACATTTGGCCGTAATTTCCTCGAAACTTTACCTACCTACAACCCGACAAGTACATCTACCAAGAAATCAAATCCTTCGCGACCCCGAAAACAGTCAATCCCCAGAGAATACCCTGAATGGGCCAGAACCACGACCCCAGGTACCGTCCCTGACCCTGCGGTTTACCCGAGTAGACGTATCCGTAGAGGAAGAGACCGCGGCAGACCGTCCACGCCGCGCCGAGGCCTGTCGCCAGCTGGGGGTATTTCAGTCCTGCGACCAGGATGAAGAGCATGGCTTGTGTTGCGTTCTCGAGGAAGTTCGAGTGGGCGCGTTGGGCGCAGTTGAATTGTTCGGCTTTGGGCTGGATGGGGGAGAGGTTAGTTATGTTGGTTTGGTCTGGGGGTTGGTTTCTTTTGTTTGCTTGGTGTGGGGGCTGAGGGTCCGTGTAGCCCGGAGGTACGGAGTACTCCGTATGGTGATAGGCAATGTAACTGCAGAGAGCATGGGGTACGGAGTAGACAGATCATACATTCTCCTTGCATTGTTCCACGGTCGCGTAAGTGTGCGGGTACGGCACCTTGGCCGGCTTCCGAAGACTGGTGACCACGTTGCCGTGAACGAAGCCCATGATAGGGATGGCACCGAGGGCGATGGCAATGGCAGCGCTGCATTCCATTAGAAAGAGAACCAAAAGCCGTGCAATTGAGGCATACTCACCCGTAGTTGTCGGGGACGGTCAGAGTAGTAACCATTGTGATTGCTGTGACAGTGCTGTGGAGGATATAAGATGGTGGGTGGACTGTATGTAAAACTGCAATTGCAATTGAGGTATATTTGAATATGTAAATGTATGAGTAAAGAGAGAGATCAATGCAATTTATATCAATCGCAGTTGGAGTTCTGTTAGATGAATGGAGAAAGATCTCCGCTTACGTCACGGTTCTCGGAATCCGGGGAAAGCAGTTCCAGTCGGAACGGGGGCTTTCCGCGGCCCGGTAGGTATGCTTTTTGCTGTGCCTGAGTTGATCAAACATTGACTAATGCCTCGTGTTGAGTTAAATGCGTTCGTGGACAGTGCTGCCTAATAGTAGGAAAGAGAATCTGATGGAACTTGTAGGCAAAAGAACACGTTGCAATTGAATCCGCCAATCTATGCGTGTATATATCTGCGAGGTAGGTTGAAACGATCAGCCACCCATGCAACACTTCCAGACAAAGGCCTGCTACAAACCACTAATCTAATGCCCTGATAACAGCCCTGAAATCTATGCCCAAACCACCCATTACATCCTACTCACACTGCCGTATTTCGCCTGCCAGGCAAAGAAGTACAGCAGTGCCCCCAGAGGCTGCCCTACAAGGCAAAAACTCACCCAGAAGATGGAGTTCCCGATAACCTTACCCAGTGGATCCTTCATCTTCTCCATTGGAGCGGTGATGGCGATCAGTGGCAGCTGAAACAACATCCCGGCAAGTGCGACGCCTAGACGTGGTCAGTAAGAGTAACATGTGACAGCCCCCTTTTTAGATTGACCTAGAAACAGTTCCACTTACCAATGACATTGTGGGTGGGAATGCCCACAAGTAATTCATGTAAAAGAGCGGAGAGCGTAAAGACAACCACGCTTGCCGCAAAAGGACTGTACCCCCTTCCAACCATGGGAGAAAACACGTGTCGCTTCATGAAGAGGTACACAGGCCGGTTCCATGACCGCCAGTAAGCACCAAGACTCGAGCTGTTCCACCAATCCGTGTAGAACTCGCGGTCGCCAAATCGCATAATCTCCGCCAATGCATTCAAGAAAGACTGGAAAAGGGCGAAGAACCCAGCAAGCCAGATGACGAGAGAGATCGTGGACAGTTTCATGACCCGCTCCAGAATTGACGCGATATCCATCACGGCGATCTTTTCAATCGAGTTTCGAAGTACCGGGGCAGCATACTGGGCGGAGAGAAGCCAGATAAACACGGAGAGGCCGACGAATTCGAACATACGTTTGGCGACAAAGGACCAGCGGATGCGCGGCGACCGGGGATAGACCGGCTGGTAGACCAATGTCGGTGCGAGCCAAAAGTACGTCAGGTTGCCCAGAGTGATGTTCCTGGGATAGGGAAGGGATGAGTATAAATCGGGGATGGCCGACTCCGCCGACGGATGGAGCATCGCCTCGCGGAGGTCGCGGTTGGTGAAGGCATAGGACCAATTTTTGAGCGCAACGATGAGCGCGTGGACTTCGCAGACGGTGCCAATTCCGGGATGATGGATGTAGTAGTAGACGACAAAGCTGGTCACGGCGAGATTAAGTAGAGCGTTCACGATATGGAAGAATAATGCAAATCGCCAGATGGTGCGAAACGCGCGCTGGTCTCGCTCGTCTCCGTCGGCTGACCCGTCCTTCTTCTTTCGTCCGACGGTCTGCTTAGCTCGTCCAGCGGCAGCCAATTCAAGAACGTAGGCGATGAACAATTGGCAGGGGACCAATGAGAAGAGCATGGTGCCCAGCACGACATCCTGTTTTCGATAATCGTGGCATTTGATACAAATGAGAACTCCGTACTATTCGGAGATCGGGATTAGCCTGGAACTCCACGAACCGACCTCCAGGGCACTCACTTTCATGAAGTTTTCAATAATCAATCGAAGGTTCATCGCCACTGGTCGGGGAGAGTAAGTGTAAGTTTTCGGTGCGGAAAGACAGGGATAGGTCTCCTACCTAGAACGATGACCATGAGGTTCCGGAACCCTAGGAAGCTGGTCGAGGCATCGGAATCACGACTCAGGCTCGAATGTCGCACCTCCGAGTGATACGCTGCGACATGGCGATATTTACTTCTTCTCTTCCCTTTACTACCCTTGGAGCTCTCGGTGGTCACGGAAGAAGCGTCGGGACGAACAGAAGTGCCGTTCACGGGTTTGGAGTATGAAACCCCACTGCTCGAGGCATTATCATCGTGAGGGGACGCAGACGTCTTGAGTTCACTCATTGTCGTACATGTACGTCCTAAAGACCGACGTGCCCAGGTCAATGGTAATTGTAATCAACTCCGTGGCGCGGAATAGAAATACCCACGGCCACCAGGCGACAGCTCACGATCTAGCTGATTCTCGACTCAATTGCGGAGATAGCTCGGAAGATAGGACAGGAATCCCTCGGGGCAGACCTCGGTCGGGGCACTCATGACAAGAAAGGATTACGAAAAGGGGGAAGAGAGGGGAGAGGGGAAGGGGGGGGGGGAAGTGAGCAGGTAATTATAGCATAAAAAGCCAACAAAACGACGGCGGGGTTGGCACGTAGCGCATTGTAACGGCGAAGGAGCAAAGGCCTCGACAAGAATGACCGGGGGGTGGGAAGGTTGTTTGATGCGCGCCGTTTGGCACTAAGCATCATTGGGCAACTGATGACCGCCCGCCCGGCCCAGCTCAATATTCTTGCCGACCTCAAAGAAACCCAGCATCAATGCTAGGTCCCTTTTGTTTGACCTGCATGCACGCCATGTCCACTTCGTTTTAGCGACTCTTTGGACCATTCTACGCGTGTCTCATTTGTCTAATCTCTTCGCCACTATCTCCCTCACCCCCGTCTCCCCTGTCATGATCGCAAACCTCTCGGAATCCCCCGTTAACTACGTTCCCTCCCTTGTGATTTGAATACGAGAGACCCGGCTTTGTTGCGATGGCCTATTACGACGAATCGGGCGGTGATGCCCCGCCATATTCAAGGTCGCAAAAGACTTTTGAAGGTGGAATGGCAGGCCCGCGACGACCCAGTATGTTTTTCTCTGTCTGTTTTTGCGGTGGTGAAATCACCGCCGTCCTATGGTTTCTGCCGATGATAAACTAACCGATCTTCCAGGACTGGTCACGGATTATAGCTCCTCGCTCGTACAATGGATGCGTACACGACGACCGCACTACACGGGAGGTCATCGGATGGAGGTAGAAAGGCCGAGTGCGAGCTATGTGGTAGATGTAAGTTGAGACCGCGTTCTGTTGACACGGCTGCTTGACCAAAGACTAACCGCCTGGCTTCCCTCAGATGCTCCCCCCATTAGCGCGCGTTCATTCCCCGGCAGACACCATTCCCGTGCGCCATCTACATCAATCTATTGGAAAGTCGAAAAAGCCGATCACCGTCGTGCGATGGACTCCGGAAGGCAGGCGTCTTTTGACGGGTGGACATACCGGAGAGTTTATGCTGTGGAATGGAACGGCCTTCAACTTTGAGACGGTGATGGATGTATGTTTTCCATGTGACTACATGCGACGAGGATCGCCTCATGCTGATCGCGAGATAGGCTCATTACGATCAACTGCAAGCGGGAGTGACTTCTTTGTCATGGTCTCACAGCCATGATTGGCTGATTTCCGGAGGACAAAAAGGTGATGTGAAATACTGGCGACCGAACTTTAACAACGTCGAAACCATCGACGATGCGCACCATGATGCCGTTCGAGACCTGGCATGGTCTCCTAGCGACAGCAAATTTCTCACGGCCTCCGACGATACGACCTTGAAGATCTTCGACTTTACCTCTCGAACGGCCGACACTGTCCTTACCGGCCATAACTGGGATGTCAAGTCCTGCGATTGGCATCCCACCAAGGGATTGCTGGTTTCGGGGTCTAAAGACCACCAGGTTAAGTTCTGGGATCCCCGCACGACAAGATGTTTGACCACCCTGCACAGCCATAAGAATACAGTCACCGCAACGAGGTTCTCGCCGGTCAACAGCAATCTTTTGGCAACGTCGTCGCGTGACCAGACGGCAAGGATCTTCGATCTACGTATGATGCGAGACATCTGCATTCTTCGAGGCCATGAGAAGCCGGTCTCGTCTCTCACATGGCATCCTATTCACGCTACGCTCGTGTCGACGGGCAGTGAGGACGGATCCCTGTACCATTGGTTGCTTGACGAGCCAAATATGCCTTCGGGACAAGCGCCCACGGTCGCACCGTACGACAGCACCGATCCTGCGAACACGCCCGCGCAAGTAATTCACCCGGCCCACAAGGTCCAATATGCGCATGGCGCAACGATTTGGTCATTGGACTGGCATCCGCTCGGACATATACTTGCGTCCGGTTCTAAAGATAATTTCACGCGGTTCTGGTCGCGGACTAGACCTGGCGAGACTAGCTACATGAAAGACAGGTTTCATATCGGAGAAGATGCCGCGGAGGCTCAAGGCACATGGAACCGGGGTTTTGGAAAGCGACAGATGCGGGAAGAGGAAGAGCAGGAAATGCAGGACGAAGCCGAAAGCTTGGTCGATCAGCGGAAACCTGCCGGCTCATTTCTGCCCGGGATACAAAGCGCACCTCCGGGCAGCGGGCCCCAGCAGAACGGGCCTGCGCCATTGTTGCCCGGCATTGGCGCCCCCCAACCGCCGCCGCCGCAGGGAATGCCAGCCGGGATGCCTCAGATGGATCCTGGCCGTCTGGCCGCCCTGCTCTCTACCCAGCAACCGCCTCAAGCAAACAATTTCCCACCAGGCGCTGGTATGCCTGGGTTCAGTATGCCTCCCGGTATGCCGGGAACGCCACCTGTGAATGTCGACCTCGCCGAGCTACAAAAGCAGCTGATGTCTCAAGGCGTCTCTTTGCCCCCGAATTTCCCACCTGCAAACTTTGGCCCGATTCCTCCGTCCATGGGCCCTGGAGGCCTTCCTGGGTTGGGTGGTGGTATGCCGGATAATGGATATGGCAGGTGATTTCTTTCGAGTATCTGTTCGATCTTACTGAAAATTTGTTTGGAGATATCGGCGTAGATATAGGTAGCTTTTCGCGGGATTTGCTTTTTTTCTGCATGGATTTCAAGAGCACCGGGTTCTTCACTGGATGTATTTTAACTCGGATATTTTAAGGATCTCAAGCCTATACAATAGTACAGACCAGCTGTGGTTGGCTTTATCCCCGAAGAAATGCGCGTTTGCTGAGAGAACCGGTGGCGGCAAGGCTGCGATATTTTGTTCGTTGTCATACAATACTCATAGCCCTCCTTGCATAGGGAAACTAGACAGTATCAAGACCAAAACATTAATCCCACCCCAGATGATGGGTATCCAAGTCGACATTCGAAAGTTGCCAGCTTCGTAGACACTACCTAGACTGGAAAACGGATTAATGCTCCTTTCCTGAAGCACAGCCAAAAGGACCAAGACTTACACAAGACCGATGATGCTTCCAGCCATCAGCGCCTCCAAGCCCGCGATAGCAACATAAATGATCGGAACGGCCAGGCAGATCCGCCAATTCCGGCCTTGCATCAATAGCGCAAAAGCAGCGACCAATATGTGGCTGGCTGCGTAGAAAATCAAGGTCCAGTATAGTGTGAAGCGCCAGATGTCGCGGGTATAGTACAGGTAGTAAGCGACACCATTGCGACGGGGAAAGGGATCGTAGAGCGATGGGAACGGAGGCGTTTGATAATTGATGGGGACACGGTTGTTGGCCATGAGCTTTTGACAGGCGTGTTCTTGCCTTGTCAACTGGGGTCACGGTTGTACGAAGTGGGATGAGGAATCATGATATCCCGGATGTTGGAGGGTAAACAATAAAGTGCTGTACCGGATGTCAAGGCCAGACTTGAGGCATTGAGCGGAGGAGCTACCAGCTAGCTAGTTGTTTGCAGTGTTTGCAATCTTGTTATCATTTCCGGATTAACCTCGGCAGGTGATCTGGGGTTCTCCGCGGCAAGTCGTTCTATTAGACTTCCGTCTGTCCTACGGTCTTTTGGTCGCCTCCCATGCGCCATCGTTTGGTTGCTTGTTTAAACGTTGCATTCTAAAGATGGCGACCGAGCGTTCTCTCGGCGCCCTGTTGCGGTCGCTTCAGTCGCCATCCGATCTCCAAGATGCCTTTGCGTGAGATAACCAGCCCAGCCCCCGGCCGCAGCTCAGCCATCTCGACTGACCATCTCCCATCAGATTGCTTCCCACGGCGACCGGACTTCTGTACACCCTTGCGAATCCCTTAAATCTGAGTCTCCTGTCGTCACAGTTGCTTGCGGCACCCGCGATATGGGACCACGCGGTCGATCTACACGCTTGCCGGAAGATCCTCAGCGTCTTCAATACAGCTGCCATCGCGTTCGTGCAGAATGAGACATCTGACGACCCGAGGATACCTTATGTCAAGCCCAAGAAGATCGAGCGGGATGCGTGGGTGAAAGCCGTTGTCAGTGGAGCGGATGACAAGTCGCCGCGATGGCGACACGTGCTACTGATCGGGGGACTCTTGCTGGGCTTCGAAGGTCAGAACAGACAGGGGCTATCGTGGAATGTCCGAAAGAAGGTGGAAATGGCGCTTGTGACGGCTGCGCAGCTGGCGCTGGAAGAATTGAATCCCGACAATGAAATCGAGGGTCTTTGCATCACCATGGTCCTGAATTATTCCTTTGAATTGCTCTCGGATTACGAACGGACGATGATCAACTATGACCGCTTGCTCCCTGTGCTGATGCAGAGTGTCTATTCGTCCTCGGAGGGTCTCGAGGGGGGTTACTTCCTGGGCACGGTGGACAAGGACATTGTGGAGGCGGCCGGAAAACGATTCCAATGGCCGGAGCACTCTATCACCTTCGCTCGTGTCACCGCAATCTCATCCAGTCCGCTTGTGTCTGCGCTGGGTCCGCTGTCCCGGCTTATCTCACATGCAATTGAGAATGTCCGTGATCCAGGCCTGGTGGCCCGATCTGTCGATCATCTTGCGGATTTCGTCCGTACCTTGATGGTGCAGTGGCGCCAGAATAAGTTGTCAGAGGTTGATCGAGCAGAGGAGGCCGAGTTTTTGGATGCCGAGTCTCTGAAAACTACGATCCCGAGCCTGTGGAAATTGCTCCGGAATTGCTTGTACTCCGTTGTGATTGTGCTTCGAGCCGTTCTCGGACGGGTGCTCAATGATCATGTGTTGGCAGCTAATAGAAGTAAGCACCCACATATTTTATGCTTAATGCTTTGAGCCGAACTCCGTTGCTGATTGATCAGGTGCACCGTTTCTGTCTATGCAATCTCTCCACATCCTCCGGAATCTCTACTTTATCTCTTCGCGCATCGGCCCGAATGCCTCTTCTCAGCACATGTTTGTGACTTTGACCGCGGTGGATATTCTCGCACAGTACCCCGATATTGCCGAGAATTTCCTCAAAAGCATCAAGCCGAATGAACTAGGCCAGATCCCCGCCCATCCACTTGAACGGTGCCTTGATCTGTATTTCCTCAACACAGCCGAACTGTTCACCCCTATCCTGTCGCCAAAGTTCAGCGAGGACCTCCTCATTTGCGCCGCAGTTCCATACCTCCCCGCCGGTGGGAACAACCATCTTCTTGAGATCTTTGAAGCGGCGCACAGCGTGGTTCTCGCCGTGTTTGCGATCCCAGATAACGCCAGCGTAGCAGCCTCGCATCTACCATTCTACATCGACAACCTCTTTGCCGTAAGCCCAACACAGCCCCCTTCCCCGAATCCCCACAACTAACAACTCTCCAGGTCTTCCCGGACAACCTCTCCATCCGCCAATTCCGCCTCGCCTTCAAAACCGTCCTCCAAGTCACCGCACCCCCATCCCCCATCGCAAACAAACAACCTCTCCTCCCATCCATCCTCCTCGAAGTCCTCCACGACCGCGCCCTCCACGCATCCACCAACGTCCTCCCCCAGCCCTCCTCAACCACTACCCCCCTCGACATGGAACGCCCCCCACCTCCCCTCTCCGAACAAGCCGCCCTCACCCTCTCCCTGATCGACGGCCTCTGCTTCCTCCGCGTCGAAGACCTCCAGGAATGGCTCCCTCTCACAGCATCCCTCATCAACGTCATCCCTGACGCCGAAATGCGCGCCGCCTGCGTCGAACGGTTCTGGGAGGCCCTGAGTAGCGGCGAGATGGACGTCGAGAGGGCCCATTACTGCGTTACGTGGTGGAGTACGTTGGGGGGTCGGGAATTGGTGCTTTTTGGTCCTGAGGGCGCTGCGGTGGATGGGTCTGCGCAGGATGATCCCCAGGGCGCGTTTATGAGTGGTGCTGTTGGGGGTGTTGCGCCGGAGAGTAAACTCTAGGCTGGATGGGGGTTACCTAAGTACGTAGGTATCTGAGTCCGTGAAGGGTGTGGTGTGATTGAATGAGCGATCGAGTGGTTGATTCGAGTGGGTTTGTTGATCTTGGGGTTTGTTTTGCTTTTAGAGCGATCTTCTTTCTTTCAAGATGTGATGTTGATACCAGGTGTGAGTTATTCGATTTTCGTGTATATAGGTAATGTTACTAGGTTTACACCTTGAGTATATCCAGGTTCCGAGTCCATATTTACTCCGTTTATTGAAGGGGTTTGAAACTTAGGTAGACGGTCCCCGCGTACATGCTTTTTGATTTATTCTACAACCATGCTAGGTATCTAGCTAGCTATTATCGACCGGTAAAATGTCCGTCTGTTCAATTTACATATTTTGTAGAGGCCCTAGGCACCCCGTACCCAGACCTAGATATTTTCTCACCAGATTCCAGGGATCCCTACAGTGGATCTCTTCTTATACTGTACGTATTCGTCCCCGAAGAAGGCAATCAGGAATCGTTCCTCTCCTGGACAAAAGCAGGATCGTTAGCATGCGCGTATAGCTATTACCTCAACCGCACTTCGATATGGCAAATCCAAGGCCAAAGAAGGGAAACGTACTCTGAATGCGACTATGAAAGAACTTCCACAACACGACAAAATACCCCACGAAGCAGACGACATTCCCCAGCACGAGCTGGGTACCGAGTCCCCACCAAAAGAACCCGAAGTAGCTGGGATGACGCAGGACCGCGTACACGCCGTGCGTGACCAGCATGTGTCCGTTCTTGCGCTCCACCTGGACCGTGTGGTTGAAGTTACTCCCCGCTTGGGCCATGGCGAGCGTGCGGATCGTCTGGCCGACGGCCATGAAGAGGAGGCCTAGGACGAGCTGGATCTTGAGGCCGCCGAGGGCGGCGACGGGGCCGGACCAAGTGAAGTAGCTCTCGCGTGGGTAAAAGAAGTATGCGAGGAGGCATTCGAGGGCGGCGGAGGTGTGGGCGATGTTGTAGGCCCAGCCGTTGGAGGAGAGGAGGAAGGCGGAGACGGAGGCGTAGCGCGTGTTGTGGGCGGCGGTGACGTGGTATTCGAGGAAGTGGAAGACGCAGAGCGAGGCGAGGAAGAAGGGGACGCGCCAGAGGGGCGTGTCGGAGAAGAGGCGCAGCGTGAGGGTCAGCGAGGCGGAGAGCCCGAGGGTGGTGCCGATGAGAAAGGCGCGCAGGGAGATGCCAGCCAGCGACTTTTTGCCGCCGGGGTAGTTGGAGGCGTCGAGGGGTGGTGAGTTGGAGGACATGTTTTCGGCTGCGGGTGGTGGTGTTGTTGTTGTGTTTGGTCGTGGGGGACGCCAGGTGGGGGGTTCGTCGGCGGCGACGTGAGAGGTGGTGGTGGATGAGGAGCTGAATTCGGGGGACGAGGACATTGTTCTAGGATGGTTAGGAATAGGGGGGTTCTTTTGGTGTCGTGGTGTTTGTTGGATTTGGGGGTGTTTTTCTGTTCGGGGATGAGGAAAGGGGAGGATGGGAGGGAAGAAGAAGTAAAGATTGAATGCTAGGAGCGTGTCATTGCCAATGTGCAAAATGTGCAGACGATTGATCCGAAGAGACAGCTCGACCAAGCGTCCTCGCAAGGGTGGAGGAACAATAGGCACCAGCGGGGAGAAGAATCAACTCCGACGGATTGTATTGTTTGATCGTCACGGGATTCCTCCGCGGTCTCCACCCTGCTGACTCATTCGCTCTTTGTTGTTTCCCCGCATTCAATGTTACTGATCGTAAGCATACATTCATATCAACTTTACGTAGATAGTCGGAGCTCGAAATGACGTCTAGCAACCCCTCTGTCCCGACCGAGAGAGACAAGATGCTCCGGGGTGAGCTCTACTGCGCCTTCACCCCGGACTTGATCGCCGCGCGGGCTCGCTGTAGCCGTGCGACTCGCCGGTTCAACAGCGCGGGGGATGTCTCTCGTCGGCGGCTGGCCGAGCTCTGGAAAGAGTGAGTACGATGGCAACGGTAAGCAAGAGCAGCGCTCTCTTGTCTATACCATCTGTCTACATCTGTCTCACTTTGACCTTATCCCCTGCGGGTGCCGATGCAGCCTACTAACATGACGCCGGCAGTGTTACGGAGGATCAAACCCCTCTGCCGCCCCCGAAGGAGGACCCCGCCGAGGACGACGCTCTCTTGGAGCAAGAGCCATGGATCGAGCCCCCAGTTCGAATCGACTACGGATTCAACGTGCGAGTCGGCGAAGGGGTTTTCATCAACTCAAACTGTGTGATTCTTGACACTTGTCCGGTGACTATCGGAGCGCGCACCCTGTTCGGCCCCAACGTGCACTTGTACAGCGGGACTCATCCGTTGGATCCGGAGCTGCGCAACGGCACCAAGGGCCCCGAGATGGGAGCAGACGTTGTGATCGGCGAGGATTGCTGGCTAGGGGGCAACGTCACGGTCCTTCCGGGGGTGACGATCGGGAAAGGCGCGGTTATTGGGGCGGGAAGCGTGGTCACCAAGGTAGTCCTTTCAGACTGACTCTTGCATACAGTGTGCTGACGGAGAGATCTAGGATGTTCCTGCCTTCCACGTGGCTGCGGGCAATCCGGCAAGAGTACTTCGCAAGATTGAGACGGCGATGAAGGAATAATAAGAACGACGTATAGAAGTAGAAGACATATATCTTCTGTCTCCTTTTCTTCATTGTCTTGAGTAATGCTACCCAGGTCCCGACATCAGCTCCGCCAATCAGCATATACGCATAAAATGAATTAATAGTTCCTGTAATTCTGGATGCGGCGATTCGTATTCAACTTTGCTTTGCTTTGTTGTCTAGGGCAAGATGGTGCCGGTTCCATGGATTTAGTTCCAGACACCCCTTTGAGTAGCGGGGGAGGAGCAGAAAAGACGTAGAGAGGCTCCCAATATCGAACACAGAATGCCGGGAAGGTACGTTAGTTAAATGCAGGATGAGCGGATGGACAGCGATTGAATGCAGGATGAGCGGATGGACAGCGATTGAATGCAGGATAGCTGCATTCAAGGGTTTGGCACGAACACGCTAGAAGGCGTGGAAGGTTGAAGTGGAGTTTGGGCGGAGGTTTTAAGGTTGAGGGGAAAATCATCAACTACTCCGTAGTGAGGTATTATGTCATGCCGGTCTAGAATGGCGACCACTACGGAGTACTAGAGAGTAAGAGTAGAGAGTCGAGACACTTGATGTCTGTCAGGATAATTCTAATCTAGCAAGTTTTGTTCATGTGGGAAATAGATAGGACGGACTGAGTGGTGGCGCTTCATAGCTAACTCCCATCCCTTAGGCTGGATCGCAAAGACTATACTCATTCCTTTTTTTTTTCTTTTTACCAATTATTTATTATTTGACATAGTATAGATCTACTGATCTATTGTGATGATTCTATTGGGCTGGATTTCCCCGTCAATTTCCCGCGTGGGAGAATTGGAATCATAGCGACATCCTGCATTGATTATGAATCAGACTTGCTGGATGTTAGTTGAAGGACTGGTATTCAACCCTAATATTAAGAAATTATTCAAGGCGGACTATGCCAGCCATGCCGGGGAAACAAATACTTGATAACTGAATGACCGAAATTCCTGGTAGCGCCGCGGCATCAGCGTGCAGAACCAACCAACGGGCGGACGCGACTCCACCGCAACGTCAGAGCTTCACTTCTTAAAGATTGGGAAAAGCTCAGCTCAACCAACTCTTTCTTCCCCCCTCACGTCCCTTCAGGAACCTTGCCTTGCCTGACCTTCGCGGAGTCCAGACTCACCGACTGCTGCAGCTCCTCTGGTCGCAGCTGCCTTCCTGATCTCCGACTGGTCCCCACAACCACCTTTCTCTCCTTCCTTCTCACTTCTCACTTCTTGCTTCCTCTTTTCTTTTCTTGTGACAACCCTGCGTTTGCTTCTTCTTCTTCTTCTTCCCTTTCCACTGCCCCTTCCTGCATCGCTCGTGCTCCTGCTTTCCTCACCCACATCACTCTTGCCCTTTCAATTTCTTGTTGCAAATCCTCACCTCCGACCGCTTTTCCGGTCACATTTTTTTTTTTTATTTCATTTTATTTTTCTTAATTTACTAGCCTCAACTGTACTCTCCTTCCCTTTTCTACCTATATTCCGCGCAGGTAAATATATTTATCTATCTTCTTTTTCTTCTGTTCAGGTGGTCCGCTCCGAGGAAAGGACCAGGGAGAAAATGTCATGGCCGCTGCCCCGCTAGAGAGCTCTAGCACCACCCCGCCTGACGTTAAATCAATCGACTCGACGCGTTCCCCCGGCGATCCCATGGAAGATAACGACCCTCACTCTACCCGGAAACGCCCTCGTCTTGACAGCGGAAGTGGCATTCGAGAGAACTGGTCTTCCGATAAGACCGACCCTGCTCGCATGTCCGACCAGGCGTCGGACGCTCCTGCTGCCGCCGAGCGCGAAGCTCTGGCGTCAACCCGCCCGGCCAGCAGGGTCACAATCAACGTCAAATCCCCAACCACGACTACCGTCCCGGCCGACGATATGGCCTCCGTTTCCGCCGTCCCCGAAGATCCCCCCGCCGCGCAACCCGACCCGACCGGCCCCTCGCAAACCGCTGAAGATGCCGGAACCCACGCTTCCAAGGCCATCTCGTTATCGTCGTCCCCTGCGCAGAGCCCGGAGATTGAGGTGGCGGAGTTGGAGGATATGGACCAGGACCCCAACACCTCAAATTGGAAGCCACTGGGGGAGGCGCTGGGAGACGGGGACGTTGTACAGCTACAGGACCAACCTCCGTTGACGGAGACCTTCCCTAAACTCCGTCCTGACCATGACATTCGCGACAACTTGGAAGAAATTTGTACCATCATCGAGAAGGGTAAGGGAGCCGAAACGCTGATAGTCCCCGGTAGCATTCGATTTCATCTAATCAAACAATCTCGCAGGGCCTCCACACAACGTGACTGTTTTTCTGGCGGCAAAGGCTTGGCTCGACGACGTTGCGACCAATTTGGACCAGTTGACCTACGAGGTCTTGGTGGTGGATCGTGACTTTTGGGAGGAACTTCCTAGCCTAGTGGAAAGCTTGTTACGCAGAGTGTGAGTGAAGCTGTTGCATTTGCTCTTTTCTCTTTAACGATGGAGCTTCTTTGAGTAACACCTCGACTTATAGACAGGATCTCCCCGCCGATGAAGGCCAAGGGCCCTGGGTTTGTCTGGAAGAGTTCTTCCTTAGTTTTGCTCGCCTCGCGCTACATTTGATCACAATGGATGCACTGGTGCTGGACCAATTCATCGAAGACACGGAGCTCCGCGTGGCGACAGAATTGATCTCGAGAACCTATGTGTCGGCATTGTGTTGGATGGTACAGATCAACAACATCCCTCTCTACCGTACCATGGAAAGAATCTATGGCGCAGAGGTTCCGAACATGGTAGCGCGCATCAGCGATCAGATTGCCTCCCCTCCTCTCGACTACGTGCAGCGCATGTCCGATTTTGCCTCGCGCATCCTAACTCTGATTCCTCGATGGCCTCAACTCGCATCTCCCTTGGCGTCAGCTGTCGCCCTCGTTCATAGCATTGTCGAATCGGGGAACGAGCGTCGGAAGTGGGGAGCAGATGATGCCGTTATCCACTCTAGCGCCTACGTGCACATCCTTCAAGCGGCCTACAGTACGATCCAGTCCGTAGACGAAAGGTACCAAGACGGAATCACCAAGAAATCTCCTTGGGTAACTAGTGATATTAGCGAGGCGTTGCTCCAACACATTGCGGGCGTGTATCTCACTGCTTCCTTGCGAATCCCTGCCATCGCGCAGCAGATGGCCAGAGATCTTGAAATCGACGTCCCGGAAACTGCAATGGCTGAGGAACGCGCTTTCATCATACATTATGCCTGGAAGTTTGCGGCCCTGAAAAAGCACATCATGGATGGTCGTATGGAGATAAGGGTCCAAGGGGTCGAGGCCATGCAATCGAGCCTTGTTTCGGTGTGGAGACGGTATATCCAACATGATCCGTCGGGGATGGAGAATCCCGTTGTCCAGTACCTCGTGCGGTTCCTGAGAGAGCATCAGATCGTCGAGTATTTGGTTGGAATCGACTCTCATCCTCAATTGATCAGTAGAAGCGGAAACATCGTCGGCTTCTTGATTGTTACCGGCACGTACGCTGATTCGGACACGGATACCATCTGGACGGCCGCGAGAGAGAGCCCGGACCCCAGAACCGTATCGGAGATCTTGGGCATGCTCATTCGAACATTCCACATGCATCTGTCCGCCTCTCCATCCCTAATTTACCTGTGCTCGAAGCTGCTCGATCTTCCGCTAGCTCGCTTCGATGCGCGGATGGTAGAGTTCTGCGAACAGCTGCTCCATCACATACGCGAAAAGCATACGGAAAGGCACCCATTATTGGATGCGCCGCATGTGGACGTCATCCCGCTACGTTTGTGTGTACGTCTGATCCGCGAGAGCGCAGCGGCCGCGGATTTCTCCGTGGAGCACAAGGCCCTGTTGCAGAAATTTGCAAGCTCCCAGCTGCGCTTGATTATGGATGCCGGACTCAGTGACGCGGATAAAATGGAGACGTATGAACGATGCATCCAGGACATCGCCGAGATGAACGATTTTGCAGTGGGAAGTATTCAGGCGCTGGGCGCCCTCCTCCCGAGCTACGATTCCCGCGAGATCCACCAGCTGGCCACCGAGTTCGACCTGATCCGCCTGGTGTTCAACAACATCGTCCGTGCGGTGGACCAGAACGGCACCGACTTTCTACAGGATTCATTTGCAAAGACCGCCTTCGTTTCGCGCATTAATTTGCTGAATCGCATTATCGACCAGGTCGCAGAGCTTATCACACCCGATCTTGCCGACTTGTTGTGGCAGGATGTGTTCATGTCCAAGAAGCTTTCGCAGCAGGGGAGACGCGCCTTTTGGGACATGCTCTCGAGTCTCACGAGACAAAGCGCCAAGCCGAATCCGTTCATCGAGCGCTGCATCCACGAGTACCTTCCAGGGCTCTCGCCTAGCGAGGGCTGCTTCCCCGAGATTCTTCTGTTTGCGAAGCACACCATCAGCTACGAAGTTCGCTTCAACCCCCCACCCATTGCGGGTGAGAATGAGGTTGTCTCGATTCCGGGCATAGACCGCATATGGCGTTTCATTTTGACGTCTCCCCCGGGCTCCATTGAAACTGACGCGACCAACTTTGCTATTGAGGTCTACCTGGATCATAACATCATCCACCGGTCACCCCGATCGGCCGTCGAGGCTACGCACATTGCCCTAGTGGACCGCTGTGTGGAACAGCTGAAGTCTGCGGCGTCCAGTCTAAAGTCCACGCCTCGCGATGATACCAATGGCGTGGAGGAGACGGGCAAGGAACCAGGGGTGGAAGTTTCCAAGCCGGACCTTCCGGCTGAAGAGCTGAGATTCAGTCGCTCACTTCTCTTTCTGCGCCAGTTCTTGCAGGGGCTTCGAAGCCGGCCCCAGTACAGTCCCCCGCAAAATTCGCCGCCGGGGTTACCGGACAGGCCGGTGAAAGGCGAACCGATCAGCCTCCGATATCAAGCTTTTGACGGTAGTGCGCAGTCCAAAGTTCGTTGTTTGCAGATTGGGGATCTCTCGACTGCGTCGGAGCTTTACGATCAATTTGCGCAGTTGACTGGCTTCTCTAAGATGAATATCATCTTTAGTGGACGTAGAGTTGACCTGCTTGAGAAGCCCGAGTCAAGCATCCGCGAACTAAGACTCAATGCTGGATTAGTGCTTATCCGTCGTCATCCGGATAGCCGGGAGGCAACATCGCGGGGAGGACGGCGCCAATCCTTGACGTCTGTTGACTCCGAAGTGCTCAAGCATTTTGATGATCTCTATGACCTTCTCAGTCTACCCGACAACTTGGCTCGGGAAATATACGACTTTCTTATGGTGTTTCCCCCACAGGAGAGGGTTCTCCAGTTGGTCAAGTCCACCTCCAACACCGAAGACGATATGTTCCCTATGGACAAACCATATAACTTCCTCTATTCAACGAATGCCCTCATGATCTGTCTGAGAGAGGAGAATGTCGAGGTTAGTTGGATTTCAATTCATTCATGTAGGCCGCTTTTCCTCGCTGACACGATTCAAAAACAGTCATCGCCAAATCAGACATTCGTGTCCCATAGTATTCATGTCTTGGTCGCCGCCTTAACACGCCCCGATATGCGCGAGTCTCTGGAGGACCATCCGAGACTTCTGTTCGTGACAACCCTCGTCGAATGCCTTGGCCAGGCGCTGCTAGGTAAGGCCCCTTTCTTCTATTTGCCCTGGGAACAATCTAACAGCCTATGTTTTATTCCTAGCGAAACACCCCGTGGCAGATGAACCATCGCCGATCCCAAATGCAGTGGCGCTAGTCCAACAATTGCGGCATCTAATGGAAATTGGACGCAAGATGAACGAGTCCCAACTCCCAGGAAACACTAGACAAAAGTTGATATGCTACTCATTCGACAGTTTACTCGAAGCCTCTGCACGCGACCATGAGTTTTGGGACGTGGTTAAACAACAAGTGCAGTTCTCTGAGCTGCTGTTTTCGCTCCTCCTCGAAGAGAGCCACCCGCCGATTCGGAAATGCATCAGAGAGACCATCAATGCTGCCATTATCTACTCCAAATCTTCCAAAAAACAGGCTAAACCCTTGGATACCGACGCCCTTGAAGCGCGCGATGATTCTCCCCTCGAAAGCCCGGTTAGAGTCGATATTCTGGCAACCATCTGGGATGCCTTTTTGCAGAACTTTTCACGTACTTTGGAATACGTACACCAGTCCCCGGAGTTCTTCGAAGTGGCCACCGAGGTATTTTTCCCAGTTGCCGAGAAGTCCCCGGGTGACCTCATCCTTGGCGAATATCTCAGGCAATGGAGTGACATCATGTTCAGCCATCCGGCCAAGGAGCTCGTTGGCCGTGAATTGATAGACAATGTAATCCATGGCTTCATCCGTCTAATCCGGCTGTGCCTTGAGGCGGCCAGTGTACACGGTATCCGAGTGGACACGCTCAACTTAGCCGAGGATTTGTTCGACAAATATCTATTCCCTGACCTGTCGTCGTCCCCATCGTCAAACCAGGCAATTGTTCCTCGAACGCCTGTCCTGCACCCGCACACTCGCCAGGAGCTCTACACTGTCATTATCTTGCTCTGCGGCCAAGAAGAGAACTACATTAGAATTCTCGACCGCATGGACGAGATCATTCCCCAGGGCTATACTTTCTCGGCTAATTGGGCTTACGACCGCTACAAGATGATCCGGTCACCGGAAGGGTATGCTGGGCTCAAGAACCTGTCCAACACCTGCTACATGAACTCTCTCCTGAGTCAACTCTTTATGAACGTGGGCTTCCGTGACTTTATGATGCAGCTCCGCCTAGGAAATCCGGAGTCGTCACAGAGACTATTGGATGAGACGAAGAAGGTCTTTGGCTATATGCAGGAAACATGGCTTAAGAGTGTCGACCCGCAAGGCCTGGTGGACTCTATCTGCACGTACGACAACGAACCGGTCGATGTTACTGTGCAGATGGACGTTGATGAATTTTATAACTTATTGTTCGACCGGTGGGAGGCTCAGATATCGGACCCGCGGGACAAGAAAACGTTCCGGTCGTTTTACGGCGGCCAGCTAGTCCAGCAAATCAAATCTAAAGAGTGCCCTCATATCTCGGAACGCCTAGAACCTTTCTCTGCCATTCAGTGCGATATCAAGGGAAAGGCGAGCCTCGAGGAAAGTCTCCAGGCTTATGTGGAAGGAGAGATCATGCAGGGAGACAATAAGTATTCTTGCACTTCCTGTGGGCGACACGTCGATGCCGTCAAGAGGGCTTGCCTGAAAGAAGTGCCCGACAACCTCATCTTCCACCTCAAGCGGTTCGACTTCGATATGGTTTCGATGCTCCGCAGTAAAATCAACGACGAGTTTCATTTTCCTGAGCGGGTGGACATGAGTCCTTTCAAAGTTGAATACCTTTCCGAGCAGGACCCTGAAGTGAAGGAGGATATCTTCGAGCTGGTCGGTGTTTTGGTTCATAGTGGCACGGCCGAGTCTGGCCACTATTACTCCTATATCCGCGAAAGACCTGCAGCTGCTGGCACTGGTGGCTCGTGGGTGGAGTTCAACGACTCGGAAGTCAGTCGATTTGATCCTAAACGGATCCCAGACCAATGTTTTGGAGGTTACAACGACAATGCCAACCACACCGCCATGGGCCAAGTGCGTTACTGCAAGGCCTGGAACGCTTACATGCTCTTCTATCAGCGCGTGTCGGATGCCGAGTCGGCCAGATCGGAATACCAGCCCATAACAGAGCAGTATCCCGTGCGCGTGCAGCTCCCTGTGCCACTTGCGAATCACATCACGATGGAAAATGAGATCTTCATTCGGACATATTGCCTGATGGACCCGCCTTACGTCACGTTTGTCCGATACTTGCTTTTGGAGCTGCCAAAGGTTCAGTCTAAGCAGGGGGATTCTTCTAATATAGACCGGAAGGCCATTTTCATTGTGATGGATACACTGGAGCAGCTGGTGTCGAGAGCGAAGGAGCCAGTGGGATTGGATCTGATCATGAATCAGATCGGCCGATCGATTGAAGAGATTCCCAGAACGGCCTACAGGATCCTCCAGTGGGTGGTACATCGACCAGCGGGCATCCGCAACCTGTTGAGGAGCCCCCATGCTTCTGTTCGCAACAGCTCAGTCAGAATTTTCATCTGTGCCCTCTCCAAATTGCAGAGGCTTGCTATCAATAATGACGCGGAACCTGAGAGTCTCGAGAGCCAGAAGTGGCGCGTGCGATATTTGGATGGCGTCGAAAACGTGGTCGCTACGCTCGAAGGCGCTTGGGCGACACTGCATACGATGTTCCGAGCCTGGGACGATTACTTTGAGTTTTTGTTGCTCCTTGCAAATTTGGGGACCGAGGAAGCGGGAATGGTCCTCAATTACGGGTTCCTACTCAAGTCTTTGGAAATTTTGTGGATTGACCTAGAAGACACGAAGCGACTCAAGCGCCAGTACCTTGGTTACTTTAAGCTCGTGGAGAAGGGCCGGAGATTCTCCCACAGAAAGATGATGGATCTTCTGGCCTCGTTGCTGACGCGCATTGATTTCCATGCTCCGCCCACCCCTGATGACGAGCGACGGGTCTTGCCCGAAGGCACCTACCATCTGACCGTCTCGGAAAATGATCTCCTCCGATCTGTTGGGAGAAACGACGAGCTATCTATCCTGAAAAGGATTCTTCACTCATATAGTAACCCTCTAGCATGTCGAAACATCGTCGGCCTACTGTTGGATGCCGAACCCCAGGCCGGCCTGCTCGATCCCATCTGTAAGGTCCTCGAGGATGGCCTTCGCGTCGCCCCGGCCGACCTTTGCACGCCATTCTTGGAGGCGACCCTGACCTTCTGTCGACGCGGTCCTGATGAAGACCGAATTGCCGCCATGATTGACTATGTTGCAAAGGGGCTTGACTCCATCAATGATCGCGGCGGCAAAGAGCACCTCGCCTTTTTCAGGAGTGTCATGGTCTGCAGCAACGACCGACTCGGCCTTGACGAGCGGTGGTTCCTCTCTCATCTGATCAATAGAATTCCCGATTGGGCTCCGACGTTGCTCATGTTTCCGGACAGAACCGTGAGAAACATGACGATGGAAATATTACGTGGCATCCTATTTACGAGGGAAAATGTAGGCGAGGATGACTGGCAGTCACGCCATGCCCAGGTTGCTAGAGATCTGGTCTCGTCTAGTGTGGACAGGTTAAGAAATCTATACATGGGTGCTCATGACACGGGTCTCGAAACAAAGCTCCTGGAGACGATGAAAGCCGTCATGGACCACTGCTTGGCCACCTATTTTGACGACAGTGAAGAGGATCAGCAGGCTATTGAACAGGCTCGCAGTATGTTCCCCCAGCCAGTTGATGCATGGATTCTTATCAGCTAACACGGGCTCCTAGTGGTGTTGGCGGCTGTCGAGGATTTAGCAGTCGATGTTCCCGAGGAGCTAGGATCGGGTAAGTTTCCCCTTTTTCCCCTCCCCCCCCCCCCCCCCCCCCCCTTTTTTTCTTACCTTTCCTTCCGTCTAATTCCACTCCTGCGGGCCACCCAGAGTCTGACGTACCTTCTGCAGAGGAATGGGAAGACAATTCCGTCGTGAGCGATTCGGAAATGGGAATGGCAGGCTCTCCCTAGGTCAACAACCCCCCAACCGGTGAATCTACGAAACGAAAAGTAAAGAAGCAAGACACCGTGATTGTATCACATATGAGAAACGACTTGATGATCAAAACTCCCCTATTTCTGTTATCTGTTGGCTGCGCCCAATGTCCCTGCATCGGTTGGCGTTTCCGTTGCCTCTGTTAGACATCTATCAGTTCTGTTGCTGGTCTTGCTCACGTTCTTGCATGGAATAGAAGGCTACCCGCTGTAGCAGGGCAGGACTTTTACTCAATAGATTGATTTATTGGTTGTTTTCCTTCTCTGCAGCGTTATTTCATAGCTATAATACAGGATGAAGCAATATCCGTGTTGACAGGCCAAGGTAGCCCTTGCATTATTCTCTCTTGACCGTCATCCTTTCCAGTTCTTCGTGTAAACCGAAAAATGTAGGCGTTTGTATGCATGAAACACATGATATGCCAAACATTTCACCGTTTATTTTAGATAGGCAACAGTGAAAGACCTCGTTTCTTCCTGCATCAATCAATCAATCAACAAACCAACCCAGTACTGATTGATAGAGGGTACTTTCCATCATCGATTCGATCACCGCGGTGCGTGAAGCCCTTAGAGCTGCAGAGCTTCTACATATAGTCCTATAGGGAAAGATCGAGAAGAAACTTATAAGAATCTCTCACTATACTCGGTATGGAGATAGTAAGAGCCCTATACCGCAAGTCGAAGCGCGCGTTAACCTAAGCGGCCGGCTACACCACCCACCAACAGGGACGAGGCCATCGCCTACCTGAGCAACCCTCTCCCACCTGGATTTCGGCGAGTGCCTACAGCTCACCGGGCTCTACCCCTATCCCCTTACCCTCTACTCTCTTAATTATCGCTCTGCAAATCCTCCGCTCTACCCTCTCTCTCCGCCACCCAGCCATACGTAGGGCATAGGTGATGCATACACCACCGACGGCCACGCGCACGCAATAATATGTATAAAGTATTAAGAATAATATTTTTGAATTTCTGTATAAGAATATACTGCCCGTATCTATAGTCTGGTGACTCTAGCGTGGCCCTGCAATCAATGGGAGCCAAAATAGAGTATAATTGAATGGCACAGATGCCTTCCTTTCGTGCTTCATATATGAGATTCGGTCCTTGGCGCCAGCGCCCAATTGCGGCTTTGGGAGATCCTGGTGAGAGACTTGATATGCGTATCCGGTTGCCATCAAACATCCTCGAATTCCTCCTCGTCATCCTCATCCGACTCCTCTTTCTTGACTTCCGGTTCCACCTTGATCTTCTTCGCCGCCGGGCCGTCCTCGAACGCCGTAGTCGACGGTGTAGCAGACGCTGTCGGCACACCACTCGTCCCCGAATCCGCATCCAACTCACGCTTGATCCCCGGGGCTGACGGAACACTCGTCGGGCCTCCGTTTCCTAGACTCCCGCTGCCGACCGCCGGAGACGCCGTCTCGCTGGCCGACACGCCCACGTCCTCGAACTCGTCGAACTCATCCGAGTCTTCGTCCACGCTGCTTGCGTCCTCCTGGGCCTGCAGGGCCCGCTCGCGCTCCATCTCAGCGTAGTATGCAGCCAATTTATCGTCCAGCGCATCGACAGCGGGCTTCTGCTCGTCGTCTTCGTCCTTGATCTCGGACTTGATAGCCACTCCGCCTTCGGATTTGATGGTGCCCCCGCCCGCCGCAGGGCCCGTCGACACCGTCGAATGCGTATGCCACACCGGCAGAGCATTCTGTTTCTCAACGGCCGCCTTCCGCGCCACCTCCTCCGCCTGCTCCGCGGCACTCTTCTCTTCGGAAGACGTCAACGAGATCTCCAACGCCCCCGCATCCGTCTTCGTATTGCCTCGCACCGCCTCCGTCTTCGACGGCACGACCACAGCCGCGCGCGTCGGATTAATCGCCTGATTCCGCACCACATCGACCTTATGATCCCACGCGGTATCGAAATCATTCGGCGGAATCTCCACCGAATCGATCTGCTTCAGCAGCTTCAACATCGCATCCAACTGCGCCATCAATTTACTATTCTTCTCATGTCCCGTCCGATCGATCCCCTCCGTGCCTTTCACATCCTCGGTCCGTTCCAAAATCGCCCCGCAGTTCTGACACTCGAAGCCCTCTTCGCTGTAGAGGCTCAGCACGTCCAGTTCCGTCCATTCGGCCCCGCAGCGCAGGCAAACGTATTCTTTGCGTTCTTCGCTGGGCGTGTATTGCGCTTTTATGGTCGCTGTGAGTCGGGACACTTTGTATTTTATGGCGTCGATTACCGGGTGAAGGGGGATGTAGTAGTATTCGCGGTTGACGGGGCGCGTGGAGCCGTCGCGAATTTCGGCGCGGGTGTTTCTATCCCAAGGGGGGTGTTGTTAGTTTTGGTTGGATTGGGAAAGGTAAAGCAAGCATACACAGAAATCAATCTGTCTTCGCGCAACTTGGCGCATAACTTTCGGAGATCTTTCTGTTGCATGCCCAGTAGGAAAGCGAGGTCTTCGACGTGGAGACTATTCGGTATATTAAATTAGAGCTTCGTTTAACCTGCAGACAAGGAGGAAGGGAAACACCTACACAGAATGAATAAACAGCGCATCGACAACCAGGATGTGGCGCGTTTCGTAGAACGCGCGCGCCACGCTGCGGATGAGGGTATTTGCGAGATCCATGTTGACTTTGCCTGTCTGTGTTGCTTGGTGATTTTTAGATAGCGGTTGGCACCGTTGGTTCGATCTCCGTCCAGGTCTCAAGGGAAACGGTTATGCGATGAAATAAGGGAGGCGTATGCGGTGTTGGTGTGAGGTCTATATCGGGTTCTGGTTGTAGAGAAGAATTGGTTGGTGGTTGGCTTTTCGGCGCGATTGCGATTGCGATTTCGATGCTTGTTCCGTCTGAGCTTACTTTAGCTCGAGATGAGCTGCATGGCTTTTTTTATACGGGAGGAGTGGTTCGCTGGAATTATAGAGTAATAGATGGAGTATCCCAGTTCGTGAATTGAGTCTTCGACAGAGGTAAGACAGCGACGGGACGAAAGAACGGATAAAGTGAAGGACAAAGCAATGAAGGAATGAAAGAAGTGAAGAGATCCGGAGCGGGTTTGTTGCCTGAGGCTGAAGAGCTTGGCAGCCTGAGGCTAGAGGTGTGCAGGACAGACTAGCCTTTTTGGGAATAACGTGGGATGAAGGGACTAGGCCGGATGGGGTTAGGGTGCGGCGACAACGGGTGGGGTTATTCCGATGTCGTGCCCTAATTTGCATGACGGACTTTCAACGATTGGGTTGATTTTGGGTTTGGAATGGGTTAATGTTTTATGATTTACAGATGCTGTTATCGTGGGTTGCTTCTCTGTTTATATGTGTGTTTTTACGGCAGTGGAACCCTCATATTGAGTATCTGGTTGATGTTCTGGATTTGCAATCCGGTGGGATCTGGAACCATAAAGCCACCGCCTACTTCTACTCGTAACGCTTGTCTGACTTGAGCTTTGAACAAACTCGACATTCAAGAGGATCAACCTAGCTTACGGTCTGCATCCACCCAACCCGGCAAATACCATTGGTTACTCTGCTGAATCCCTCTAGTGGAGCTTCAAACGTCCTTCCGGAGACAACATTGGTTCCAGCAATCTCCGTGAATCTTATCTGAACAATCCATCCACCTCGACTGCCATCCAACCAACACAATCAACTTACCTCCTACATCCTCCAAAATGGCCTCCCGCGATGCCCTCACTTTCTCCGAATCCGACCGTACATTCCTAACCCCCCACCTTCCCCCTGATCACGAAGACCCCAAACCCTCCTCCCCCCTCCCCTTCACAACCCTCACCTTCGCAACCTCCCTGGACTCCTCCCTCGCGCTCTCCCCAGGCACCCGCACCACGCTCTCTGGTCCACAGTCCAAAGCCATGACCCACTACCTACGCTCCCGCCACGACGCCATTCTCATCGGCGTCGGCACCGCCATCGCCGACAACCCGGGCCTGAACTGCCGCATCGCCGGAGTCGGCGGATACGGCGGCGAGGGACTGACCGGCCAACCACGGCCCATCGTCATCGATCCTACCGCGCGCTGGGACTTCACAGTGGAATCGAAGATCTTGGCCCTTGCGCGCGCCAAGCAAGGTCTGGCGCCGTTCATTATCACAGGAACGCATGCCCCTCCTCCTTTGTCTGAGAAGAAAGCGTTACTAGAGCGTCATGGGGGGAAGTACATCGCGCTGGATGTTAGCGTGGTCAATGCGCCTTCCAACGAGGACGACAACGATGACGACGAGATGGGAACCCGACGACCGACACATCGCATCGACTGGACGGCACTGTTGAGGTGTCTGCGCGAGCAGGGTCTACGGAGCGTCATGATCGAAGGGGGCGGGTCGATTATCAACTCGTTACTGGAGCCGCGGACGCAGCACCTGATTGACTCAGTGGTGGTGACGATTGCGCCGACGTGGTTGGGTCGTGGCGGGGTCGTGGTTTCGCCGGAAAGGAGGGTTGATGGGCATGGGGCGGTGATCCCGGTATCTAGGTTGACAGATGTCAAGTGGTATCCGCTCGGCGAGGATGTAGTGCTTTGTGGGAGGATTAAGGGGGAGTGATTAGAGAGGTTTGGTTATGAGTTGAGGTTGGGGTTTTTGGCAGGGTGGTTAGTTTATGGGGTATGTTGTTATAGTCGTGGAGATAATGAGATCGACAAATTTATATAATTGCGAGGGAATATGTGATGAGGAGAATGAATGGACTTTTTATACAATGGCGTATGGTTAATGCTGGTGGTTGTTGTTGCTGAAGTATAGCAGGGTCGAGATGTTGACTTTGTCATTAAGCTTATGACGCGGGGAAGAACTGTACAGTGTGCATGTGCTGTAAACAGTATCTATGACATCCTAGATTCCGCTGCTAAAGTCGGTGATATCTGATCCTCCTGTCATACTTTTTTGTAAATTGCAGACCCACCTGGAATTGCCTATCTTGCTCCACTTTAAGAAACATTCGGACATCCGATGACCGGGATTGAAGTGAGATGTACTGTACCTACGACGACACCACGCAGTCAATTGCCATTCTCTGTACAACGCAACAGAATTGGCAAGATTCACGTCGATAATAGATATAGAAAAAAAATTCAAGATCGACCATCTTATCAGCGCCATGAAGAAACTAATCATGCATGAGGACCTTCGGCGCTCGCTTAGGGCCCGCACGTGAGTGACTAATGCAAAGCCTTGGACTGGACGGAACGACGACCCCGCCATGCTGCTGTCTATAAATTATGGAATTTCGGAACTTCTCGTCGCAAAGGCCCTCTGCACAATGATCGGTATTTCCCGATAATCGGATTCGTTGAGGTCATGGCCGGCCGTGCGGACAAATGCACCACTCTGGTCCAGTCTCTTCCCGCCTCTTCAGTCGAAGAGGCTGAATTGTCGTTCCAGTTTAGTAAAGAGGAGCACACCCAGGGCTTTTGGGTGGCTCTTCGACGCCACTGGCCGGCAGTCGCTTGGGGTCTGTTTATGAATCTGGTATGCATGGCCCTGGAACTGGACGTGGATCATGGAACTGACATCGTCGAGTAGGCGACTATCCTGAAAGGTATCGATGGCGGCGTCGTCAAAGGCCTGGTCGGTCTCGACACTTTCAAAGAGACCTACGGATATCAGTACAAAGGCACCTACATTATCGCCGCGCAGTGGCTGTCCGCCTTCCAGTATGCCAATCTGCTGGGTGCGATCGTGGGCGCTCTCTGCTCCGGGTTCGCCTACGATCGCTTCGGTCCGCGCTGGATGATCGCAGCCTGCTCGGTGCTGTCCATTGCATTTATCTTCATTCAATTCTTCAGCCATACCCCGGCCCAGCTGTTTGTCGGCCAACTCGTCAACGGCGCCATCATCGCCTTTTACCCGATCTGTGCGTCGGCATACGTCGGCGAAGTCACGCCGCTCGTGCTTCGGGGCTTCGCGGCTACCATGACAAATTTGGCCTTTTCTATAGGCTCGCTGATCGCATCCGGGATTCTCAAGGGCACTGAGTCCATGCAAAGCACCTTGGCGTATAAGATCCCCATTGCGACGCAATGGGCGTTGCCCTGCATCATGCTATTCCTAGTCGGGTTCTGTCCCGACCCACCGTACTGGCTCTGCCGCAAGGGCCGAGATGATGCGGCCGCGGCATCGTTGCAGCGGCTGACTACGCGAGGGGTGGATGTGTCGCGCAAGTTGGCGCACATTCGAGAGACGCTGCGACTGGAGGAGAGTTTCCAGGGAGACCGGCCACACTACCTCGAGTGTTTCCGGGGACCTAATCGCCGGCGACTCCTCATCTGTGTAATGGCATATAGCATGCAGGCGTTCACCGGAAATGTGTTCTTCATCAACTACGCCGTGCACTTCATGGAAGTCGCGGGCCTCGATTCGTCCGACGCCTTTTCCATGAACCTGGGGCTCACGGGCATCGGATTCCTGGGGACGTGTATCTCCTGGCCGTTATTGTCGTACGTGGGGCGTCGCATCATGTACATCTTCGGCTGTTCGACGTTAGCGATCCTATTGTTCATCATCGGGGCGGTTGATCTCGCCCCGCGAGATACGCAGACGACATGGGCGCAGTGTGGCATCATGCTCGTCTGTACGCTGGTGTACGATGTCAGTCTCGGGCCTTTCTGCTACGTGCTGCTGGCGGAAGTGTCATCGGCGCGTCTGCGCGGCTTCACGATTGCGCTGGCCACCGTCAGCTGTTTCGTGTGGTCGGTGGTGTTCGCCGTGGTGATTCCGTACGCCATGAACGAAGATCAAGGGGACTGGAGAGGCAAGATAGGCTTTCTCTTCGCCGGCACGAGCGTCCTCTGCGCCGTGTATTGCTTCTGCTGCATGCCCGAGACGAAAGGCCGGACATTTGAGGAGCTGGATATCTTGTTTGAACGGAAGGTGCCGAGTCGGCGGTTTCAGTCGTATAAGATTGACTTGGATGTCGACGGGAGAAGACTTGAGGAGTAGATTGTAGATATCATCTCGGTCGATGTACATACAGAACAGGCACATATGAATCTATCCCTAGCGATGAGGTAGACATTTAATGAACATACCTTTAGTAGGTAGTTGATATAGTAATGTACTGGGGATACCGTACCAAATGTATTATACCTGCCAGATTTCCGGATCCCCGGTACGGTATGGTAACGCAAGTGCCGACGGATTCGGCCCGGTATCGGCGGTAGTGGCGGCCAATCAGGGCGAGGCTAAAGCAAGAAAAAAGAGTCATCGGCAGCAGAACGAACTCGCTCGCTTTTCCTCTCTCTTTGTGCACTCAACATTGCTGGGAAATCATGGTGAGGCAACTTGTTTGGCAGCGGGCGACCGCCTCTCAGAGGGTATGTTGGCGTGGACATGGCTCCTTCCCTTCCAATCCGTTCTCTGGCCCCTGGCTAACCCTGCAATCTTGAAGCTGGCCCCGAAATGTCTCTCCCCACAGCGACTGTTTGGCCGCCGTGGTCTGGCCACGGAGGCCTCCTCCGCCGCCGCTTCCTCCCGGATGCCCCCGTACCCCAGGATCGTGCGCAACTTGGAAGAAGTACGACGAGTCCTGGGTGCCTCTCGCACCCTCACCCTCGCAGAGAAGATTTTGTACGCCCATCTTGCCAACCCGGAGGAGTCCCTGTTGACGGGCACGGAGAATGGACGCGACATTCGTGGCAAGGCCAATTTGAAATTGAAGCCCGATCGCGTTGCTATGCAGGATGCGTCTGCCCAGATGGCCCTGCTGCAGTTCATGTCGTGCGGTCTGCCTTCGACCGCCGTCCCTGCCAGTATTCATTGCGACCATATGATTGTGGGAGAGCGCGGTGCCGATACGGATTTGCCCGAGTCGATCAAGGGCAACAGCGAGGTGTTCGATTTCCTGGAGAGTGCCGCCAAGCGGTACGGCATTGAGTTCTGGCCTCCCGGTGCCGGTATCATCCACCAGAGCGTGCTTGAGAACTATGCCGCCCCCGGATTGATGATGCTGGGGACCGACAGTCACACCCCCAACGCGGGCGGTCTGGGGGCTATTGCCATCGGTGTCGGTGGTGCAGATGCTGTCGATGCGCTGGTGGATGCGCCCTGGGAGCTGAAGGCGCCGCGCGTCTTGGGAGTGCGACTGGAGGGCAAGCTGAACGGCTGGGCCGCGCCCAAGGACATTATCCTGCACCTCGCCGGTAAATTGACCGTGCGTGGTGGCACGGGTTTCGTGATCGAGTACCACGGTCCCGGCGTGGAGACGCTGAGCTGCACGGGCATGGCGACCATCTGTAACATGGGCGCCGAAGTGGGCGCGACCACGTCGGTGTTCCCCTTCTCCCCCAGCATGGTCCCTTACCTGCAGGCAACGCACCGCGGCGACGTGGCCCAGGCGGCCTCGGCCATCGCTGCTTCGGGCCCTCAGAACCTGCTCCGGGCGGATACTGGCGCCGAGTACGACCAGCTGATCACTATCGACCTGTCGACTCTTGAGCCTCACATCAATGGTCCCTTCACCCCGGACCTGTCCGTGCCGCTGTCCGCCTTTGCCGACACCGTCCGCGAGAAACAGTGGCCCGAGACGTTCGGCGCCGGTCTGATCGGCAGCTGCACGAACAGCTCCTACGAGGACATGACCCGTGCCGAACACCTCGTCAAGCAGGCCTCCGCCGCCGGACTCCAGCCCGCAGCCGATTTCTTTATCACCCCCGGTAGTGAGCAGATCCGCGCCACTTTGGACCGGGACCAGACGCTCTCGACCTTTACCAAGGCTGGTGGCACCGTGCTGGCCAATGCCTGCGGTCCCTGCATCGGACAGTGGAAGCGTACGGACGGTGTGTCCAAGGGCGAAGACAACGCCATCTTCACCTCGTACAACCGCAATTTCCCCGGCCGTAACGACGGCAACCGCCGCACCATGAACTTCCTGGCCTCGCCGGAACTCGTCACCGCGCTCGCGTACTCCGGCAAGACCACTTTCAACCCTATGACTGACAGCTTGAAGACGCCCTCCGGCGAGGAATTCCGCTTCCAGCCCCCGTCCGGTCACTCCCTGCCCGGTGAAGGGTTCGCCGACGGCAACCCGTCCTTCCAACCGACCGCCGCCGTGCCCGATGCCAGTTGCGAGGTCATCGTCTCGCCCACCTCGGACCGCCTGGCGCTGCTCGAGCCCTTCGCCCCTTTCCCCGAGGGCGAGCTCTCGGGTCTCAAGGTCCTGTACAAGGTGCGCGGGCAGTGCACCACGGACACGATCTCCGCCGCGGGCCCCTGGCTTAAATACAAGGGCCACCTGCCCAATATCTCGGCCAACACGCTCATCGGCGCCGTGAACGCCGCCACCGGCGAGACCAACGTTGCCTACGACGACGCCGGCAAGCAGCACGGCATCCCCGAGCTGGCCGAGCAGTGGAAGTCGCAGGGTCTCGAATGGCTCGTCGTCGCGGAAGAGAACTATGGCGAGGGCAGTGCCCGCGAGCACGCCGCCCTGCAGCCCCGCTACCTCGGCGGCCGCATCATCGTGGCCAAGAGCTTCGCGCGCATCCACGAAACCAACCTCAAGAAGCAGGGTGTGGTTCCCCTCACCTTCGCCAACCCGTCTGACTATGAGCTCATCGACGCCTGTGACTCTGTCGACACCATCGGCTTATACGACGTCCTGAAGGCCGGCGGCAAGGGCGAGATCCAGCTACGCGTGCAGAAGAAGAGCACCGGCGAGACGGTGCAGATCCCTGTGCGCCACACGCTGAGCCCGGATCAATGTGCATTCGTCCTGGCGGGAAGTGCGTTGAATCTGTTGGCACAGAAGGCAGGACAAAACTAGAACGGCGTCTCTGGGGCTTTCGTGTCGCGTGGGAGACTTGTAAATAGAATTTTTCATTTGGCATCGTGTAATTGTAGCAAAAAGAGCTTTCTTCATTCTGTGTCTTTCTTCCTCATCTCTCTCTCACCTCTCTCTCACCTCTCTCTCACCTCTCTCTCACCTCTCTCTCACCTCTCTCTCACCTCTCTCTCACCTCTCTCTCACCTCTCTCTCACCTCTCTCTCACCTCTCCCTCATCTCTTCCTCAGTCTTGTGGCTGCTCTCTTCGTAAGGCTGTTAGAAATGATGGAATGAACGAGGTTGTAAGAGGATGCAATGGTTTGGGACAATGACCAGCGAGATCACGTGGCAGAGACAACCACCCGCTCACCTCAGATGGCTCACTACAAGGAACTTCCCAATCTGTGCAGAAACTCCTTCTGTCAATCCAGTCACTTGTCGGGGTGGTCCCATGCATGGTTCAGCAGACAATTGCATCACCAGGAGCGGCCTGTCATTGGTCCTCTGCGACCTTACGGAATAGGGCATGACGGCTTCCCTTACCATCAAGGGAAATCCCGACTGTCGCCATGCTTTACATGAAAGTGCCCGTATACAAGTGGCGTTGGAAGGATCACGATAGACGAACAGCCCGCATATAACGAGGCACGAATCCAGACATCACGCAGACATCGCTCCTCATCCTTCAATCTGGAGAGCAAATCAGAAGCTACAGCACTTAGACAACTACAATGTCTTCCCGCGGATTCCACAATCTCCCTGTGGAACTCGCCTTGGGATGTGTGCGGTTCATGGACCCTGTCAGTATCAGCAGGTTCTCGCGGATCTGCAAGAGTCTGTACCATGTTTTGCATGATAAAAGACAGGAGGCAGCAAAGGAGTTTGCTTTACTCCCCACAGGACGTGCCCCAAGATGCCCCGAAATGCCAGAGTTTCAGAATTGGCGCTTTACCCAGCGTTGGTTCACTCACCCAAAGCCGTCCGAATCACATGTCGAAATGGCCATTATTGAGAACCGCATGGACTCCCTACGAGCGTTTCTAGCTGCAGGAGTCGACCCGAACTCTTTCGGCACCGGCGGACGTCGCTTGCTAGGTACGGCTATTTGGTATGGCCGACTTGACGCTATGAGTGTGCTTTTCGAGTATAAGGTTGACATAGACCTACTCCTATATCAGGACCCTCCAGAGGGGACCTTGAATATCTCGAGTGCTATACGCTACGCTTGCGCCTATGGAATGTGTAGTATCGGTATTCATATTAGCTGGGAAGAAGAGTTTGATTATGAAATTGATCTTATATCGCCACTTCTTCATGCGGGGTGTAAACTTGATGCTATAGGCTATGAAGCGATACGTGAGAGGCGTGATCTCTGCCAAATTCTACAATTATCAATCGACCATGGATTCATGCTAGAGAATTTAGTTCTAGAGGACTCGGATTTGTTATATCCAGCCGGCGTGGGTTATCCTTCCCTCAATTGTGCTTTCCTCGGCTTTGCCCATGATCTGACGGGTCAGGAAGTTTCTCCAGTCGATAGGATAAGTTGTCTGACTCAACTTCTCGCAAGGCAGCCTCAACTATTAACTGACGAACTATACAAAGCCACCGGCGACTATACCCTCCTTCATGGTTGTATAACAGGGAGTATTTGGGAGGGTGTGTTAGCCCTACTAGAGAGCGGCGCCGAGGTCGGCAAGTCTTGCCCCTGTTTGGATTTTGAGGGAAATGAATTAGAGGTAGTGGAGTTTTTGGAAGTCTACTTGGCGGCACGGAGATCGTCTGAAGATGTGAAACTCATATACCGGGAAGTGGAGCTGCTGGAGGATCTGAAGATAAAGTCTCGCCTCGAAATGAGGCTCCAGTTGACTTATTACAGTTTTTAAGGGCAGGGTTTGACAGATAACAAGGAAAGCCACCTGGTTATGGAATGAATTTGGCTCAGGCTTGTTCATTCGATCTATATGTTGTGTTTCTTCATCCCCTGTTCTCTTTGTTCTTCGGGCTTTTGTAAAGCTCGTCATTCAGTTATGACTGAATGAGCTCCGAGCATCACCCACAGATATAGGAATGCCCGATATAACGACCACTCTTCCAAGGATGTATGGGGCCAACTACCGGCTGGGACTAAGGACCGAGTAGGCCCCCGTTGCCTACAAGAAGGAGCGGTCTTGAATCCTGATTTTGTCGAGCGAGAGGGATCGGAGGCGGACTCGGGGTCAGAGTGGGAGGATAAGGCACCCTAAGGAGGCGAGCGGAAGGCGCTAGAAGTGATAGACACCTGGGCCGCACCCTATCCCATACCTCCGGGGTTCGTGGCAGCCAGAGCTCCGCAATAACCCAAGGAGGAGTGATCTGGCACGGTTCGATTTCATGTCTACGGCACCTGGCGGCAAACGGCACCTCCGCGGCGTTGATATACACCACCGGTTTAGTTTAGGCCCCTGCCGAAATCAAAAACAATTCTTGCTGCAAGGCTCTTCATTCAGTTGCCTGTTTCTACCCTTTGGGTTTCCTTTGTTTCCTTCTCGGTTGAGCCGGTCGATTTTCTCCATTTTCCCGGGGGCTCGACATCTGGTGCTAGTCGACTCGTGCTCGGTTTTGCTGCAAGACTGGTACCGGATACCGAGTGACTTGCAGAAAGTTGTTGCTAGGGTCGGGACGAAAGCCGCGGGCGATTGCTCTGTGAAGCGCAGATTTCAACGCTTCCAGGTGGCCCCGGTAGCGAGTTCCCTCCAGGACCTCTAAGGAGACCTCAAACCACTGTACACCCAAAAGCTCCGGTCGTGTAGGGGCATAGCCCAGGAATCTTCGACGTTCACCAGGTATTTCCAGTTCCCTACAGACTTGACGTAGGATTTCGTTATAGATATATATGTTACCATGGCCCGAGTCTGTATGGATACGGATATAAAGGGTGGCGCGGTGCTGGAAACGGCTATAGCTCACGAGTCAGTTGGAACTGTTTTGGCTCATCTGGAAACAGGACGTGCTAACTTTGGATAGTCGTACTGTCTATTTCTAGAAGGACTCATCGTGAATCAGGGTCGGGATAGTTTTCGTTTAGATAGATGGAAGATATCTGGAGGGCGATCGAAGGTTGAAGGTGGCTGATGAGGGAAAGAAACTGAAGCCGGGGGAACTGAAGGCAGTGGTATGTCCAGAGCACCTGTGGAAAAGCCTACCCTGGCTAAGGCAAACCACCAAACATCTCGCTAAAAGTCTCCAGACAAAAAGAATATCCCATGGAGTTTGATCCTTCCAGCACGCAGGAATAGTGGCTTCCCTTCCTTGGTTAGTTGGTAATTTATCATTTAGTTTCTAGCAACCTTATTTGATTGGTTTGGTCGCTCTGGATTGATTGCCCATACAAACGGCATTATTAGAACATTTTTGTTCCATCGTGACTATCATGCGCACTAGACAAAGTTATGGCCCTCATTAGCAAGCAGCCGGGCACGTGTAAGGAACATAAACCATTGAACGTAGGTATGTATTAGCAAAGAATAAGCTGCATGGGATGCAGCAGCTGGGTGTGGGCAGAAGCCCCTATTTATGATACTGCCTACTACCAACATGACTGCCAGGAATCGGGAGATTCCTGGCGGGAAGTTCCATACGGAGGGATCCTACCGGCAAGTTCCTGGGAACAAGCCGGAAGGTTCCTGACAGCACGAGAGAAGACCAGACGGGGCTTGGTAGACTAAACCATTCTACATTCATGGAGCAATGTAACTCCAAAAGCTTATAATTTGATGATATATGGACCTTTTTCTAAGCTTAGTTACAAAAGAGTCTGTTTATTCAACAAAAAGATTCATGCAATAGGTTTGACAGTACTTGCCCTGTCTCTTGTAATTTGAAAACTCAAAATACTAACTACATCTTAATAGTCTTACAGTAGCTTTCATTACCAAGCTAGTCTAGATCATCCAATTTCCGTGTTGACCTTCACAATGAGATTGATCGTTGAGAGAAAAATGATCTGCAAGCCTGCGGCTGCAGTAGGGTCGGTGCCATGTGGCACACTAGAGCCAATTCGGTCCGGCAAAAGTCAGCCCTCAGCCTTACTAAGAAGCTTAAACAAACCACTGCCAAACACAGCATCGAACGTTCTTGTTTCTTTCTTTTTCTTCCATTTTTTTTTAGAAAAAAAAATAATAATCTAACACTTTTGTGGAACGGTGCACTTCTTTTACATTATGGATTGGGAATACAGCTGTCGATTGATGTGTTTCCTGGTGTCCAAATACAGATCACCTTGATATATTTGTAGTTGTATCACTTCAGATAAACTAGATACGAAAGGAAAAAGCAAACAGCCAATAAACAATTAGTTTGTTTAAGTACCTACTACTACCTGCACTGTGTAGTGTCAGGCTGCCAGCACTGAAGCTGGCGGTGGGGAGACTGATGCCATCTGCCGAAAGCATTTGCCGTGTGCTTGGATGACGTCAGTCAACATGGCCCGTCGGGAAACGATTCAAGTGTACACAGCTCACGCGAGTTCGATTTTGAACACGCGTGAGTTCACCCCACTTTTTCCCGCTTCGACTCGCGCGAGTTCATGCTTATTAAGCAGAACGACTCGCGCGAAATTTTTGAATTTAGATTTCATGTATTTAATTAGTATTTTTTAAGTATCTTAATCACTATTTAAGTACTATCTAGCTACTTCCCAACTACTTCCCAACTACTTAAGAATATATAAGATATTCTCTAAAGAACCCTAATAATCCCTAAAGAACCCTACTACCCTACTACCCTACCCTACGTAATCCCTAATTACCCTACGTAATTCCTAATATATACTCTACAAGTACTTGCTAAGTACTTGGAAACTGTTTTCTAAGTACTTTCTATACTAAGTAGTTAGTAACTACTTACTAAGTACTTGTAAAATGTTGAAAAAGTTCGCGCGAGTCGAAATTTTGAGACTCTCGGGTGTGGGTCACGTGATCCACTAGCGCCATTTTCGACTCGCGGCACTAAAAAACGGGCCTATCCGAGCTGCAACCTGACGATTCAACGCTCAATACTCTGCTGTAGGACTATGAGGTTGTATATGGGTTATTCACCAGTGTCTGGAGATAGATAGACGAAGCAAGCAAAAGAGCGCAACTAATCATATTCTTATATTGAAGCGACAATCGTTAGTCGGCAGGGTAAGCAACTGAAATAAGATAGTGATTCCGGCTTGTCCCGCCCGGATAAAAGCATAGTCCAACTCCAACCACAAACAACGATGCTGCCGTGGACGGTACGGGGAAGCCAGAGACTAGAGACCCTGCACTGTCTGCACATATATAGCGGCACCCGAAGAGCGTTACTCAAATCCCCGACTTTCAATATCCCACGATTCTCAACCCAAAACCCCGGACTGAAAATGCGTCTCCCATACGCCCCCACCGAACCTGCCTCTCCGGACGCGGACACGGCCGATATTTACGCCCGCATTGCTGCCCGCCGCCATCCCCGCCCGCTCATTCCCCTCGATCTGTCGCTCCTGCACTCACCACCCGTCGCGGACGGCTGGAACAGCTTCCTCGGTGCCATCCGCACGCGTACGATCATCGATCAAGGGTTGCTAGAACTGGCTGTGTGTCGCGTGGCGGTTCTCACGAATGCCGTTTACGAATGGAACGCCCACGCCCCGCTCGCTCTACGCGGGGGGATCCGGCCTGAGGAGCTGCAGGCCGTGCGTACGCTGTCTTCGGTGGCTGTCGGCACATCAGAAGAGCTGGCCGCTAGTATTGAGTCCCTGGGGCGGAGTTCGTTGACTACGCGGCAGCGTGCTATCGTTCAGTACGCAGATGAGATGACCCAGACGGTGCGGGTGCAGGACGCCACGTTTGCGCGTTTGCAGGACGAGGGGTTTTCGGATCGAGAGATCGTCGAATTGACGACAGGCATCGCGGGTTATAATTGCGTGAGTCGCGTGTTGGTGGCTCTCGATGTCGGAGAGAATAACGGACGCGAAATGAAGAGTGTGGATGAGCTAGTGGCCCAACTAGGCCGTTGATTCGGGCGTTTACTTCCACGGTCAGAACTATCGGACGTCAGTTACAAATCTCATGGTCAGGACGCTTCCAGTTTTACGAAAGGAATTTATGATGCAGCGAGCGAGACAAAAGACATTGGCAGTAAATTGTGTTACAAAGCTAAAAATAAATTGGTGAATTCGCACGTGAGCGCTCGGTCACCTGTGCAGTGTGATGCTTTTAGCACGAGGGGCACCGCCGCACTCATAAGTAGCCAGCATGGTATGATGATCCAGAGCCATAATCCCCGGCCAGTGGCTGGCATGCGGGCAGATGACAGTCGGTCGAGTCCAAGCGATCTGGCCGTTTTGTGGGGGTCCGGCAAAGACCACCTTGATGGCCGCGTGCTTGGTCCATTGAACTTGGGCCGAGTCCTCGTCGGTCATGAAGATCACCGCCAAGGATCCATCAGCAAACGAGGCAATTTGGGGAGATCCCGCATTGTGGCCCCGAGGAGGCACGTACACTTGATGCCGATGGCCCCAGGTGTACCCGTCGTCGTAGGAAATGAGCGCCTCCAGACAAAACGTGCCAGTGGTTGTCGTCTCAAATACCATAACCAAGGCTTCCCTCCCGTTGTCAAATGTTGGGGCAATCCCATTCATGCCATCCCGGAACAGATCCTTTTCCCCATGAAGGCATTGAGGGGGAGACCACGTCGCCCCCTGATCGAATGACCGCACTAGCATGGTGCACTGGTTGTTATGCGCAAACTCTTGCGAGTAGGTCAACTGCACCTCGCCTTGTCGACCCAGACGCATGAAAGGCTCCCAAATTCCAAGGGGAGCGCGCTTTTCGGCGGCCTGCGATACAAAGCGCCAGTGTCGACCGCCGTCTGTGGAACGACAAACCGTGATGCGGAAATGCGTTGGGCCGTTTGGCCCCCGGTCGTGGTTCCGAAACGCTGCTAACACGGTTGATGGAGCCACTTCCAGCAGGAACATGTTATCAACGTCTCCTTCACCCTGCGTGACTTCCCCGATATCCTCAAATGTCCGACCGCCATCAACGCTCTTGGAAACGCAGAGAATCCGCCGCTTGCCCTCGAAACGTGTAAAGGATCCCAGGATCGATCCGTCACTCAGACAGGCAAGACGGGGATACGTCCCGCGCGGATGAGGTGATAGAATGCGCTCATCGTTGTTGATGACCCGGTTGCCAGACAAACGATACTCCTGATGCGAAGGTTGAGGGTGAGGGGTCGATTGAGGAGGATGCTGATGTTGCTGCTCGTCCAAGCCGAGTGTTTTGAGAATTTTTTGACCGAAATGTCCGGGCATGATGAAATGGACGAAGAATAGTCGATTTAGAGTTGACTGTCGAGACGGGGAAGGATAAGGCAAGTAGAGAAGTAGAAATCGACCAGTCCAGAGTACGGAAAAGGTAAATAAAGATGGGGTGGGGTGGGGTGACGTCAGCCTGCGGAATGTTGCTGCCTGAGGACATGAGCTTATATAATTCACGTTCTCATGCCAAGCTTTAGCGGCTCGGGCGGTCAACTATGCTTAAGAGTTTACAACTATACCTTCATGTTGTCTAATACGCAAACTTCGCTCATGTGTATCTCATCGATTCTACTGGCCGTTATGGAGGCATAAATTTGATAGATAGACCCCATAGAGAGATGTCCAGCCCGGCTTCGCGGACACGCGAGTAGATCGATTCTCTATATACAAACTCGGGACGGAAGGTTAACCTCCCTCCTCACCACCGTCCGGAATGTTGGCCTCATTATCAGAATCCGCCTCGACTATAGCCAAAGCTTCCCGCTGGGATTTGCGACCTGCTTGATCGTCCTCTTTGCGAACTTCAGCTGAGCCCTGCTGTATAGGCTTCGCGGCTGTAATGCCACCGGATGTGATGTAGAGGAATTCTTCCTGAGGAAAGTGATCGACATGGTTGAAGAAAGACGAGAAGCTATAGACTCGGTTAGCCAGGTCTAGACGAGAACGAATTCGAGTAGCTCCAACTTACGCATTAGACTCTTCCTCCTCACGGAAGATTCGGTCATAAATCTCGCGCTGCTTGAACTCGCCAATTTCCTTGGCATAGTTGTCGAAGTTGATGTGCTGTTTGTTTGTTTCACTAGCCTTTTTGTTATACACATCAAAGACCGGACGTTCTAGTAGAAGACCCAGACCAGGAGCTTTGGGAATCGCGATCTTCGTGGGGCCATAGCTATCCACGATGCGCTGAGGGTCACAGCCGCATCGTACAATCAAGGCGACCATGGCGACCATTTTGCGGATTTGATGCATCATGAAGCTTTGACCGTGTACCTTCAAGCTGAGCCATTCGGTGCCGTTGATTATGACAGGATTGGGGTCGACCTTGAATGATTTAATGTGACGTTTGGCGGAGGGGTCGCTGTGCATCTTTTGGATGGTGTAATTGTAGAAATTCCTTGTGCCGACATACTTGTCTAAAGTTTCTTGTATGCGGGCCATACGAGCGGCAGGAATGCGATAAGCCCGCTTGGCTGTGTTGTATGCTGCCTTGACAGCCTTGACGGTCTCATAGATCTCTTTTCTCTGAGCTTCCTGGGCCTCATCAAGTTCCATATTTTGGCCCTGCTCGTCTGGGTTTTCTGTTGCTGTAGACATCTCGGGGTTGGTGCCATTCTCAGGTGTCCCAGTCGACTGCGTAGCATCCTTATCAACTGACTGGGCCTCAGCAGATTTTTCTTCGTCAAAATACAGCGCCTTTTGCACGAGTTTACGAATGTCCTCGTTGACCTTTTCGAGAATAGGTCGAACGTGCTTCTCATCGGTCTCAGCCCAGTAGTCTGCCACTTCCGCCTGGCGAGTGGCCAATCCCTCCAAATCTCCGTATTTCTCGGCGATTTCCGATACTTTCTTTCCGAGGTAGGTACTGGGATGTGGCGGCAGGAAGCAATAGGACGGGATGAGATATTCGTAAATTCGGGAGTCGCACATTTGGTAACTGCTGAACGATTTGTTCGCAACTAGAATGTCCCAGATGCGAATCTGCGAGCTGAGCTGCTCGTTGATTTTTTGAACCGTAGCCGGACCCTCCAGAATCATCTTCAGCGAGACGATGTTACCGGCAGCATGGACGCCCTTGTCTGTGCGCGCGCATCGAACCAATGACGATTTCTTCGGGTCCGCGGCGTTCGCTTTAGAGATGGCCCCGGCAGCCACAAAGGCGGCGAAAAGCTCTCCTTCGATGGTTTTCTCGGTATCGCTCCTAGTAAAAAGGGGGAACATGTGAGTCGCGATATGATTGAGAGGAGAATAAGAAGGAACGCGCGAAATCCATACAATTGCATGCCCTTGTAGCCTGTTCCGGAGTACCCCAATAGCACGGCAACCTTCTTTTTCGGGCGACGTTGCTCATTGTCGATGTCTTCCTGGGAGAAATGGGTGGCATAAACCGGGGTTTTAACGTCCTCGCCATTCTCGATTTTCCGTCGTTTAGCCTCGACCTGCTGTTCGTTTCGCGCTCTCTTGTCTATTGTTTGCCGGCTTGCTTGGTTAGCTCCAGGCGGTCGCAATTGGATTCTTCTGCATCAACATACCTCCACTCTGCCCTTCCCATATTCCTCTTCTTAGGCTTTCGATCAGCTTCTCCGGATCCTCCAGCTCTTCCTTCGTTATTGTCCATGGCGACCGTGGGCCTCGTTGCCAATATTGACGACAGGACGGGATATGTCGTTGCAAATGCGCAGCAAGGATAGATGGGCGGCGACAATTTTGCCCTGCAAAGATTCTGTGCTTGCAAGAGCTGTGAATACCGGCCGAATATTGACGCAAGAAGACGGACGGGGGCATAGTCGCTCTCCACTTTTGGGGATTTTTTTTTTCTTTTCTTCTCCTCTTTTTTTCGTCCTAGTGTTCTAACCCGATGAAGGAGCGGTGTGACCTTTCTGCCACTTCATCTAATCGGTGCTTAGGTGCCTCAGGCATGGTTTTGCGGGACAACGAATAATGATAGTAGTATTCACTCCAAGATTCATTGGAAACGTGTCTCAGCCAACAATTCATGCAGCATATGGATTACCTCTTGTCTAGCTTTGTATTAATCTTAAGCACCAAATAATAATATCATGATACCTTCTCTCCGACAGGCCAGTGTGATCTGCCCGCCAGAGCTTGGCTGTTCCGGCGTCTTTCAGCTAAGTCAAATCTGCGTGGATATGGCAGTGCTAACTCATTATCAGCAGTCAATCAATCGAGATCAAAGTCCTTGACGCTACGGTGATCATCGTTGAATACTGCCATCTTGCACTCGTCCTTGTCCCCCTAGCCAAGCCTGCATCACAGGGATAACGGCGCAGCAGCTCGTTATTGTTTGCTACTATTTGGGAACACCGAAAGATCAGCCATCTCCATGACCGAGCAAGTAAGCGACCTGAGATTGGCCGAGACCCACCGCTGGTTCAAAAGTACGTACGAAGTAGCACGAGTGCCGTGACAAGGCTAGCCACAAAGTGGGGAAGACTTGGGATTATCTCAGGCAAATTAGAAGGAGAATAGGAAACCTAGCAGCCAGTACCACCTTGGGTAGTAGTACATCAAGGCCTAGGGGCCCTCTCTTTGTGAGCACCTTCAACTATTGGTTGTGTGGTTACGTCCCGGTTGGGAGTCATTTTTGGGCATGCGGAAAACCTCCAAATCAAGTGGTTGAGGGAGGGGAGGGAGCGAGCTTCCATGTATCTGTCCCACAAAGCCTGCACACCCTCACCAGTCCTCCTGAGATGCGACTATGCTCACGGAATCCGACCGAATCTATCTGCTAGAAGCCGTCAGCAGTGCCCAAGGAATTCCTCCAACACTGCATTCGACTTGCAAAGTTCCGTCAACCAGATCATGATCCCGCTTCATATCGGGATAGGTGCAGATGGAGTATGCAAGTGATACTGCTCCTCTCATGGCGTCAGCCGGGGAGAATAGTCACTCAGTTCGGAAACCCCTCGCTCGCAGAAATTCGAAGATTTAATGGCGCATCCACAACTTCGTCACGTTGTAAGAGCCTGGAGGGAAATGCGTAAAATGAGTATCATAAGAGGAACGGCAACTGCAATGACACCTGAAGTGGTATGAATGGTTGATGAGCTCTCTTTTGTGGCCGTCGACAGTTTCGGTGTCTCCTACAATGCACTCATCCACGGTTTCATCGTCTGGTTGTGGAAGATCCTGGTATCTTCATAAGAACTGGTGTTTCGCACCTTTTTGACCGCGAGATCCTGGTTCGAAAATAAAAGATATTTCAATCAAACTAATTGTAGAATTATTGCTATAGATAGATTACCATTAGGATAATTACTTTTTCATAAGGTTCTTGATCAGTTTTGTTGCTGCATCTGTCTTTGATCACTACATGAGTCTCCATACCGTACGATCAAACCCTCCAGCCATCTCTGGACATTATCTGACAGTGAAAATAGGGGCCCGGTCTTGTTATGCTCGGTGGACTCTATTGAAGCAGAGACCTCGAGGAATGCATGGTCTTCACACACATTAAAGTATTCTGCGTGGCCGTACTTGTCCATGCAATCAATGCATAAATCAACGTCTGGGCAAGTTTTGCAAACAAATCGAGGACCCTCAATCCGATCGATATGCTGAATGTTACAGGCCACTTCGTGATGTACAGATCCGTCTTCGACCGGTGGCGATATTTGTTGCCGGAAGCTCATGAGAGCCCCGTCCAGATCTTCTAAAAACATCAGGCAGTGGCCCAATCCATGAAAGTAAATAGGGTCCTTGCTTGACTTTGAACTCAAGATCCTCTTCGACAAGTCACACACAGATTGCTTTAAGGCACTCGCTTGGATCTCCTGAGGAGTGGGCGCATGCGAAGAACAGATTTCCTTGAATATGTCGGGTTGATTTTGAGGATCAGCACGAAGCCAGTCGACACTACTTCTTCCGTACCCGTCCAGGGTGTGAGGGTCTGCGCCCCGTCTGAAGAGAAGTTCGGCCATATCCAGGTGTTTATAATGAATGGCCCCATGGATGGGGGACTTCCCAAAGCAATCCTTTTCATTGATCAAAATATCGACCCTCTTCAAACGTTCAACAAGGTGAAACTTCCCGCACTCTGCCATAAGATGGAGTGCATTTCGGTCATACCTGTCACATCTGGAAGGGTCCGCGCCATGCTGGAACAGAATCCGCACAATTTCATCGCTTGAAAGCTCTATAGCAGCTTGGAGAGGAGATTGGTACTCCTCTATTGTGGTGGGATTGGCTTCCACGCCGTCTTTCAACAATGACTTGACAACTTCGTATTTTTGGCGTCGAACAGCTTCGAGCAGGGCGCTATCCCTCTGGACTTTGGTCATGGCACCCGAGCTTAAGAGGAGCTTGACTACCTGGTCATGTCCCCACCTTGCCGCTTCCATTAAGGCGCTTGGGGCTGCTTCGTCTGGCAAAGCTTCACCCAGGTTGACCCCCTCTAGCAGAAGCCACTTGATAAAACGGACTTGCCCATGCTGCGCGGCGTACGTCAGAGGCGTTTCGTTGTATTTGTTTCTGGCCCGGAGGTCTGCCCCTGCCCTCGAGAGCACACCGGCAACCCCCTCATGTCCTCCTATAGCGGCATAGTGCAACGCAGTGTCTCCCTTATCGTCCTTCGTGCTAACCTGCGCACCCCTGGAGATAAGGCCTTCGACCATCTTAACGAGATTTGCAGCGGAGGCCTCATGTAAAAGAGTACTTCCCGGGCGCGTATATACCCACGAATTTCCGTAAATCTTCTGATGTATACTCAACCATTGGTCCATCATCTTCTGCAGGGCCTTGGTTTCGTCCTCTAGATTCGTAGACTGGTCGGCCATGGCCTTTTCCGCGTGGTAAAAAAGATTGTTGGCGCTATACTCTATGAGAGGGATTTCCTCCAAGAGCTCCTCTCTCTCATATCGTTCCAGTCGTATTTGGCCAACTTCTGTGACCAGATAATTCAAGCACGACCGATAAAGTGTTAGGTGGTGTTCGGGTTGGAGGTCGTGGCTTCTTTCAATCGCAGATCTGGGGACTGCTCGAGCCGCCAACTGATCGAGGCCTTGCGTCATGACGAAATCCTTGACGGTCTGGTGGATGGGTCGGACAAAGTCTTGGTCTCCCGGAATGATTTCCAGTAGACCCCCGGACCATGCATTGATCTTTGAAGCCATCAGCCGGTTATCTTTCACAAGTCTGCAAGGTTCATTCCCTATGCTTCCCTGAGGTGTGAAGACGGCGCGACTTGAAGCCATTGCATACCGCAGCTCTGTCACAGACAGGGGTTGTTCAGCCAGAAAAACCCATTGGAATAGCACCAATGAATCGACCAAGTAACTCTCATCGATTACGGACTCAAGGATATAACCATAGGTATCTGCCAGCTCCCTGGGAGCCTGCCCTAGCCAAAGGTAGACCTCTTCCAAGCACTGGCCATCTCTGACCCGTTTTTTCACTAAGGGCACAATGAGGTCGACCCAGAGAAACACGCCATGGGCCATTTCAGTCAAGTTCAGAGCCAGGTTTTGCCACGCGTCTTGGTCTTTGGGGTAATTGTGGTCCACAAAACTCTTCCACCCGAGGCGGTCGTTTATGAAAAGCGCGATGTCGTGGCCATTATGGGCCTCCATGTGAATCTCAAGCCCCGGGGAATCAGATAATACGGGATAGTGACAGGAAGAGATACAGAACTTTGCTTTGGCATCAACTGCAGCGAGCTCTTCCTCTAGCTGATTGAAATACGTCACGAGCTCAGACGCAGATTTTTCTCCTGCCTCATCCAGTGCGTCTACGATGATTGTCACCGGTTTGCGCTGGGCGGAAGCGACAATTGCTTCCCGGAAATACCGTTCTAGCTCCGGCTGTTTCCATTCCCAGTTCTGCTTTCGGGCACCGACTGCGCTACCCTTTTGCAGATAAACCTGTCGCATCATATCGCAGACGTAGGAATCCTCGCGACACAATTGGGCTAGCAGGGACCGAAGCATGCCCAGTGGTGTACGCTGGAGTGCTTGGCCTCGAGCATTGAAAAAGAAATTGAGAATGACCCTCTCCTCGCGTGGTGTATGTTGCGGTCTGTCCCACAGAAAAGCCATCAATATGGGCTTCCCGGACCCCGGCTTTCCCTTGATCCACAAAACACCCCGAGTCTGCTTTTTCCAGCTCTGGAAAACATCCTGTTCTATGATCCATTCACAAGTGCCCCTGTGTGGGCGTCGAATGCTATGGTGGGTCTCGTGCATTTCTGCAAATGCGAGTGATCTTAGAAGATCTGTGGTGAATCGTTAGACCTGTGTTCCGCAGCACAAAAGTGATCACTCTGACTGACCGTTTGCATCGTCCCTTGTAGGTGCAGATGTGCTGGACATTGGAGAGGAGCTTATATTGACCACGACTGGCCCATGGAACGTCTGTGCACCCCCTTGATTCAAGACGAGTGTCTTCTCGTTGGTGAAGGTTGCACCAGCTGGTCCTCGTTTCTCCATGATGCGAGGGGGGTAAAAGATGCGAAGGAAGCTACACGGGGCGTGGTTCTGGCTGGGTCGGTCGCAAACGTGTCGCGGACTCGCAGCTAAGTCAGTCTGGTCTGTGTCAGGGGTTGAAGATCAGAGAGGGGGGGGGACGGCTCTTTTGCACCTTCACGTATTTTTGTAGCCAATCTCTGGGGTCTTTCGCTCAATCCCTGAAAGCTTCCTTCCTCTTCTAAACGAGATCTCTAGAACAGGTCTTCGGCGGAAGATTTGGTGGACTGCCTCAAGCATGAAGGTTTCCCATATCAAAAACTTACTTCTGGATTACGGAAACGACATCATCCATCATTAATACTCCACGTGTCATTCCTTCGTTATTAGCTACAGCCTTAGGAAAAATCTGCAATCTAAGAAGCAAACAGATTGCCCAACCGTCCCACACGAATTTGGGATACCATGGTAGACAACAAGTTACAGCGGCGCAGCATCTGGTGGTACAAACCGGGATGCTCATAGCAATTGGCTGGATGGCCCGATCTATATGCCAGTTGCCGCTTCAGAGCGGGTGAGCGAAGACTGCCATTTGCTCGTGGCACCACTTGTCTAGAGATGAACGTCGTCAGCCCAAGTTCAGAGACACCAGTCTTGTCCAGACCGGTCTTTTCTTGTCTCACTCGGGACAGACGTCTTTCTACTACCACACCCTGTACGATGAAAATGTCCGAATGACCATGTTTTGGACTGGTAACCAATGGATTTGGCTCTGGGATGTATTTTCCCCCTCATACGCCGGTTCTTTCGGCACAGTGGATGCGTTATACGGGGCAAATTCATAGATTTATCAAGCACTCAAGCACCGGGGCAGACATACCGGGCCTCCGATTCGTCAAACGCGACGAAGACACCAAAATAATTCGGACGTCGATGCTAAATCCTTCGTGTACCAGAAGTCGGGCACTCAAGCATTTAAAGCGAGTCCTGATCGCTTGAGAATTTCTACGTCTCCAAACACCACCATCTGCCAAACCACCACCACAACACTGCGAAGCAGATCTACCGTGATTAAAACACATGGACCCACGTGACTTTCATATCGCAATCATTTGCGCAGTGGATCCTGAATTTCGGTCAGCGTTAGCGTTATTCGATGAGGAATGGGGCGACTGCGGCAAGGCCGATGGTGACCGAAACACCTACCGGACGGGAAAAATCGGTCAGCATCCCGTTGTTATTCTGCCCTCTTCTGCGATAGGTAAAGTAGATGCGGCGAGCGCAGCTGCGAGCATATCCTCCAGCTTTCCCAATATTAATGTTTGCTTTCTTGTCGGTATCTGCGGCGGCGTTCCCAAGCCAAAGCAGGGTTCGGAGATCTTTCTGGGGGATGTTGTCATCAGTAACGGCATCGTTCAACTTGATTTTGGGCGGCTAGTCGGAAATCATATCGTCCGTAAGGATACCCTCCTGGATGTCCCTGGACGTCCATGTGGGCCCGTGCGGATGTTTCTCAAAGTGATCGAACAATGAAAGAACGCCCCGAGTTCGAAAGATCGATATCTGCGTGCATGCAAGCCCTCCACAGCAAAGCTCCCATGACGGAAATTGAACCGCCGGGGGAGGATGAAGCGTACCCCGCGAGCCATCGGCACATGCACCGCTATCCTCCCGCCGCCTGCTCGACGTGCGCAAGATGCAGAGAGTCAACTGACCTTCTTCCCTGTGAAAGGTCAATGGAGCAGTCTTGCGAAGAACTCCAGTGCAAAGTAGGGACAGAACCACGCTCACCTCGTCCCGAAAGAGTCAGAGCGGTGCATATAGGGCTCTTCGGAAGTAGTGACCAGGTAATCAGATCAGGAGAGTACCGCGATGCATTTGCGGACAGCCATGGCATCCTCGCCTATGAGATGGAGGCGCTCGGAGTCTGGGATTCTATCCCAACAATCATCGTCAAGGGCGTTTGTGACTACGCCGACAGTCACAAAAACAAGAACTGGCAGAACTTTGCCGCTTGCAGGGCCGCTGCTTGCGTCAAAACTATGATTCCCATGTGGAATAAGACGAGGTCAGATGAGGAATCAAGCCACGTAAGTAAACCTGAGGGATCTCCTATTTTATTTCACCTGTTCCTGAAGCCTCATTGTTCATCGGATAGTTGCTAACAGAGAGAAGCCAGGGGGAGGGTATTCTTTTAGTAATACCAATTCCCGCATTTTTAATCAGGGCGGCAATGCCAGCTTTTCTGGCTTTTTTGACCTCAATATGCAATAATTTTCCCTTTTCTCTTTCCCCATTTCCCCAATCATACTATGTGATAGTCTTACCTTCCTGTTGTTGCCCATTCAATTGCCAAAGCTCGGGCCTGAATCTTCATACTGATTGCTCAATACCTCTTCATCAAACTTCATAAGCAATTCAATTTGTAGAACTAGTAACAATGCACGATAACTGTAAAAGCGTACGACTGGACCCTTACAACAAAACGACTAACCAGCTATGGAAGCAACCACAGCCCGTTTCGATTGAACATAGTCGGCTTTGCTCGAATTGGGCACGCACTGGAAATGAAACAGAAAGTTGGATCTGTAGTGGTCCTGATTTTACTTTGCGTTCCTATTATAATTGCAACTCCCTCTTCCCTGCAGTACATCTAATCGTGAATTCGAATCACAAGAAAGCGCGTGTGGTTCAGAGATACCAAAAGCCAGCGGGGGAAGGACATAAAGGACATACCAACGCCGGTCTCCGGCCACGACAAGTCTCAGTTATCGTTAGAAATTCATTGCGAGACGTCTAGCCGTCATTTTCAGTACTTCTCCCTGAATCTGTCTTTCATAATTCGCTCCGTTCGGACGCTCGCGCGAGAGTTTGTCAGTCATGACACAAATATCCTCTGCGTCGGGTTGGAAGGCCGGATGTTCGAGAATCATCCTTGCGGTTTCAATATCAGCGCGAACAAAAGCGGCTATCAGCGGTTTTTCAACCTTTCCCGAGTACGACATGCTAGCAGTGTTGAGGTCGACTTGGGGGTGCGCCAAAAGTTTCACTATGATAGTGCGCCTGATGCTGTCAGTCTCGCGAATACGTGCGGGGTTTGCCTTCCAGCCATGGATTTCGTGCCCTCGTCTAAGATCAATGGCGTCTTGTAGCTCTCCACCACGTAGGTCAATTCCTCGGTCGAGGAAGTAAATGGCGTTCCTCGGCTCAATGGGACTTGCCAGAACGTATTTGAGGACTGTTCCGTAGCGATCATCGCAGCTATTGAGAAGCTCCGGCCACTTTTCCAAGATCATATCACCTAAACACACGGTGAGCAAGTCGACGTTGGATGCCGAAAGAGCGTAGAGAACTGATAGGTCCCCATAATCAGTTCGAATCCTTTTGAAATTGGAACCATTCGCCAGTGCCTGTTCCAGGTGTTTCGCGGGATTCTGGTGGTCAAAAAGCCATCTCCAAAGCTCGATACCCTCGGCCTTGGCTCCTGCGTTAAGCAGTGGTTCGATCATGCAATTGCTGGGGCCCGTATAGCGAACTGCATAATGAAGCGGGGTTGTGCACCAATACCAGCACCCACCGCATGGATCAGCCCCATACTCGAGCAACAGCTTGGCGGCGTCTACCCGTTGATACATTAGCGCCTCAGAGAGTAGCGGCAATCGATTGGGAGTCATCAAAGAGGGACTCATTCCAGCTTCCAGAAACCCTCGGAGAGCACCAACGCGCCCCCTATCAATGGCTATTTTCATCGGCGATGTAAGGGGCAAGAAAGTCTTTTTACCAACATAACTAAAGTCCGTGCATAAAAGTTGCCCTTCTTGTATTCTTCTGTCGTGCTCGGGGCCTGTTGGAGACCAAGCAAACTCCCGTGCTCTCTCCTTAAGAATATCTCTCAAGACCACGGTGAGGCTCTTGCAAGTGCGAGAGAATCGGCTGATAGATATGTGATCCATGTAATCGACACACATCAAAAGGAGCTCAACTGGAAATTTGAAGATAGCCCCTTTTTGATACGGAACTTCCGCTCCCTCTGGATACTCAGAATGTGGCGACATGAGGGCAGATCTTTGCAATCTGATACAACGAGGCTAGTTACTGCACCAACACACGTTCCTCCTGTCTTCTCGCCCTCTTTATATACCCATCTTCGAGGCAATGGAAGTCCCCTTCAAATTTGACATCCAAATCGCGTGACCCTGTATTCTGCACCGAGACCCGAGGATTCCCGCTGTCGGCGTCAACATTTGGAACCGCGATGTTCATGATTTGATGAAAAGCAGTGCTCTTCCCTCTTGGGCCCTAGACCGAAGATGACGGACCATCGGATTATCGGCTTTGCTGTAACTGATATGTGTCCCTATTTTTTGTTATTGACGGAACCTACCTGATAGATAGTTTGACGCTCTTTGTCTCCCAAGGAACCTCTCTATCTATAGAAAAAGTGCATATTATAGTTAACTACACGGTGTAGTTAGACCAGCCTTGGCGATGACTAAACAGGACTCATACCCCGCCATCGCACACTGACCAGCGCTGCTATCCTTCACTGTCTCCTCTTCTCATCATCATCCTCTCCTCTCTCTTATACATCGGTGTCTATAGCTCACGTGATTATCCTCTCTACGGGTATACTCCAGATAGGATTTCCCGACTTTGATGGCGATGACTTCACCCGCCCACGCATCGGCTATGTTGTCGGCAGTTCGTCGGCCTTGAACTGATCCGGGGAAGTGCAACCACCAAAACGATCTCTCTTTATTGTAATTACTCGGTCAATCTCTTCCTCGTCTTCCCAGACTCGATCCAGGCTCTGCTCTACTGTTCTCTGAACGAAACTTCCTACATTGTCTACCAGGTAGAACGAAACATCATGGCGACCCCCGGCCTTCTCTATGTGACGATGCACCCCCGCGATTCGCTTCCCGCGGCCCAGTTCCACGACTGGTACAACTCCGAACACGGTCCCTTGCGTTTGCGCCTGCCATTCGTTACCAATGGCTTCCGTTATCGAGCCACCGATGGCCTGGAGCCCGAATGGGTAGCACTCTATGATATTACGGACATGGTTGAGCTGACCCGCGAGACCTACCTGGCTCTCCGTGGGGACGGCATCAAGACCCCGCGCGAGAAAGCCACCATGGCCCAGATCGCCGTCGATCGTCGCCTATACGACCTTCTCGATGATCAAAAAGTCTCCGACTACCAGCCCCTCGAAACTCAACCCGATTCCTCTTCCGCCGGCTCCGTCCTCGTTGCCATCTCGCTGACCGTGCCTGCCGACGCCGCCAAAGAGGGCGAACTGAACCGCTGGTACCGCGAAGAACACATCCCAATGCTGGCCCGCGTGCCCGGCTGGCGGCGCACTCGTCGCTTCGTCACCGCCGCCATCGATCCCAACGCCCCCCGAGAATTCCTGGCCCTACACGAGTACAGCGCAACTAATGGGCTGGGAGGACCTGAACACAAGGCCAGCATGGATACCCCCTGGCACCATCGCCTCATGAACGAGGCGGTGACCGACAAGAAACGCCGCGTATACCAATGGACCTACACCTTTGGCCCGGCACCTCGCGAGCTCTCGTCTCTCGCCTCCCCCGATGTGGGCGGACCTTGGGCCTCCAACGACGGTCGCACGCGCACCTTACCGTCGACCTCCCGCCCGGCTGTCGAATCTTTCGTCACCACCCCCGACGGCGTAGACCTTCCTTACCGTCTCGAAGGAAGTACGGACCCGCAGAGCCCGGTGATCGTGCTTAGTAACTCGATCCTGGTCGACTACACCATCTGGGACGGCTTCGTCGACGCCTTCTTTGCCAACCCTAAGAACCAGTCTTTCCGCATCCTCCGCTACCTCACGCGGGGCCGTCTCCAGGAATGCGGCACGGCTCCCGTCAACATCGACCTCCTCGCGTCGGACATCATTGCGCTCCTCGATGCCCTGCGCATCCCCGCCGCCACGCTCATCGGCGTGAGTCTCGGCGGCGTGACGGTGCTCAACACCGCCCTGCTCCACCCCTCCCGCATCACCCGATTCATCGCCTGCGACACCAACAGCGCCGCGCCCGAATCCAACCGCAAAGCGTGGAATGACCGCGCTGCGCTGGCTGAAAGCGACCGCGCCGTGTCGTCTACCACGGGGGAGCCGATCATCGGCGAACAGCTGGCCGAAGCCACCACGCGGCGCTGGTTCGTCTCGGAATCATACACCACGCAGCCCGCGGTGCCGGCCCGCGTCAAGGAAATCGTCCGCACCAACAGCCTGCACGGCTTCCGCACCGCCATGCAGGCGCTGTGCGCGTATGACGTGCGCGACCGCATGGCCGAGGCCCAGGTTCCCGGTCTCTTCGTGGCCGGAGAAGGCGACGGCGTCCTGCCGCAGACGATGCAGCAGATGGCCAAGGACTTGAAGGGCGACGCGGAGCTGAAGGTGATTCCCAAGGCGGGACATTTGCCGATGGTCGAGCAGCCGAGTGCGTTTGCTGAGGTGGTGAATGGGTTTTTACATGCTTAGTTCGATAAGATTGATTGATTGATTTATGGACTCGATTTATTATTCTTTCTTTACATCCTTTCGGTCTTCGGAGGTTATTTATATCCCTGTAGATCCTCTCGTAGTTCCGACCACCATCATACAGTTCGTCCTAGGCTCAAAGTCCGTTATATATACCTACCCGTCCACCATTATATCTATCTCGCCACGAAACCTCCTTAACCGTCCCAAATTAACCGTAAGAAAAGTCCCTTGAATATACTCCATATAGTCCATTCGGTTGCCAGGACAACCACGACACCCGCCACCAGATACAGCCAAAATATATCCGAGTGCAGCCAGGCCCGTCAGGCACAACTACTCCGTAATGGCCTATCTACCACCTACCTACGTATGTACGTACGACAAAAGTGAGTAGATCATCCCCACCTGCCCACATCATCCACGAATTGAAGAAGGGGTAGTAAATCAGTACATTCATCCATGAATCCGTACAGAAAAATATACTATACGCAGATACCCAGGTAACATTAATGTTTTGCCGAAACTTTGGACATAGGTAGAGAGCAACGAAGACCGAGATATATATGTACATAAACATGAAAGATAACCAAACGGAGCCGAGCATGAGTCTCACCCCTGTACAAGGATACCCACGGTGGACAACTACATTCGAAACCAGTTCAGATCTCAGGAAAGAGAAATCCTAGCCTCTCAGAAAGGATAATACAAGAACGAGAGCAGGACTAGAGTTCAAGAAAACAATTGAATTATTGACTCAGGAAAGAAAGAAAAGGCGCTATGTATCATTAATGTACGACAGAATTCCAAGGGACAATCAACGGCAAGGCTAGGGACGACGACGAAAAAGAAAGAGAAAGAGAAGAAGAGCATGCTGTGGATGCGCAAGAGAGATGAAGAACAAAGAAAAAACAAAGATAGAAGGGACAACGCGGGAAAAGCTGACAATTGTACATCAACGTCGCAAGTAGAAGGGAAATGAGTTAAAACATCAAGGAGCGAGCCTTGTTGCGCCGAGCATCCGCGCTGCGAACTTCGGGCTGGGACTGGGTGTGGCGGTGACGAGGCCGCGACGAGGCGGGCGGACCCGGAACGCGGGAGGCGGAGGAAGGCGGAGGCGGAGGCGCGTCTTTGCGTGGGGGCGGAGGTCCGCCTAGGGACGATGTCGACGTCGACGCCTCCGGCTCCCGCCGTGCCTTGACGCTGCGTTCATGCTTCAGCACGAAATCGGTCCATGGCTTCGTCTGATTGCTGCCGCCCGAGCCTTTGCCTACAGCATCGGCTAGCACTTTCATCCATCCGTCCTTTTCGGCTGCGCTGTCGGCATAGAAGTCAATCACCTCGCCGTTGCCGAAGCGAATCCGGAATCCCTCCTCCACAAACATGTATCCCTCCTCTTCTTCGGCGAAGGCGGATTTGCGGCGTCCACCACCGCGCGTGGTCGTCTCCTTCTGGGTCAACGAAGACCGGTCGTCAATAAGCTTTGCGGCTTTCGACAAGTTGATCGTGGCACGAGGCTGTCGCGTGGTCTCGTGGAACGCGGTGAGTTTGGACCCCTGAAGCTTAAAGAAACGACGCCGCCAGTACTGTGTGTCGCACAAAAATGTTAGTCACAACGTCCAGCCTGAGGGGTGAGGGTCACACAGGGGCAAAGGAACTTACCGGACAATCTCCTCCCTGTTGGGAAAGGAACCCTTCGTAGCTGCGAGCCGAGACACTTTCGGCATCTCGCATTTCCCGGATACAAGCGTTCATGCTCTTGGGCATGTCGTCGTCCTTGGTGCCCTTGGGGCGGGGAACAAACAGTAGCTGCAGCTCCAACTTGCCGATCTTGTAAGGCGGTCGACGCTGAGATGCCGAGCTGGCGGTGCTCTTTTTGCTCTTGACGCTACTCGGCTGCTCCTCAACCGCCCATTCGTTGAAGCAGGCGATATCGACGGTGTACGGTCGCCCGAAAGCATGTTTTTCGTGGTCGCTGAGAGCGACGTATGCGCGAGCAAAGCTGCCGTCCCGGGCGATGAGACTCCTTAATCGATCCCACACCCCGGCGTTGGCATCTTTGCCCTTTTGTTGCTGCGAGGCCAGCTGCTGCTTCATATCAAGCTCCTTACGCTTCCGGGGCGACGCGAAAACTCGACTAAACGTCGATGCCTTTTGCCGGGTTGGCGAGGCCTGAGGGGCCGGCTCCGGGGTGCGGAAGCGCTCGTCATCAACCTTCATCTGCAGAGTAAGCTGGAATTCGAGATCATTCTGGACGATGAGTTCGAATTCTTGTCCGATCGGAGCGGACTTTCCGAGTTCCAGCCACGCTGTGGTCACGCAGTGCAACCCGTTGTCCAATGTCAGAGAGAAATACGATCGCTCGCCTGCCATTTGAGTTAGTTGGTGCATATGGGCAAAGGGTTGAGGACACCTACCTCGCGGAACTGGCAGATCCAGGTACTTCAGGCCGACGACCTTAACAAAAAGACGACCGCGCTCTTCGCCTTCTTCCAAGGCTCCGTTTAGTGCAGGCTCGCTTTCTTCGATAGTGGCGGGCGTCTCTTGAACGTTACTCTGCTGTCCGGGGAGAGGAGGCACGGGGCCTGAGACGGGCTTCTTGCGAATGGCGCTCGAGGAAGTGCGGATGCTTGAACGCCGGGGCTGACCATTCCAAGGGACCGTCGTCCACGTCTGCTGGCTTGCTTTGCGCGGGGAGGGTGCGGGGGATCTGGCGGCACGGGCATCGCTGGGACCTTCGGCGGGGACAGGGGCAGGCTCTTCTTCGGGGCGACTGCTGGCGATGATCACCTTGGTGTTCTGTCGCATGAGATAGCCTCTCTGTTTGGGGGGTCGGGGGTCAGCAAATGAAACATGGGGTTCTTGGGCCTGGGGAGGTCTCGTTGCACGAGAATACAATTGGGACAGGGACAGCTCAAACGCAACCTTTTGGGTTTCGATCACTCGATCGAATTCTTTATCCAGGCCAAAACCAAGGCTCTCCTCCTGGATGCTGAACGGGATATCTAACTGCATCAGGCTACTCTGTCGCTGGGCAGCCTCCTTGGGTGCTTGGGGAGCGGCGAGGAGTCCTTCGGAGGGGGGATTGTTTTCGGACGGGTCAGCTTCCTGCTGCTGGGTGTGAGTGTGGTGAGGCATCGGTGGAATATGTTGCCCGCTGACTTGACGTCGGGTAGCGGCCATCGAGTCGACGTCCGCGGGGGTCAACGAGGGCCGTGTTTTGAGTCCGGCTCCGTGGGCCTTGATGGTTGCAACAGGGTCGGGGATAGCTTCGTCGGCGGGTGATACGTCGCGATCACTCTCATCGCCATTCATGGGATGTCTAATAACAGAGTCAGGGGTGGATGGCTCCGACACCTGATCATGGTCATCCTCAGGAGTCCTAGGCCGTTGAAGAGACTCTCGGAGAGCTGCCATCTTGGGTGCGCAATCAGCCTCGTTGGGGGTCAAGTCCTGGTGCTCTGGGCTTGCTGTCTTGTTTTCAGTCTGCTCGTTGCGTTCCCCTGGGACAGGGGTCGACTGTCCGTCAGATTGCGACCCGCGTGACTGAGTGAAGTCTTCAGGGGTTTGACTCGAGTATTTGTTCTCGCCATCAAGGACATGCTTGTCCTGCAAACTCTTAAAGGACGAGTCCTTGGAGGGAACATTTTCATAATAGTCGGGTATGTCATAAAGGTCATGGTCGGGTTCTTCTTGTTTGACAATAACGCTGTTAGTGTCGTCGTCATCATCATAGTCGTTATCGTTTTCAAGCGACGGAATTGGAACGTCGGGGTCATAATGCATGTATTCTTCGTTGTCGGACTCGATCTGCGAGGACGTTTCGAACGAGTCGTCCATAAAGCTCTCGCTCTTCCGGAGATCTCTCAAAATCGAATCGCGAGAGATGTGAGGCGGCGAGTATCTCCCCGACGCATCCTCTGCAGTTTCTTCATTCTCCTGATTTTCGGTCTCCTCATTGTCCTTTTTCTCCACGTGTTCAGCCTGGGGCTCCACCACGTTGGAGTGTCGCTCGTCATCTTCCTCAATCTGGGGCTGCTGCTGCTGCTGCTCCTCATCATGACCTTTACGTTCATTTTCCTGAATCATCATTAATCGGAGTCTGTCCTCCAGCGACATGGAAGGGTGGCTCAGGTCCGTGATGTCAGACTTGCTGTAGGTAGCTGGGCCAGGAGGGGGAGGCAGACCCCGTTGACTACCGCCGCCACTACCACGCTCAAATGCAGCGGCCAGTTTACCGGGAGACGAAGGGCGCGGGGAGAACGACGTCCGACCTGCAGCGGGCAACGGTGGTAACGGTCGGCGCTCCTCGTTCGAGTCTATGGACTCGACACGGGCATGGGTTGCTGGCAACTCCTGGCGCGATGACGGCCGCACATCACCACTCTCGCTCTCGTCCTCCGTGAAGGGGTCCTCGTCTTCTTTCACCAAGTCCTCGTTCGCGTTGGCTGGGCTCATGTAGCGCCAATCCTCGGGCAGCACGACGGGGGTCTTTTCGAGGTCCTCCAACGAGGCATCGAAGCTATCATCGCGGTCCATGGATGATTCACGGTCGAAACTGATATCGGCCTCGTCCTCTTCGGAGTCATAGCTGCCGTCGCGCGATCCTGATGCGATCGAGGATGGATCGGGGGTAGTCATCTCATATTCATTGACCTGAGGTGGCGCAGCATCGAACGTCACGCTCTTCTGGTATCGATTGTCGAAGTCCGACCAAATCTCGTTCTCCGGATCGAAGCCCATATCTTTAACACCGAAGCGGCTCGCTCTAGATAAGGAGGACTTGGCCGGGGGCACTTGATCCTTGCTAGGCGATGGTGGTCGGGGCCCAATCTGCTGGGCAGCATCTCGATCATGGGCTCCCTGCGATTGCTTCTGCGGCGACTTGCTCGTGGACAATGGTCGCTGGGGCACGTAAACCTGGGCGGGATCGTACTCTTGATTGTGGTCACGGAACATGTGGCTGTTCTTGACGCGCGACTGCCGCTTGAGATTCTCGAGAGAGGGCCGCTTTGACGGAGTAAAAGATGACTCCGGGTCATAAGGTGCCTGATTCTCCGAGCTCCTGTGGAAAGGAGAGCCAGATTCGCGACCTTGCCAGAAGAGACGCGGTGAAGCAGGGGCGTCGTAGGGCGACGACTCAATGTTTCTCGTTGCCTGCGTGGATCTCGTTAGTCAAGATGGTCTTTGTCTGCGCGTAAGCGACAGGGGAGTGATGCTCACTTTCATGGTTTGATTCCAGATCGGTGAATTTCTCCTTTGAGCCATGGGACTCACTTCTGATAATGGCCGCTGGCCGGGTCCAGAACTCATGTTGAGATTCGGGAGACGAGAAGAAATTTACAAACACAAAGACAAAGAAAACACACCGCTAGAGACGGAAAATAATTAGCACAGCTCGTTTCATCATCGCACAAGGATCGAAGTCCGTGGGCTCTTTCTCCCCACCCCCTTACTGGAATGTTGCGCATTACCTGTTTGGGATAAACAACAACAACAGAAGTTGAATGGAAAATTCGATGCGAAAAATGCCCGAAGAATTGAAGTCCCCAAAGTCAATCGGGGCAATTGGATGTGCGGAGGGGAAAAAGCAGCTCGTTCAGATCATCAGACAGAGGAAAACGGATACGTCACAAGAGGCAGATCATCTACAACGATGACCGATTCGTCAAGAATGTCTCTCTTTGTTTGGACCTGGTTTCACAGGATACAAGTGCGACAAAAGCGAAAGAATGTAGAAGGTAAAGAGAAGAAAAGGGAAAAGAGCAAATGGGAATACAACGAAGGGGAAGGAGGGTCAACAGCACGCCGTCCACCACCGGAGCGGAAACCAAGACAAAGGGGAGAAACAAACGAGGAACGGGACGTAAGGGACGGGGGGGGAGGAGGGAGGGAAGAGAAGAGGAAGGATGTTAAGTAAGTGCCGGGCGTGTGCGTCAGTTGAAACCCGTGGGCGCGTAGAAACCGGATGCCAGGCGACTGGAGCTGGCGATGGAGACAAGCGACGATGTTGACATTCGCCGGCGGGAGTCTCCATAGCAACCGCTTCCGCTCGAGGGCCTCGATGCCTGGGTGCCTGCCCGCTCAGGCCCCATCGCGGCTGCGGCTCCGATCGCTTTAGTCCCGGGTAGGCTTAGCGCGATGATCGCCCGCCAGCGTCACTTTTTCCGCTTTTTCTTTTCGGCTGCCAACTTTCTGGCCTTCTCCAGTTGCCATCCACCACCTGCCCTCCCACCCTTCTGTGGCATCATGAATCGATTCGGCAAGCTGTCTTTACAGCTGCCTCCTTCGGTATGCCTTTTCTGTCAGAGTCGAAATGCCTTCCTCCCGTCCGCTCTCGGCGCTCAGTCCGTTCGCACCATGGCTGGCGGTCGCCTCCGCCGCAGAGAAGTTGCCCGTAAAGCGCTGTCTGCCGATGTGGCCAAACCTTCCTTGAAACAGGATCGATCCAGGAACGAAAAACGTGGCCCCTTCGCCGGAATGAATCAGACCGAGGCTCGCTTTCGTGATGCTCCTCGACCGCGATCCGCCGCCGCCGTAAAACGCTCGGGGGAGCCCGAAAGCAAGAACCAGAAAAGCGACAGCCCGCTATACAAAGCCCTGAAGATGCAAACCACGTTGACTCCGATGACATACGGCCGTCGGACGGCGATCAAAGCGAAGCTCGCTGAGATCACCAGTTTCGACCAATTCCCTCTGCTGCCCGTTGTTCGACACTCGATTTTTTCCCAGGCCCTACCGGGTCTACTTGACGTCACTCCGACCCCGATTCAACGTTTGGCGATACCTGAGCTTCTTAAGGAAACGGAGGACGACGGCAAATCACGACGTAAGAACGATCTCGAGGCGCAATACGACCAATACCTTCTCGCCGCGGAGACCGGGTCCGGAAAGACTCTGGCCTACCTGGTCCCCTTGATCGATGCCGTCAAGCGCCTGGAGGCGGAAGATAAAGAGACCGAGAAGCTTGAGCAGGAGAAACAGGCGAAAGAAAGAGAGGAGCGGTTGAAGAAGCAGGCCTTCGACATCGAGCCCGAGCTTCCTCCGCTTTCAAATGCCGGCAGACCTCGCGCGATCATACTCGTGCCCACGGCTGAACTAGTGGCGCAAGTGGGCGTCAAAGTCAAGGCATTCGCGCACACAGTCAAATATCGCTCGGGCATGATCTCATCGAACCTGTCGCCCCGCCGGATCAAAAACATCCTGTTCAACCCGGATGGGATCGATATCCTCGTCACCACCCCTCACCTTCTCGGATCCATCGCCAAGACCGAACCCTACGTGCTCAGCCGCGTCAGCCATTTGGTCCTCGACGAGGCCGACTCGCTGATGGACCGGTCTTTCCTGCCGACCACCTCGGATATCATTAGCAAGACGGCGCCGTCACTGCGCAAACTCATACTGTGCTCAGCCACCATCCCTCGCAGTCTCGACAACCTTCTGCGGAAGCGCTACCCGGACATCAAGCGGCTTACCACGCCCCAACTACATGCCATCCCGCGTCGCGTGCAACTCGGAGTAGTGGATATTCAGAAGGACCCCTACCGCGGCAACCGCAGTCTAGCCTGCGCGGACGTGATCTGGTCCATCGGCAAGGCCGGCGACAGCGAGCCTGTCGGACCATTCGCGTCGTACATGGAGCCGAACGTCAAGAAGATCCTTGTCTTTGTCAACGAGCGCGAGGAAGCCGATGAGGTGGCCGAGTTCCTCCGATCCAAGGGCATCGACGCTCAATCGCTCTCTCGCGATTCCAGCGCCCGCCAGCAGGAGGAGACTCTCGCCGAGTTCACCGAAACGCCCCCGCCCCCGAGCCCGGAGGAGATCATGCTCGCTCAGAAGCGCCGCCGCGAGGAGAACGCCATCCCCTTCGAAATGCCGCGGTCCCCCACGTCGGACCGAAGCCGCCGTCTGCCCAACACCAAAGTTCTCGTCACCACGGACATTGCGTCCCGCGGTATTGACACTCTCGCGGTCAAGACCGTCATCCTGTACCATGTTCCTCACACGACCATCGACTTTATCCACCGTCTCGGACGTCTGGGGCGGATGGGCAAGCGTGGTCGTGGAATCGTTCTCGTGGGGAAGAAGGACCGCAAGGATGTGGTGAAGGAGGTGCGCGAGGGTATGTTCCGCGGACAGGCTTTGATTTAGCGATTGCATATAGAGCACGCACGAGATCAAGTGTCGTCAGGGAAGGACATGCCTCTTATGTCTGCATTTCATGTACAACAGATATCATATCGATGTATATTATCTATCATTCTGTATAATAAACGACGAACCCAGCAGTATAGACATTCAATCTAACCATCGTATATAAATCCCATCCGCCGCGGAGGAGATGCCGTTCGCAACCAGGCGCCGCGCACATGGAATTGAAACGTCATGGCTTGATGAGATTGCTCGATTCTTTAATGAGCGGAATGGAGGCAGGCAGTAGGCTTCTGAATGATTTCAAGACTGTTCTGGAGGGAAAGAGACTGCTGCAGTTACTCAAGGCCCCGGGATTCCATCATCCAACCCGCTATATATAGTGCCATACAAACTTGGGCTGAACTCACCCACCTGTCGACCCTCGGTGACATTTATACTTTTGTTGGAACTAGAGGTATAGGAAACAGTAAAACTGATGTAGAACTTGATGAATGGATGATAGACATGTCTACTTCTTATGCAGATACTGGTTGCTTTTCTGCGTCGGCCTACCCACCAACCCCAACAAACACCTCCAATCATCGAGATAAGAACCCTCCCACCAGTTCCCCCCCCAAAAAATCAAACAGGAACCCTTCCCCCCATCCCCCTCCAAAACGCACATCTCTCCTTCAATCCGTTCAACTTCACATTCTCGAACCCCGTCTCCCTCACCACGAACTCCGACTCCGGTCCTGATCCCCGCAACTTCAACAACCCTGGCACGTCCTCTGCTGTTACCTTGTGCGCGTTTGGATCCCCCGTTTGAATAAAACTTGCGAATGCGCCTGCGTAACCGTCATAGACGAGGGGGTTTGTTTGCTGGATTGGGTTGAGGCGATTCCACTATTTTTGGGGTTATTTGTTAGTTAGAGCGCGCGCGCACACATATACACACGGCGAAGTAGGCAAGAAAAAAGAAGGAGAAGGACGGCGAAAGAAGGCAGAACAACATACATAAATCGTATCACTAGCATGCTTCGCCGGCGCGATCGTATACTCGGCCAAGTAACCCTTCTCGCCTGCCGCGTTGGCAATCCAATACGCCGGACAAGCGAGGACGAGATCCCGATAGACGAGGCCGGCGCGGACGAGAGTGGAGTTATAATTTGTCAGAGTTTCGGTGGTCCCAGTGGGCGGGTAATAGATTGATTCGAGACGGTGGATGTCTCTTGGAGTGAGGTCGGGGAGGAAGTCATTGAGCCAGGTCGAGAATGCAGTGGTGTTGGACTGGGCGTCTGCGGTGCTGAGACCCGGGGGTAGGAAGTTCTCGCCCTCGTGGGTGTTGTAGACGCCGAAGATCGAAGAGGTGGGAAGGCGCGAGGTAGAGGTTGCTTGGGAGAGAGAGTCAACGAGGAACGAGCCGTCGATAACAGGCGCCCAGGTGTATGAGGATGTGGTCCATTGGTGGGAAGCGCTGATAGTGAGGCTGGCGTCGCGGATGGTCTGGACGTCAACGGATTTGATGCAAGAGAGTGAGTCTTTCGCGGTAGCGCAGCCGGTCAGGTTGACGAATGTGTCGTAGATTTCTTCAGCCTCGGGGTCATTGTAGCGGTAGGTTTTAGGCCAGAAGGGCGAGCTGGCGAGGGCTTTGGAGAAGAGCTTCGGGTTCCCGTGGCGGCCGTTGGCAAGGACTTGCGCGACGACGGACCCTGCGCCTGCGGACTGGCCCCAAATCGTCACATTGTGGGGATCGCCGCCGAAGTGGTGGATGTGCGATTGGACCCATTTCAAGACGAATTGTTGATCGAGGAGGCCTGGGTTGAGGTCGGCAGTGGGGGAGTCTTTGATGGCTGTTCCGGGTAGGAAGCCAAACGCGTTGACGCGGTAGTTGGGGTAGATGACGACATAGTCGTTGAGGTTGGTCACGTTGAGGACGGGGTAGGAGGATGGAGGGAGGGTGAAGGAGGCGCTGCCTTGGATGAAAGCGCCGCCGTAGAAGACGACGAGGACGGGCCTACGCGCAGATGAAGGATTCCAAGGCCGCGAGAAGAGACCGAGGTAGAGACAGTCTTCGGAGCCGTTGACGGTGCGCTGAGGGCACATGTCGAAGTCTTGGTCCGTGTTGTAGATGCCATTGGATATGCGCTGGGGTGGCTGAGGCGCTCGAAAGCGGTTGATTCCTGTCGGAGGGCGGGCATATGGGATCTTGCGGAAGTATGAAAGACTGTAGGTTGCATCGTACTTGCCTTGGAAGGCTCCGTAGTCCAAACGGATCAAGGGATCGTTGTAGGCGCTGACAGGTGAAATGATGCAGAGCAAGCTGAGTGCCTGCAGAGTGAGGGAGAAGAGCCGCATGTTTATAAAGGCCGATCTTCACCCCCCTGGGGGATTGCAGGGAAGGCCAAAGCCAAAGCCAAAGCCATGATTTTATAAGTTGAATCAGTTAACACCAAGTCTGGGGATCGGGATGATACTGACCGAGATTTAGATTGAGATTGCACCGGTCCGGCCAAGCGAGGACTGCGATTGGTGCAGTTATAAATTCTCCATGGTGAAGGATGACAGAAGGAGAGAATGTGGAGACTGGAGATGGAGAAAGCGGGGGAGAAGCAGCAACAAGACTGGCATTTCTTCATGGCACATACAAATACACTCCGGGAACCTGGTTGCCATGAGCAGGGTGCTCTATATGCAGAATACCCAGGAAGGGACCAGAAAAGAAGAGAAAAAAAAAGATAGACCAACAGGCATTTATTACTCCCTTCGCAACCATGCCAATGACCCAAAACCCAACCCGAGCACAAGAAACGCCCTCCAAAGTGTACAAAGAAAAGGGTGATGAAGGTGTACAAAACGGAAAAGAAAACCCCATAGAATGCTCCCCTCTTCCAAACTCCTAGCTCGACAATCCGCCATTACGTACGAAACAAGAATGAAGAAAGAAAATCCAACCGATGATACAGAGTGTGAAAATCATTACATGGTCATGCGAAGCGAGCGAGTCCGTCGTCGGCTCGCGCGAGTGTTGCGACGGTGCTCCTCGCACGTCTCGCTGTCCTCGGTCTCCGTGCGAGGCTCTGACAGCTCCGGCGTCGGGGTGATTCCAAAGCTCACTCCGCGGTCCTTGCGGGAGACGCGCGCCTCTTCTTCGGGATAGAGGAATCGATGCACAGTGCGATGATCCATCACGCGTTCCTCGTCATCGGACGGTCCCTCGCGCTCTGTCTTGGGCCAGCGGAACCCGTATAGCATCGAGTGGCGCTCGCAACGAGGGCATTCGCGACGGGTGAGATACGAGTTGGGCTGTACAAACCATGCATTGCATGTATGGCAATCTACCCACCGATCGTAGGCCTGCGCGAGTAGCTTGGAGGTTTTGGTGTAGTCACCAGGAACGCGGGCTCGACGTGAATCGGCCTCCACGGACGGAACGACGGCGTGCCTACCCCTCGAGCGTCTCGAGCCTTTCGTCCGCTCGACCACGGTGCCTAGCTTTTCGTCTAGCTCCAGCGAGTCAGACAGATCGGACAGTGCGTCGTTGTCGCTACCCCTACGCAGACGTTCCTTCTCGGGTAGCTCCGGACCGGGCTCAACAGTCGCCGTCGGTGTCGACATCGGCATCGGGTCGTCAGGTTCGCGAGGCGAAACTTCGATAGTTTCCTCCACTTTAATCTTGACCTCACATACCGACGTCGCGGTTGTTGAAGTCGAGGAGCCGTGCGATTCGCTGGCCTCCAGCGAGGACGAAGGCGATTCACAACCGGCCACAGCAGGGGGTGGAGGCAACCCGGTGGTTTCTACATTGATTTTGTGTTCCGAAACGATTTTCATTACGGTTGTGGAGTCCGCCGCCGCGACTTCGACAGGGGGCAGTGCTGATGGTAATTCCGTGGAACAAGGCAGCGCGACACCATTCTGAGCAGATTGATCCGACGTCGAGTCCACCGTCGTCGGCTCTACCGTAGTGGTGATTTCAGTCAGCGACACTTCGGATCGCAATTTGGAACTTTGCGGCATGAATTTGGCACGCTTGCGAGGGGTGGACGAAGGCGAGGTGTCCTGGTCCGGATCGGCCCCCTGTTTGCGTTTCCTGGGCGAGCAGTGGCTGTCCAACGATAGCGCGTCGTCGGGCAAGGCTGGCGTCGACGCGGGGCTCGAGTCCTCGGAATCGACATGCGGCGACCACCCATTGCGAACGGCTCGCTCGCACGTCAGACAGAGACATTCGCAGTTGTCAATCCCAAAGTAGTCGTCGCCGTAAGACACTGTGATTTCTTCTCCGATGTAGATATCGCGCGTAGCTACCACCAACATGCCCTCGGAACCACGAGTGACCAGTCGCCCGTTCGCATTACAGTCATGGTTGGCAAACCGAGCCGGTCCCAGGAAGAAGGAGGGGGTTTTGCGTCGGCTCGACATCACGATGCTAAAGTCCTTTCTCTTCAAATCCAGGTCCTGCTCTTCCTCGCGAGTGACGGGGACCAGCGTCCCGCCGAGATATTTAATCTCCTCGCCCTGCTTGATGAACTTGCGGGCGCATATGGCCGCTTCGTGTTCGGTGATCGTGTAGCGATTGGTGGTCATGACCTCGAATGGCGAGTCCGGGAGGTACATGTGGATGTACTTGCGTAGGTGTCGACGAAACCATTCCTTCTCGCGGTCGCTCGAGAGCTTCGCCAGATACTTCTTGAGACCGGAAGTGGACAGCAGCTGCCGTTCCGCCTTCACGGTGTCCTTGGCGACAATGACATCGTGGAGGATGATGCGGGCGATATCATCTTCGACGATCCCGCGGATGGGGTTGTATTTGGTTCGATTCTTGCGCGTGTTCGTCCAGAAGTAGGCCTGTCCTCGTGATCCGTCAGACGCGGTGAATATTCAAACACATTGAAATTCAGAACATACCCGATCCACCAGCGCATCGGTCGCAACGTCGTCGTAGCTGGCCAACTTCGCAAGCGTAAGACGGTCGCGCCGCTCAACGGACGGACTATCTCTCGCTTTTGAAGGCGGCATGTCACTCTCGTGTCAAATTCCGATTCCTCATTCAATGGTTGTTCGGTTTCTGTCGGACCCAATCGTCCAAATTGCCCCGACTGCAAGTGACGAATCTAAGGCTAAAAGGGAGACAATGGGCGGAAGAGCAAGGCCGCAGAAGGACTCGATCTATCGGAAAATAGAGAAAGGGACCCTAAAAAAGGAATGTGAACGACCAGCTAGACAAAAACTGGAGCAAGCAGGGTCAGACCACGTAACATTATGGTACGAAAAGAAAAAAGAAAAAAGAGGGAGTGAAGAGCGACACAAAAGAAAGAAAAACCCCCTGAGGGAAATTAGCGCGCACCAGAGAGGAACAAGAGATATCCAAGGCGCAAGTGCAGAGAGGATGAGCTGCCGCAGCGCCTCCGTCTGGGGTCGGCGCTCGGCGAAACCTTTCCCGTCCGCCTTTGCTGGTTTTCTTTCCGACTCTCACTTCCCGGTGATCCCTTTGGTTCGGGTTTGGCTCATGCGATCAAGATGATTCAACTAAAGGTATGTCTTAATTGAGATGTCCTTCGAATCCTTTGGTTTTTGTTCTCACTAACGCGTTGGTTTCCCTCTTAGACGTTGCTAAACTGTATCGACAACTCCGGTGCTGCGGTTGTCGAATGCGTGAATGTCCTGAAGAAGGAGCGAGCTGCCACTGTTGGTGCGTATTTTCGGTCCAATCAATTGATTCACTAGCGCCGTCTAATCGATTTACTCGTGTCGGTGTTCCAGGCGATAAAATCGTGGTGGTGGTCCAGAAACAGCGAAACTTCGGTCCCGACACCGCGCAGAGCAGTGGTATTGCGAACAAGGTCCGTCGAGGAGATATTCGGCATGCCGTGATCGTCCGAGCAGCCAAGGAGACGCAACGATCCGATGGCTCCCTGGTCAAGTTTGACGACAACGCCTGTGTGTTGGTGAACAAATCTGGTGACCCGATCGGAACGCGAATGAACGGTCAGTGATGCGCAACCCTTCCCTCTCTATATATTGTTACTGACCGGGTTGACAGGAGTCGTGGCTACGGAACTACGAGGAAAGCAGTGGTCTAAGATCTTGTCGTTGGCGCCGATGCATGTATAAATATCCCCCATGAAAGCGAATCGTTTATTACACATATCTAGTCTGTATCAATAGAAATATTTCCTTTTCCCCTTGCCCCTGCAAAACCTTCAATCGCAATAAAATAAACTCCAGGACTATGCAACAAGATATAATTGGGTATCGGACATCACGGTGGTGATAAGACATCAAGAATCAAACGAAGACATTACCGCAGGAACAGCAGACGTAGTAAAGTTTCTAGACGACACGTTAGTCAAGTTAATCTTCTGTTGGCTCGGCATATGCAAGCTCACCATTCCGGTTTCCGCAGATCGCTGCTGGGACTGGAAGAAGACCGCTTCTTTTTCGTGGCAGGTCGGGCATTCCTTGTTGGACCGGGGAAGCTAAAGTCGTAGAAAAAAAAGAGCATGTTAGCCACGGAAATTGCAAGCAATTCTCTCCATGACGCGACATCGGGCTTGGCCCGCTCCTTTTAAACCGGCAAAACCTCCTCCTGGTCATCTTCAAACCACGCATCTTCAGGGGCCTCTCCACAGACAAAACATGTGATTTCTTCTCCGCAGTGGGTGCAGAAACCAGGGAGACAAACCGTAGGATCAGATCCCACATCCTGAGTCACACCAGCGGTGTCTCCGACTTGGGTATTCAGCTTGTTCTGATAGACGCAGTACGAGGTGGCGGGCTCTCCGACGTGGCAGGTTCGGCAGGTGAACATCAACTGGTTGTTGACACGGTCCTCTTTCGGGTAAAGTAAGTTGGAACTGGGAGTCGTTAGCAAGGGATCCGGCGTAGGATTCAAGATGGGAAATACACACCATTCGCGACAGAACCGAAAATGAACTTGCTCGGCGGCCTTTGTCTCGCCACCGGCAGACGGAGATGGACTGGCAGACATTTCGCGGAGGTCTGACAGGTGGATATGAGGAAATAAGAGGGGGAGATCAGTGAAAGGCAAAGGTGAAATGGTAGTAAAGTAATCCGAGCAACAAAAGAAGAGGCAAGAAGCGGCGCTGCAGAAGCGATGGAAGTTCAAAGAAGTCCGCACGCTAAGCCCCATCGGGCAGCACAGCGGCGACCGGCGTCATCACGGGGATGTTTGTGCAGTTGGCCCTGTTTGCATGGTTGGCAGACTGTCCCTCCCCCGCAATTCTTCTCCATGTCGTCGGACTCGTGTTTCTCCCCTCTTGGCACTTTGCATTCATCATAGAACTCACTGCCTGTTGAGAGACTCGTGCAATTGCATTCTGTCTGCTTTCTGTCACATTTCTTTGTCTCCCCGTTCCTTTGTACCCACATCATCATCACCATGGTTTGTGTTCCCGCAACTCTGTGAAACTGAACAATGCTTATTCATGGAGCTTGATATAGGTAGAGACAGGTCTTCCAGCCGGATGGGAGGTCCGCCACTCCAACTCCAAGAACCTCCCTTACTACTTCAACCCGTCGATTAAAGAGTCTCGCTGGGAACCGCCCGCCGGCACGGACACCGAAACCCTCAAAGTCTACATGGCAAACTACCACAGCGGCCCCGCAGGTCGGCCTGACGGTGTCAGCCAGGGCGAGGGGAAGATCCGCTGCAGCCATCTTCTCGTGAAGCACAGAGACAGCAGACGACCTAGCAGTTGGCGCGAGGCGGAGATCACTCGGTCCAAGGAGGAAGCTATCGAGATTCTTCGGGGCCACGAGCAGCGCATTCAGTCGGGCGAAGCGACTTTGGGAGATATTGCGATGTCGGAATCGGATTGCAGCAGTGCCCGGAAGAGGGGCGATTTGTATGTTCTGGACTTGCAAAAAAAAATAATTTTGTAGCGATGAAACTAACCCTGCTGCAGGGGCTTTTTCGGACGCGGCGAGATGCAGAAGGAATTCGAAGATGCGGCTTTCGCCTTGCAGCCGGGCCAGGTCAGCGGTATTGTGGAGACGGCTTCTGGCGCGCATCTTATTGAACGGTATGCTATCTGTGCAGAAGTCTTGATTTCAGTGCTAATCCAATTGAGTACAGCGTCCAGTAAACTTGAACTTACGGATATTATGCATACTAAATATGAGATTAGAAACTTGGAATAAATTTGTCAATTCATCCCTGTTTTCCTTTTGCTAGAAGCAGTCAATGATATCTGAATGAGCAGTTCAGCCCAACAATCATTACATACCATCCAACTACAAGCCAATGATGATGATTGCATTATACTCGAATATCAGTTCCCTGATAAGGCCCTTACCGAGTTACTAACGGCCAGAAGGCCGCAGCAGAACTAGTAAAGAAATAAATATACCTTCTCATTACATTAAGGTAAAGCTGCTTCGACACCCTGAATACAGAGCGCCTAGGCCTCTCTTCCCTCGGCAGCTCGCGTGTGCAGGCGACTGTTGCGGCATAAATGCCAAGGTATTACTTCCCTACTACTGCACCGCTGCAGTCATGCAGATCGCTTACCACCTGTTCTGAGGGGTCTTCAACCGCTCTGCTGCACCCCCGCGAGGGAACTATTGTCGCTATCGGTGTCAATATGGCCGCGGTTGTTGTTTTCGCTGCTCGATCCCGGATCCGAGCGCCAATCTATCTCCTCCTCTTGCGTGTCGCCAGCCCGAGCATCCTCAGAAATTGGAGGCGGGGGCAGCAGGTAGGTCAAACAACGATTGCAGGAGGAGCTCGGCCATCCTGACTACATGTTTCTCCTGCGTCAGTGCGGCTTTCATGTCCCGAGGGCACCATGTCTTCTTCCTGGGGTCCTGCCGCGCCTGACACCAGAGAACGATGTGCTCCACCGACTCGGGCCCCCTTTTGCAGCTCGGACATCGGTACAGTACAACAAGCCAATGACTCTGCATTTGGTGTATCAACAAGCTGTATCTTTCACATTGCAGAAATTCCAGACCAGTCTTGTGGGATCTGTGTGAACAACCAACTAGTAGGAGTAGTATTAATACCCTTTCAGCGTGCCTAACTACGCCGGCTATGCTGGCGGAGGCCGTCCTACCCACCTGACCTAGCCCTATACACACCAAACTCCAACCAGTGAGACCTCTATAGAGCGAACAGGCACCCTGGTGGCTGGCCTCTGAAAGAACACAGAAGGCTCAAAAAGCAAGAACTCAGGCGCAAAACTGGCTTAAACAGCAAGATAAAGGGTGCACGATGGCTCTTGGCATCTATAGAGGACCTAACAAGGAGTGTATGGGGTGCTGTGCCAGCCGGTTGTCCGGCTGGCTGCGTGTACCGTATACTGAACTATCTTCTATCTCAATACTCATTGCCCAAGTCAGATGCTTCACCTTCTACCGGTAGGCGTGTGTGTTTGCCTTTGACTGCTTGTTACCCCCAACGCCTCATACCTGAAGATCCTCCAATATCCACGCCTCAAACACCTTTATACACAACAAACAAAAAGCCCTCCATCTACCAACCCACAATGTTCTGCCCAAACTGCCATCCCAATCACATCTACGTCGAAGCCTCCATCCCCATGACACGCTTTCAAATCAACGAAATCCACGTCGCGATGGCCTCAGACCCAAAGTTCCTCAGCCTGACAACCTTCGACCAAGCACAACTCAAGCTCGCCCAGCATCTCAGCGCGATTCTTCCACATGAGTGCCGTCATTCATTCAAGGCATGCCGCATCGCCGCCCTGAAAGCCTATGCCGGGTTCGTAAAACTCACTGATCTCCCCTCTCTTCGCTACATGGCCATGTGTCCGCAGGATGAAGGCGCCGATGACGCCGATGAAATCGACTCCAGAGCTCACGCTGGCGCTGGCGCTGACAATCCATACGAGACAGGCGCACGGTCTCCGGTCGCAAGTTCTAGGAAGACGGGCGAACGAGCTCTTGGATCAGCTTCTCTGTGCCGATGCACTTTTGTACATAGACCCTCAATCGAGAATAAGGCTATTACGAGAAGGATAATAGACTGCTAACATCCTGGATAGCGCAGTGAGAGTAGGCAGTGTTTACCTGGCGGTGATAGGGCTTCTTTCACACCTGACGTTGCTGTTGTGCAACAATGGTTGTATCGTCAGGTATCCCTAAGTAGCTGATTCTCATTTGTGCCTCCCTAGGTCCGGTGCTTTGAACACAGGTCAGACGGAGAGAGATCTAGGTAGGTACATCCATAGAAAAAAAAACAATAGCTATCATGTTCATGTCAACAAGGAAACTGTATATGATTTCAAGGAATTGCTTTAGTAAAATGTGAATCTACTCAAAGAGCCACATGGAATCGTTCATTCATGGCCGGTATCCAAATCTAGATTGGTTGCAATCCTTTTGATCTCAACCTCAACAATCACTAGTTCGCTTGATATGAAACCTGTTTTCTTTCCAGATGTAAAGCAGCACAACATCATAGACCTCAATGTAGAAATCACCACCTAAGGACCTTTTCCAAACTGTGCAACACACCTTACACCAGTGCGATATCTTCCACCACAGAGCTGACTGCATCATAGCTCGAGAAGCTACCTAGAACGGGGTCAGTAAGTGATCATTTATACCCTCACAAAGAGCACTCACCTCTATCACCATCATCACCCTCCTCACCACCCTCGCCCTCCCTCTCAGAAGCCTGCAACAAACCCATCATTCTCTCGGCCCCTTCAATCCTCTCCAGAATAGCCTGATTCAACTCATCCACAACTTCATCCCACTGCGGCAACACCACATTCTTCAAATCCGCCTCCCATTTCTCATTCTCCGCCAAGAACCTCTCCTCCCAGAACTGTCTCCACATGCGAATGTTCATCTCCCCCATCTCTGATTTCCGAGTTGTCTCATCCAAGTTCTTCTTCGCTTTCACATATGATTCGTAAACGCCTGTGATGTACCGGTCCACCTCATCCTGGAACTCATCCACATATGTCTCGTACGCGGACTGATTCACCGTGAAGGAGAGTACCTCGGGGGGTATCTTGGGCGGGTGGATGACGGCTAGGGCGCCTTGGTGATGAAGAGCGGGCCAGTTGAGGAGGTGGTCGATAGAGGCGCAGTGTAGAGAGAACGTGGAGAAGGAAGCACGGACAGGAGAGATGCCGGGCTGTTCTGGTTCGCATCCAGCTTGTGTTTCGTGTTGTCAAGGACTCCATGGTCCATGGAGGGCAAGGATCCAGACCTGCGTTTCTTGTTCACACCGTAATCGTCATTTACGGTGCGGTATATCCCAGGGGACGCAAAAGACATGGGTTCGGGCCACTGATATGAGTTAGTTCAGCCATGCAGAAATGAGTTGTAGTAGAGGTATAGGGACTTGCTGACCTAGCTCATTGGGGCCATGCCGGAGGTGGTGCTGATACATCGCCCTCGGGGATGAAGCGAGGTCGGACGAGTGTTCGAACCCCAGTATACTGACATTGAGGGAGGATCTTTGACCGGGAGAGTTGCATATGAACATGGTTAGCCAGTCCAACTGCTGGATGTGGATACTCTCACCTTGAATGATACTTCATGGAGTTTCCCAAGCCCGGCCCAACCACCCATCCATCAGGCAAGGGTTGCGATAAAAAATAATAATAAAAGCAAATAATAAAAGCAAACAATAAAAGCCAATTTTTTTTTTGGTTTTTTTTTTTTCATATTCTTTTTTTGTTTTTTGATAGTAATACGGGACAGATCGCGAAGTGCTGGACATCGAGACACCATGGCATCAACGGGAATGATCCACCGGACTACAGGCCCCTATGGCTCCTGCAACCGCCTTCACAGGTGAGAGACGATGTCCGCCGGAATACAGGCCCCTATGGCTCCTGTAACCGCCTTAATCGAAAGCACATCTTGGCTGTCCAACCGCAATGAACTCATCCAACGTTGAGAAGCATCAGCTCCTCTGCCGTCGGACCACTCAGCGACGGTCTGTTGACCACCCGAGGTGCAAGCACCCCGGGTGTTTGAGGTTGGCCGCGTGCAGCTCGCTCCCTCCATTTAGACCACTCTGCCGCTCCGGAGATGGCCACCCCAACCCACCGCGCGTGGGCCGGATGGTAGTAAAGGTGCCTCAGCACTGGAAAACGACGAAAGAACATAAATGGCATGATTTCGCGACTTCGATATGGGGAGAAAAAGAAGAGAACTTTCTTGGGGCATACGATCTTCATTTTGTCACTCCCTTAATCTCTATATGGAAGGCGCGGCGTTAAGTTCAAAGACGGCAGGTGGCAGGCAAAGGGTAGGAAAGGTAGGAAGGGTCGTGTTGTCAAGTATCTGGAAGAAGCCAAGTGAATTGGCTTTCGTAGAGATAGAAAGAATGGTATTCCACAGCTATCGATTGTAATCCTTTCCTACGCCTGTTGAAGACAGTTTCATCATATAGCAGGACATCCGAGCGAGTCCAGGTGGCGTGAGGTCAGAAACGACCAAGTGATACCTTATTGCGTGGTGCTCGCTTTGACTGTATTGCCTTGTCTAAGAAGTGGAGGAGATGCGGAGGCGCAATGATAAGTACACATTATATCATTGCTGATAATGCTTGGTCTCTTTGTTTATGTCTTCATACTATCTCAATCGGACTGTTATATAGCAATACATTCTTGCGAAGTCTTTGCTTTTTCTTTTCCCCCATAAATTGCGTATTAAATGGAAGGAACTTTCCAAACGGGCTACTAGGGTTCTACGTCATAATAATATAGATCATCTCCATGTAGAATAATCCTAAACATACGGGCAATTATTGATAACAGACACCCCTTTAGACGCTGACACTATGGGGACAAGAGGAGTGCAATTTCTGTTCGAATGAATTCTATTTCCATCGTCCGACCACTTCGGCTGGCAAGACGAGGGGAAGAAAGGAACCATTTGCCGCGTCATCGAAAGCTGCCTAGACTGAATTTCTTGCATAAAAGAGCACAAAATGTCTCGAAATAACCAGTCCATTTCCTCGTTAAACAAGCAATATGAAAGCAATATGAAATCAAAAGCATCCCTTTCTTCCTTCCTTCAGGTTATCACTGGAACCAGCCATACTTTCCTGACATACCTAAGTTGGATCCTTGCCTCTTGGAGACGTCCTAGAAGTCATCAAGCCCGCATCCTCTGTCTCTCTGATACCCATTCGCAGCAATGCCCCGTTCCAGACGGCGACATGAGCCAGACCGGCAGCGCGGCCGACATCCAAGAAACAATCAATTGGTTGAACACCCTGCCGCATAGACATAAGGTCGTGGTAATGGTATTGGTAGTGGTTGAGGACGAGAGATGCGTAGTCTTGAAGAGGAATAAGAAAGTAGAGTCTATTCCTTCTTGCGCTGTTCTTCATCCTTAGCGATTTTTAGCTGCGCTAATTGTTCTTCGAGAAGGCTTATTCTTTGAAAGCTCTCACTCATGTCGCTCGAAAGAAGCACCTGGTGAAGTATAATTATAGTAGGCAATAGAAATCTTGGTGGGTTTGGAAGAGGCATTCTGAAAGTAGTGAAGTAGTGAAGTAGTCAGGTAGTAAGTGTGTGATAAGAAAGATATAGCAGTCTCCTTATATAGAGCTTCAGGAGATAAAAGTGAGAAGAGGTACGTGAGTCTCCAACACGAGAGCGCAGCAGCCTAGGACTAGGAGAGAGGATATGTAAAAACTAGCGTCGGATGGTAATGGGAGAATTATTTTATAGTATGAGTCATTTATATTTGCGTAATGATGATGCCGGAACCCAGGCCAGGCAACTAAGGTAGATTAAACAATGTTGGAGAAATCTTTCGCTGGCTTCTATATTAGAGATAGATTCATCTTATAGAGAGATAGAGGAATTCAAGTATTTCTATCCAGATTAAGCGCAGCTATATAAACCTCTGTCTATCAGATTAAGAGCCACAGAGCTCAGTAATAGCTTTATTTAATTATAATCCTTGTCCTTCAGGTAATCTATGAGCCATTCTGCTATCCATTTCTTACCGAGAGGACCATTTTACTAATCCCTTCTACAATTCGAGTCTCTGAGAAAACTGTTTGACGTGATTCAAAGCCTTTCTCGGATGGGTCGTCTTTGCATGAGATCCTTGAAGTTGAAGACTCTCAAATGGATATTGATGTAGACTACAGTGTATGTATATTGGAAATTCCGTCCAATTCTCGTCGCTTTGAAAGCTTTCTTCGGAAAGCAGCCGCTAGAGACGAGGTTGGAGCACAGGGGAGGAGGGCATGGCCCGGCCACCCAGGCGAGGGGCCACCGGCGATGAACTTGCACTTCTACGCAGTGGCGGTGACTAGTAAGCCTTCGGGTGAAGCCAAGACGAGTTCAAGTTTTATCTTCCTTTTCACTTTACTCCAGTTGCCACATCCCCTCTGTGCCGCTCATAATTGAAGGAGGTCAAGGCGGGCTCGGTTTCATGCCCGGAGATGATAAATACCAGGGGTCAGTTGTACGGAAGATGGGGATTGATACTGAATCTGTGAGAAGTTATTAGATCGTGGAGTGATTTTCGGATGTTTTCAGCTTTTCTAGAATGTATCCGACAACAAACACCCTCGGATATCTCACCACATGTACCTGAAACCCAGTAAACAAAGCAAAGACATAGAGCCCAGTACTCAATCCAACAAATCCAATCTAGATGTCACAATCTGATAAGATATCATCATTACCATCTTCACTATCATCCTCCACTTTCACAGAATCCAGCTTTAAGCTCCATGATTTTGGAGTACTATTGTCCATCTCCACAGCAGTCCTTTGACTAAACGCAGGATGGTCACTCTTAAGACCCCGACTCTGACAAACATACCCCATTGGCGTGTGAGAATATTCCCTTCCCTTCCTGGTCACGGACAGCCATTCTTGAAGGAAAGCGAGGAATTTATCATCCCTGGTCGTTGAAGTTTCACGTTGCATGGCGCCCTGTGTAGGACTCTCTCTCTCCAAGCCACTGTGGTGAGCCGAATCTTGTCCCAGGTAATCTAGAATCTCCACATATTCATCATACGAAAAGAAGAGACGGCCAGACAGAAGTCCAAGCTCGATTTTGAGGCTGGTAGGGAATGTGTGACCCTTGGGTAAGGTGGGATATGCGTAGAAATCCAGAGAGTTGAAATGAAGCATGCTTTTGGCGGATGGCGCGGCGTATACTAAGAGGTGCGTGGGCGAGAGTTGCATCGGCGAGCGATGTTGGGCTCTGATGATTGAGAGCACGCGCTCCGCTTCCTCAGGGATCAGGATCATGGCGGTGGATGTGCTCGGGGCCCAGAGTATCCAGTGGACAGGGCGCTGGTAACAGGTTAGTCTAAGATATACGAAATATTGCGTGGTAAGCTATTTTGTTGTGGTGCATACCAGGAAATCCTCACGCCAGCGGTTTCCTTTCCGAAGCAGGATTGTCTTTGTGAATTCGTCTGAGATGAAAAGCCTTGATTGCTGTTCAATCCGCAGGCCGTGTTTCTTGCCCAGTGTTGTTCTTCTGAGCGCCGTGAACGCCGCCTCATGGCCGGCTGTTCTTCTGAGATGACCCGTTAGTGCAAATGTTTCGATGGATTCATGTAATCCGGGAAAGCTGTAGTGTGGAAGACGAGTAGGTCGTTGGATTTCTCGAACTTCTTCAACGTGCAACATGCATTCGCGTTCCTGCTCAACTTCAGCAAACGCTAAAGCTAAAGTAGACGCAGTAGCCGAGAACTCATCATGACCGAGGCGTTGGTTATCAAGATCCAGACCGAACTTCGCAATTGCTGGATACATGTATTGATCGCTCGTGAAGGTGTTGAGCTTTGGTCTGGGTCTGTAAATCTCTTCCAACGAATGTTCCTCTTTTTGCAGCAAGGTATTAAGAAGCGTCTTTCGGTGCTCTGTGTTCGTTAGAAACTTGTCGTTCACGAAAGCGGCATTGGTCCGGCGACAGAAATCGTATCCCTGCGCCAGATACAGTGATTTAAGCTGCTGCTGGTGGCAACAGGTTTGCTCGAGAAGCCATGCAACCACGTCAGCCGAGTCAATTGCATCTGTGGAGCACTTTCGACGCAGATCCAAGATGCTCTGGTGAACCTCGGGCGCAGAAATAAATACTACAGACTGCGAGGTCCCTAACTGACGGAGCCTCATTGCAGCTTGCACTGTATGGTCCTTGGTCTGACCCAAACTCAACGTCAGCGCTCCGCGTGAAGACGGCGGAAATTTCAAATCCGTCCCTCTTGTATGCGCCTCGTCCAGAAACACAAGACATCCATCAAGGTCATTCGCGAAAGAAGAAGCGAGCAGCGGCACCTCTTTGTAATTACGATCTATTACCCAGGGCTTGCTGCCCCGGTCAAAGTACACCGCGGCAGGGGCTCTGTAATCAATCTCCAGCCATTTTCGCGCAAGAGATTGATTATCGAGCTCCAGAATATGCGCACCGGCATCAATGAGAATGCGAATATTCATATGGAAGAGCTTGCGGATAAATTCTTCCTCTGAGAGATGTTTGCCATTCTTATGAGCGGCCACATCATAAGATCGATTTCGGGGATGCAGCAGATAGGAAAGGACCTCCGCATTTGTGTGGGATAATGCAGCAAGGTCGTTCTGTTTAATTGTTAGTGGAAGCAGGAAACGATCGTCATTTGTTCCGCTGAACCCCGTTGTGAGCATCTTCGATCCTGCCTCCTGTGTTGGGAACATTGGGATATCCCAACCGGACAACTGGAGTCTCTGAGAGAACTGTTTGGCGTGAACGGGAAAGACACAATGATCCAGGAAGTAGTTGATGACGATCACCCCATATCGAAGATAGGTCCAGATCTCTCGGACCTGCATATCATCGTCAATGCTGATCAGATTCCAGTGCCTCAGGGAGTCGGGAAGGCTTTGCGCATAAGCTCCCCACCGGTCGTATTCTCCTGATGGATCGTCAGATTGTGACAAACTGTGCAAGCATTGATGCAGCTGGTCGACTGATAACCCGTCATAATAGAAGGCTAAACAGGTCAGCAGAATAGCTACATCGGGATGTCCCCATTCGGCTTGCTCAGAAGGAACCCCTTTGGCATGGAATGGAACAGCGATTGGGCTCCGGGCTGGGTGTAGACCATATTGCACGTTCCACCGTTTCTTCAAACACAGGAGTAGAGTCTCGTGGCATATCATTCCGCGAAGCAGATGCAAGTTCTTAAGTGCGACGGGGTTGTCACTGAAGATCTGCACCGCATCTTCACATACCGATTGCTCGGCCTTAGCATTGCACATAAACTCCTTTACGGCCCTTTGATCGGGTGGCTGAATGGACGGCAGGATGTTGGTTTTACCAGAGCACAGATCACTGACTAGCTTTGTGTACAAAGCTTCCTCCACATCCGAGCGTAGAATATAGATGAGTGGGAAGCCACCGTTAGGGCGTCTCACTACATCGATGCTTCCTGGGAAATTCCTCTCAAGGTCCGCTAGTTGCTCTTCAACCATCCCTAATAAGGCGTGGGCCATTCTCCATCGATGTGGATGACCATCCAAAGTCAGCTGAGATCCACTGGGGTAAATCAGCTGTGTTTTAGGAGCCAACGAGAGATCGGATTCGTCTATGACGTCTCGGCAAACGCGTCTCAACCAAGAGTCCGTAGGTAAGATAGCACCAGCGGACTTGAGCTTGGAGTCTGAAAGGCATTGGAACCCACTCAGCCTGAATGAAAGAAAATGTTCGGGAAGCGTCAAAATGATCCCTGATTTCTGTAATATCTCTTCGTGAAGCAGCCGGTACTCTTGGATTGTTGCTGGCTCAACTGGAGACTTTCGGGTAAAAGGGATATGGAGCACCTCACGGCCCACCAAATCTCCAAGCCTGGATTGAATGGTTTGTGCTGTCTGTAATAGAAGAGACTTTGGAACTATCAGGCGCCCAAGGGTTTTTCCGTTGCCGAGGACGCACAGAGCCATAGGCATGACCACTGATGTTTTACCTAGATATATAGAATGGTCAATAATGAAAGGAATGTTTCCCAAACTAGAGAGTTCTCACCTTGGCCCATGTTCATCTGAAGCACGGAATTCGACCCTGACGCCGGCAGGATTGTGGCAAGTGCAACATCCACTTGCCTTTTTCGGATGAGAATGTTCCCATCGATTTCCATGAGCAGCCAGTCTGGATAGTCTTCCGGTTTCCAGTTTTCATGGCCGACATTCTCGTACTCATCCCTGGAGCGCTGAGAGTCGTTTTTCTTCATGGCATCGCAGATTCGAAGTAGCTGTTGGAATTGTGTGATTGACACACCATAATCCAGCAGCGCCTCCTTCATTTCAGGTCCAAAATATTGCTGACTAGAAGATCGTAGATGCTGGAGCATATTGACGGGAGTCATGCAAGGCCAGAGCTGTCCTGCGCAGAGCCACTTGTAACGCACATCAAACTTTGTGAATGAGTCAACTAAGGCTGAAAGCTGCTGCTCTACTGCATGTCGAACTTGGGGAACCTTCCCTTCCATCTTCTCAAGGCTAGTCAATTTTGCACTCGGACCCTGGTGCGCTTGATAGTCCTCTAAGGCCTCTACGCTCTTCTTCAAGTCGCAGGCATATGCTTGTTTTTCTTTAGACGGTGAAGCCACCATCTCGTCAACCAGTGCTTTGAGCGTCTGGATCTCGCGAGGGCCATTGACCATAGCTGCAAGTTTCGATATATCGGCCATCGAATGGGATGTGTCCGCGTCTGACTCGTTACGCCACAAATGCTCAGACGCCGAATTTGACCTGGTCTGTGTATCTGGTCCAGGTTTTGAAAGAAGATGTCCTAATGTCGGAACTGCTGATGTCCGAGGAAGGATCGGATATAGTTTTGCGGCATCAATACATCCAGGGATAGCAGTTTCAGAACCAGCTTGGTGCATGTCAAGCACCCTCTGGACATTGCCAAGATATCCTTCTAGCTCAAAGTTTCTGAAAAGACGCCTCCAGCCCCGGTTGATTGAGTCCAATGCACTTTGGGTATCAAAACATTTTATCCGAATCGGAGGACGGATAACGCTCCCGCAAGGCCACTGCTTCAGAATACCTTTGGCAAATTGGTGCGCCTCTTGCTGGAACAAGGCATAAAATTCCTCCAAGGTTGTAGAAGAATGTACCCTCTTTTCCTGGATTGCCTGCTGAAGTGTATCAGATGATATCTCAAAGGGGTGAATTTGGTTCTTGATAAACTGCAATGACGGTCTCCTTTTCAGCTCGATGTCAAAGTACTCTGCGTGCGCTGGGATGCGGCAATTGCGGAGGTCGTCATAAATGCAGATCGCAGCCAGTGTTCGCAGAAGATCCATATTCACGTTTTTTGAAAATGCAATCGTGGCAAGCTTGAACATCGTGCCATACTGTTCTTCGTTATATTGGTGGCATAGCTCGGTCAGCGGTCCCCATTCCTGGATCATGTCGACTTCGAGGACTTCGCTCAGCGATGACTTATTGAAAATCCCTGTACGACCCATGATCCAGGCCGCTTGATCAAAGAATTTTGCTAGCGACGATGGAACTTGAATATTTGATGGCCGGTGTACCAGATTATACACAATTTCGTAAACATTCTTTCTCCCAATATTCGGCTCACGCTGGTGGCGAGCAAAGTAAGATGCATCGACTGGCTGTGCTAATCCGTCGACGAGACAGTCACCTGGCTCAAAGTTTCGACGACGAAGATGGTTCCTATCTCTCAGGTAAGACACACCACCTGCCTCAAGCTGCAAATGATGACAACCATCCAAAGCAAAGGGTTTCAGCCGCTCTAACTGGGTCGCCACAGCCTCGATGATAGGACGATAGAGGTCACTTTGAATGGCCACAGTGAGATCTTTATCCCAAAGGACTTGTTGTTGGCGCTTCAAATGCTCGGGATAGTAAAATCGCTTGGCAGTAAGCCGCGCTAAAGAAATGAGAGGCGCAGTTTGAGACACCCCGACAGGGTTCCATGGCTTACTCAAGGCAGATGTCAGGCAGGCCAGAGCTTCTTCAGCTCCCGTACGCCCGGTGAGAGTGTCAGGTAGCGGAAAAGACGTAACTGCATGCAGCAAAGACTTAGTGTAAACCAGCAGTGGCTCTGGTTCACACTTCAACCGACCCAGTGTGCTATCAATCGAATATCGACCGTACCTACCCTCGTTCATGACATCAACCAAGACATGTGACCCATGCCGACGGTAGCGGAGGGTTCCAATAGGTACAACAATGCTCCGTTGCATGCGGTTGGAGGTCTCGCGCATAACAAGTTTGCTGCGCAATCCGTACCATGTACCGGCATCCTGGTCTGGATCAATTTCTGCGTGCAGTTGCTGGCATACTAGATAACCCCCGCCGTTAACGCTGAAATTCAAGTCCATCCGTTTCATTTCAACAGAGAGATTTCTCGACAGTGGCTGAGTAACTGTGATATTCTGTCGCTCTTCGAACCCTTCAAATATTTTTGACACCTGGCGAAAGAGTTTGCCATGGGGGTCGACAAGATGAGCGGTCCTACGAGAGGCCTGACGAGCGGAGAAGTCTATCACCCAATTGCCTCGGCGATTGAACCACCACATATGCTTCTTTGCTCGAATGTCGACCTCCTTCTTCTTCAAATTCAGCCAATGGAAACAATCGGATATTAGCGGCGCTGGGAGATCTGCTTGCGCCCCTTGCCCAAATTGATCTCTGTTGACTAGATGCAACACATTTCCTTTGACATATGCGCGGACAATTATTTCATTTTTGCTTCGACCGAAGTGGACAATATGGCCGCCTCTTGGCGCTGCAAGAGTGAATTCCATACCTCGCATGGCGGACGGAAATACCAAAAGATGCTCGTTCCCGAATAGCTCTTGCACAATCGGCGCACTGCGGTACTCTGGCGGAAGCTTGCCAACGGGCCTTCCGTCCACAAGAAGGTGACCATCTATTGGATGGTAGTGGATTATCTGGGACTGAAACAAATCTGTCTCGGTGATTCGCGATTGAATCCACCCACTCGACCCTGATACAACATCCCACTTGCTGTATGTTCTTTGACCACTGGTTGCACTGGGCCAAACTGCTTCAATAGCAAGTTCTATGCTTCTTGGGTTACGCATAATGCACGCGCGCAGCGTCGGGGTCATGGAGTATGTCATTCGAAAATCACGCACTAATATTGCCTGAGTTGTCGATGGAAGCTGGGCAGGATCTTGTAGGTTTTCCTGGATTGTTAGACATGCTGCAAGAAAGGTCTGCAAGTTGTTGGAGTCAAAGTCTTCAGCTTGTGGGTTTGAAAAGGTCCGTTTGCATATCAGCGCGGCTCGTAATGCGTACATACTTAGCCTGTCAGCTGCTTCAGTAGTAACTCCGCTTTGGATCTCGTGACGTAGATTCTGAGTCCATGTCACAGTGATATGCCGGACCTTGTGTAAAAGTCGAAGACCTTCGGTTTCAACGGACTTCGGCCCAAGATTGAGGATGCGTAGAATCAACGTTAGCAACATATCCATACAAAATGATTCGCGCCAGTTATTAGAGATCCTGTTGAGAATATTCTCCGTTTGGGTCGTCAGCTGATGACAGAAGTCGGCCTCTTCAAACACTTGGTGCACTAAACGCAAAGGTCCCTTGGATGGGTCTGGCCCAGCCTGTAATGCTACATAATTCACAAGGTACATTGTCGCCTCGAGACTAAAATTGAGATTCGACGAGCCAAGTTCACGCATAAGTGAGAACCACCTAGTCGCCTGCTCTCTCAGGAGGCTTTGGCACGCAGTGTATTCGTGCACCGTAAGATTGACAGGGCACTCGTTTTGCCTAGTCATTATCTCATATGAAGACCGATTCCCGGCAGTCGCCGCAAAACTGGGATCGCCCTGGACATTCAAAAGAGCTAGGATAGAAGGGTCTGGGGAGAAGTGATGAGCAAAAGTCACTCTTTCTGGTAGTTCAGTAGCCCATTGGCTCTCGCTTGTGTCGTAATAATAAAAGTCCGGACCAAAAGGCAGTAATACCTGCTTGCGGGAGACTGGAAGGGCGGAACCTTTGTAGTGTGAAACAAGGAAGGACTTTGTTTTTGAAGCCAAGTGAAATTTCAGCGCTTTGTGCTGATTGTATGGCACTAATGATTTATATTGACGCAATAGCCCTCTGCATGGAGGGCCTTTGGATACCACGTTATGCTCAGGCCTCCCGAAGCTGCTCAAGATCCTCCAAGTCGTGTCACGATATGCTGCTAATTCAGCTGGCATAGCAAGCTCAAAAAGAATCGCTCTTTGGTGTACGCAGGATGAAGGTGTATTCCCCTTAGGTAAGAAGTCTTCGTGTGCAGAGATTGTCAACTTTTTCCGCTCCTTCTTGGCTTTACAATGAGAGCAAAGGCTTCGTCTCTGTCCATGTTCCCGTGTACATGGTAACAGAACCTGCGTAGACAGGAAGGAGTAACTCTCATTAACTTTCTTAAGCTCGGTTTCTTTCAACTGCCGGGCGTGCTGGGAGGCTTGTTCTATTTCATGCCGTAGCTTGCCAAGGCGATCTTTGTCGGGAGAAAGCCGTACATACTGGTCCGAAAAGCCTCCTGGACCAGGATCCGAGAAGATTGTGACAGACTTAAACCGTGACTGATTCTCACGTTTCATAAGATACTGCTGGATCATTTGCAAACGAACCAGGTCCTCTCGAGAGGCAAGCTGCAACACGTCCAGTAATCCCGGCTGGAGCCCAGAGCTATACTCCGCCAATAGGGGAAATTGTCGCACGGCATTCATGTCCATCATAACCCACAGTTCAAAGAGATCAACCATCATCACGCTTTTTTCCTCAACGTTGTTTTCAAGCAAATTAGACACAGTGTCAAGATAGGAGTCTATCCAAGCCGCAAATTGTATACAGCTTGTTTTCTTGTCGCGTGGCACGGTCCATTCGGTTTGTAATTGATGCTGTAACTTATGCAATGCGTAGTAGCGCTGTGAGAACAGTTGATAGTCCGGGTTGACAAGCCCTGGTAGGCGGTTTGCAATCGTTTTTGGATTCGGTAACGGTCTCTTTTTTAGCGGTGACTGAAGAATATCCCTCAAGTGGTCATAGCTGTTTGGAAGTTGGAGGCACATATCATCTCTATCTGCCCGGAGTGGCAGGGAGGGTAAGCGCCTTTGAGTAGAGTCTTTGAATTTCTTCCATTCTTCCTCCATAGCTAAGGTGGCGCTCTTGATCATTATCGAAAATTGCGGAGAGCAGATATATAGCAGCTGGGTGTAAGTACCGCACGATATCCTGCATCGGTCGGCTTCCAGTTTGCTGAGACGTCGACAAAGCTTGGCCCGAAGAAAGTGACAGGATTCAACTGGCAAAACTCCGGTTACGTTTTGAAGAAGACGAGCGTGCATCATGGCAATAAAGATCTTGTAGTATGCCCTGCCTTTATCGCTTCCATACACAAAGTAGAGCAACCTCTGGATACAAACCCGTATGACCAAGTAGAACGGGCTTCGTCGCCATGGAAGATAAGCATTGTTCCAACAAACGTCATCACGAATTCTCTTTCGAAGGACCGGCGAGGCATGTTGTGATCCATGTGCTTCCAACAGTGACATGAGCATCTCAGTGATGAGGTGCGGGGTAGCGGTATTTCGACGTTCGACAACGGACTTCCCTGCTTTTCTTGACTTCGCTGCAAAACGCTCGATCAACTCTTCACTAGCCTGCTCGAGAAAGGCTGCTAGAGATTCCTGGAAGGACGTGTTCCGGAACACCTGTAGCGGAATCGTGACAGCGTTGCCAGGATAATCGCATTCTAAAGCACCGGTGCAGGCGAGCACACTGTCAGGGGCAGGCGACACTTCAAAGGACTCCAGGACAACTTCTTGCGTGCTTTGATCTCGTTCACTTCGGTTGTATGTCAGCATAACGGCTATTTATCAACGAAGCGGAATACTGACTCGCGGACAGGGAGGAACAAAAGTCCAGCATTCTGCTCAGTAATATGTAATATCAGAGCTGTCCCCTCCTCTATCGCTCCAAATGCATTCATCAGCCTGCATCGGTCGACGTGGCCGTCTTCGTGGATTGACCTGCATCGATTTAGCGATCTTTTGATGAGCTCCCACGCATTCTGGCACTCATCCAGTGAAAGAAGTGCTTCCGCAGCCTCGATGACATGGCAGATAATTCCACTGTTTACCAGGCCTACGTCCTTATCGCTGTGGTCAGGAAGACGAGGCGGTAGCACAATATGGTTGAAAACTTCCTCCAACATGCTTGCGGTCGAGCCTGACATCGTGTGACTAGATAGAAAACATATGAAGATACTGATAGAAGATGGGTATAATTCAGTGGCACTTTTGTGAAAGAAAAAGGCGAAGAGGAAGGGTCCTAGGGAAGGGTGCCTGAAGGATGAAGGGGCTGCGTTAGGCGCAGGTGAGACGTTGGCGGCAATACGCCAGTACCCCACCGGCTGAGCCACCGCAGCGACCAGGATAAACAAAAAAGAGAGTCCAGTGAATAGAATGAACCTCCCTATATTTATCATCAAGGCTTTTCTTGCTTTGCGATTACTCTCACTCCTTGTAAGGGAGCTCAAATGTTTCAGCTCAAGAAGGATCTTGTATGACTCTTTGTCAGGTGACTATCGTGGATTATATCATTGTGACCACCGATTCTCTCAAATGGTGATATGCCCTCATCCTTTGCAGCCGTAATACTAACCCTCAGAGTTCATCCTCTGGGGAGTCGAGCACCCGTGGATTACCCGGGCTTAGAACTATATCCAAATATTGTTATACTGACTAGGCGAAATGGGGTGGCATCGTTCAGAAAGTCCAGTGTCTAGCATTTCTGTATAGGGACATTCGTCATGGTGACAGAACCACTATAGCTGAGTCACACTCGTGCTAATGGGCCGATTTCTCTCTTTTCCGTCTGTCTGGAAGTCTTTCTCTATTGTTCTCCTCCTATATTGCATTTCTATCTTCATACACCCAAAACAGAAATGGCTTCTCTAACCACGATGCTCTCTTCTCTGGCCGACTGGCTCACCCAGGAACCAGAGCCCAGCATCTTGCAAATCCCCAACGAAATTCTATTGATGATTCTTTCTCAACTCCCACTTCCGTCGCAAGCCTGTCTAGCACTGAGCTGCAAGACACTATACCATCTCCTATCTCCCCTCATCTTCCAACACAAGAGCCTCGCCTGGCCAAAGCTTTTAGCTTCGAGGACATTCGACATCCCCATGGCTCAAATCTCTCTACCACGAAATCAACTTCTCCTGCAGCTGGAAAACGATCGTTGGCTTTACTGTTCGAGGTGTTTCAAGCTTCACCCACGCGGCGCATTCACCTGGTATTGGCGTTCAGCCCATTCCGCATTCAGGAGATGCAACCACATGGCGTCAGTGGTCGATCTGTGTCCTTGCATCGCGTTGACTCTCTCCGACATAGAGCAACTTGCCACCTGGCTGCAGACAGGAACCCTAAATCATAAGACGCGCTCCAGCGAGGCATTCCAGCTTCAGGATCAAGGTGGATCACGCGAGCTTCACCATTACTGTTCGATAACAGACCATGCGGACGTATCAGTGAACCTCCTCAGGGTGAAGTTGGACCTGTGGAACGATCATATATACGCCAGGTTGAGATATCAAATACACATGCAAACTGAGGCGTCAGTCGCCCGAGAAACTCGCTCCTATACTGGACCAGCGCGTGCTCAGATGGAACCTATATTTGTCTGTCCGCACCTTGATCTCGTCAATTATATACATATCTTGTCTAAGTCAGTAAAAACCGTAAGCTTCTTGCATTCTTATTGATTGTTGATTGCTGATTGT